AATCTTCAGCAGCTGCAGAACCCTATAAAGGCATTAGAATAATCAAATGCAATTTCTTGTAAAAATGGGAGGTAGGAAAGTGAGTTAATTTTTAAAAGTTATTTTAAAATATTTTATGAATATCAAAGCAGTTATTATGTCTAAGAAAACTTTCTCAATTTAATTAGTTCATTGACAAAAAATCATAAAATTACACAATGTTCTTCTCTTTCCCCAAAAAGACCCCCCCCCCCCCCCCCCCCCGCCCCAATAAAGTCTGACAGGTTTTTCTGAGAATTTTCCTAACCTGAAAAGTGTAAATCTCCAGTGAAGTCTGATCAGAGGAAAAGGCAATAAAATATCTGCCATCTGGTGAGAACTTCCTCAGAAAACATGGCGGCTTCTCCACATTCACAACAGTGTAGTTAGGGAACACATTGGTGTACAGTGAGCGTACTTGATGGAAGTGAGTACCAGGGTGTGGGGCATGTGTTTGTCTGTGGAACAGCCTGTATACGATGTTCTGGTTGCTAATCCTCCTTGGGAGAAGTTCACTCCCCTCATATCGCAGTCCTTGTCCAGTTTGATAAGCCAAGTTATGGGAGGACATGGTTTTTGCTCATACTTCTCTCTTGATAAAAGGCAACAAATGCACAACTCACTCAATTATGTTTGGATTATAGATCTTTTCAAACATATGTCATTTCCTACAGTGAATCAATTAATCAGCAATGATTTTGTAACAATACATATTAAATTTGCTAACTAATCATGTATTTTAAATAGTTTAAATAGCTGCAGAAATGTAGCTCTCTGCTTGAGAAAATTCAGACAGAAAAAGCAAAGAGCTACAGATCTATGCATTGTAAAAACCTTCGAATTACGCCGCCAATTTTTTATTGCTCACTTTGGGTATTATTTCTTATATTTTATGGTTTCCCAAGCTTTATAAATGATATCCGATAATTTCCCATACATTTAACCAGGGTTTTAAACTAACTTGAAATCCTTGATCGCCATGTGGGCTACTAAACCTTGCAATTCTGGGGCCCACATCAAAATTTAGTCGCCCACAAATTGTCACACCTTCTATTGAATAAAAATACGTTATTTTTTATCATATGCTTCATGTTTCTTTTCTATCCATAGAAACATTATGCACGACTTATCTAAATTTGAAGTTGAACTCTTATGTTTAAAAAGATTAACATGGTTATTAAACATCATATATTCAAGCACATGGCAGTTTTTTTCACAGATAACACAATACTTTTTGGTTTGTTGGGCTCATTGATGCGTCAATGCCACATTGTGTCCATCACAATCACTCAGATGCTTTATGTTATATAAGTACTTCTCACCGGTAAATATGAAGCACTTTACTTTGTTACTGATTACAAAATTTTTACAAAATTTTTTCAAGAGAAAAATACAGAACATTTGGACAAAATTGAAAAACAAATATTTATTGTCATAAATTTTCTAATCCCCATGTGGGCTACTTGAACATAGTTTTAAATTGACCACATGGAATATCAGTCGCAAATTGCGAGTGGTCGACAGTTAATTTCAAACCCTGTTAACTCCTATTCCTAAATGTTTATTTATGTTTCAGCGGTATAGGAAGGGTCGTTTGTGGAAGTGGACGTAAAAATGGAAATCTTTTAAACCGACATTCCAAATCCAAAGAAAACCTTTTTGGACCACTGAAAAGTAGATAAAGTATCAATATTTGGTGTAAAATATATGATTAATTATTGGATACCATTCTAAGAGCATAAAAAACATCAACTACAAGATATAATTTCTGAAGTGAGCGACAAAAAATTGGTGGCATAAATGGAAGGTTTTTACAACGCATGGAGCTGTAGCTCTCTGCTTTATCTTTTATTTTCTCAAGCAGAGAGCTAGTTCTGCAGTTATAGTTTGATAAGCTTATAGTGGTCAGTCCAGTACAATCACTAAATTTAGCTACGTAGGTAGAATTACCTTCCTCAGGTAGCTTTATCTGGCTATTTTAATGCAACTTTTCAAAAGAACTATGAAAGCTGACTCTCGATTCCCAACTACATTTTACAACCATTTAATTCAAGATTGATGACAATTTGGCCATAAAATCTTTGTTTAATGCAAAGAACAGTTCAGTTGTAATTAATTAATCATTTTAATACCAGTGCTCATTAGAAAAATAACCCTAATTCCAGCTCGTGAAATAAGGGGGGTAGATGATATTTTCCACTGAATTCGAGCTATAAAGCACATTGGCAGATTTAGAGGGGGGACCCAGGGAGCCCGGGCCCCCCATTTTGAGTAAAAAATACACAATATTTAATAAATCATTGTTTTCATGTGGCACCATATTCTGAAAAGCATAGTTTTTGGATTTGAATATGAATAAATGTTTCTTAAATCTTTTCTTCTTATGTTTCATGCATATAAAATTAAGCATATGTATTTGTAAAATGTAATATTTCAGTTGTTAAGCACTTGGAAATTGGCTGGAAAAATCAGCATTTTTGTCATTTTTGTCAATAAACATATGTTCCTCTTTGACTTCTTTGTCAGCTCATTCGAGGAGTAACTGTTTTAACAGTCATACATGGCCCCAAAACTTTCAGAACTTTGATTGCAATTGTGTAGAAAAAGACATTTCTTCAAGAGTGATTTTGTCATGAATTGTTTTGAGATGAGTGCAAAGTTGAAAATGACCACTGCATCAAAATGAGATTTTTGCACATCCTGAGAAAAATGCTTTTTCAAAGAGGTAGATCAAGTAGGTAAATCAAGCTACGTAGCTAATTCTAGTGATTGTACCAGACCTGGTTTTCTCAGACATTGAGACTCGCTGATGCACTGGTTTTATGTCTGACTGGCCAATTAAATAATTTACCATTTTGTCTCACTCTGCTGCTATTTTTACAATGTTTCAAGTAATCGATAATGCAGTATACCAGTCACATCACAGAAAACAATTAGCAACAATTATCCAAACAACAGGATCTGTCGAATTTGCTCTCTGCTCTACTTTCAGTTTTAGTCTCAAAGTAACTCGTACATCGACCAATTCGTATTGCGCAAATTCATAGTGAAATGTGAATTCATTTTTTATGCCCCCGTAATCGAAGTTTCGAGGGTACATAGTTTTTGTCATGTCCGTTCCGTCCGTACGTCTGTCTGTCTGTCTAGCTGTCTGTCTGTTTGTCCGCAAAAACTTTAACCTTGCCCATATAACATAACATTTGATTTATTGGAGCTATGACTTTCACATTTCACATGTGTAATCTTTGTGACAAGACCTTTCTTTGGTATCACCAAATTTGACATTTTGACCTTGACCTTGGAGTTTGACCCACTTTTACACAAAAATTCTTAACTTTTAATTTGGCCATATCTTTTAAACAGTAGTTACCAGGACTTTCATATTTCACATATGTATTCCTTTCATTTGATTCACCTTTTGACCTTGACCTTGGAGATTTCTGTACTTATGAAAAAACTTTTACCTTGGCCGTAACTTTTGAACAGTAAGGGCTAGGGCTTCCATACTTCACATATGTAATCCTTAAAAGACACTTCATTGGATACCAAGAACTTTGACCCTTTGACCTTGACCTTGGAGTTTGACCTACTTTTTACAAACTTTAACCTTGGCAATAACTTTTGAATGGTAAGGGCCAGCGCTTTCATACCTCCCATATGTAATCTTTGAGACAAGGCCTATTTTTTTAAACCAACAATCTTGACTCTTTGACCTTGACCCCAGAGTTTGTGTTACCTTTAAAAACATTATCCTTGGTCATAGCCTTTGAACAGGTGGTGCAAGGGTTTTATATTTAACATTTTTATTTCTTGTGAAAAGGCCTTACTTTAGGTATCAACATATTTGTTATACATTTGAGAAAGCTTATCCTTCATTATGTTGCCATACCGGGGCATCTGTGTTTCACAAACACATCTTGTTTCTTTATTCAGTGAAAGGGAAAATAATTCATAGTTTGAGTAAAGATGCAATATGCTAAACAAAGCCAATGCACCCCTGCTTTGTGTGTGTATGTTGGAGGGGGGGTGTGCAGATTTAGGATTTAAACAGTATGACAAAATATCTAAATGTATTACTGATACATTGTATATGATTTTAATCCAAAACTTGACTGATAAAAGATGTCTTAATAAAATGTCTTCAACAAATACATGCACTTTTACTCTTTAAAAGTGATATCTTTGAAGGAAGGAAGGAAAAATAAAATAAATCGGATATTTTATCTGAACTTTTTTATTCATACATGTATAAATATATGTATTCATGAAAAAAAAGTATATAATATAAACATCACAAATCTGCTCTCACAACCAAACTCAATTTTGATTATCTTCATCCAAAACTTTCTATCTAACAAAATGGATAACATTAAAGCTTTGCTCTGAGTGGATATAAAAAATAAATAAATACAAATGACAATAAACAAGAGACAATAAAATGGTAAAATGCATTAAATTTACAACAGATCTCTTTTATTTATAGCGTATTCAATATAAACTGATACAAATAAGCTCAGTTAAATGCAAATTTTCTGTTGATGGTTTTGTTGTGATTTTCAAAAGATATTGGTTTTAACACTTTTTCAAATTTCAAGGTTTTTCAATCTCTTTCTTTTTTTTTAAAGTCATCTTCGCTTAAGGTAACCTTCAAATCTCAAAATCATGGTTTTGTTCAAGCAAAAAATAAAGCTGAATTCAGCATAAAAAATGTATATCTTCAATGTAAAAATATTAAAATTTTAATAACTCTAAACCAGTTTCTAAACGTTTTTAAAAAAATCAAACACTAAACATTTGAAACATTAAAAGGATTATATAAGAAAAACTTATTTTATACCTCAAATTTTTGTGAGTAACATTTTATAGCAATGACAAACTTTTATAAAAAGTTATCTATTATTAAGGAACTTCTGAAAACTCTTATCCATCATTTAATAAAAATCTTATTTTATTGGAAACATTATGAATATCAGTTTGTTCTTAAATTCAGCAGTTTAATTTATGTGCTCTGAGCACATTTTCTTTGATCATCTACCCTTTTTTGGAAGTTTTCTAAATTAAAAAATATGATTCTTTTTCTTGCTGATCAAATTTGAATCTATTCTTCCTTAACACATAAATGTTCTAGAATATTTACATAATTCATAATTAATCTTTTATCTTGAAACTACGGTAACTAAAAAAAAACCTAAAACAAAACAGTCAATACATCTGCACTGCACATCTTCATAGTCACATAATTCAAATTAATTAGCAAACACCTCTTGCAAGTAATGAGGTAAAATCTTGCATAGATAAGAAATATAACAGCTTTACTGAACTCTAGGCTTGTAAGAACACAACCTTATGTGAGAATATACAATGTAGTAACCAATGCTTAACAATGGGTACAAAGAATGCCTTTACCTCTGTTTATATGTAAAAATAATTATTACTGGCATATTCTAAGGTATTGTAATTACCTTATATTCACAAACATTTACAATCAATGAGTCTAATTAGGAATATCAGTAAATTGTTCAAAAACTTGAATATCAACTTTGGCATGCAAGAGGCTTCTTTGAATTTGGAACATTTAGCATGGTCAAGAAAAAACAACCTTGTTATTCAATATACATTGTACACTGGAAACCTGAACAAATTTTACAATCTGTCAACAGCATCTTAATTTACAGATGCAATGCAAATATTTACTAAAATTGTACTTGAAATGCAATGAACTTTTTGTGAAAAATGAAATTCTGTAACAACTAAATCCCAAACCAAACACCTACCATTACAACAGATCCAAAAAATAAATACAAAAAAAAAAATCTACAGACAATTACCAAGGTAACTCAATATGAATCAAGAAAAGTGACTAGTCCTCTAAAAAAGAGAAAAAACAAAATAGAGTAAGTCTATTTCTGGAAATATCAACTACAGTTTCATTAATAAATCACACAAGCCTACTCCTAATCAACAGCTAACATTTGGAATGTCTCAGATTTTTCAGCTGATTATCAACCTTATCCAGACTGACAAGAGACAGAATTCGAAAAAAAAAATAAATAAAAACTAGAAAGTCTCATGGAAAAAGTGAATATCAGGATCAAAATATAGAAAGCTCACAGTGTTAAGTGTTTTAACAATCCACAAGAAAAATGGAATGAAAGAAGACAATAAGATCTGGCATATAAAATAAAAATCTGTAAATGCAAAAAAATGTCTAAAATCACAGTAGCAAGGGAAATTGCAAATGCATGAAAAAAATGCATCAGTTATAAATACAACCCTATATAACAGTAAATGCTGACTGTCACATGACCTCAGACTGTACAACTGTTCAAATGCTGAATTAATGAGACCTTAAACTTCAAAGTAAAAACTCATACCACCGCTATTATTGCTTTGCTGTAGAATGAAATAGGTACCGGGTAACTAATTGCTTTAGAGGTTTCACATTCATTGTCCAAGCATTCCTTTACTGGCCAGCTTGTCTTTCTACAATACAAATACATAGTTTAATATTAGTCCTGTCAAGTTTGAGATAATGATGTTTAACCGTATACTAATTTATAAATTTGTAAATTCATAAGATCAAATACTTTCATATTAAAACATTAATCCCTTTTACATGTATTATATAAATATTTGCACGTAAACAGTTACTAACCAGTCCCCCTCGCCGGCGCACCCTGGTGTTTGGTTGCTGTAGCTTCTTTTCCCTGATTTGTTTCAGACGTAATTCTTCTTGTTGCACTCTGAAAGGTTAATTGATAAATAGTCATACTTTCTTAATATTTATTAATGTTTTAAAGAACAGTAAACAGTATTTCAACAAAAGAATCTATTATAGACTTTCAAAATTAATTACATATGCACTGATCTTAAGTTTTTGAAGTCTAATAAAAATAACATGAAAATTCCTAGATATTAAAAAGATTCCATGATATCTTTGATATATATCAACATTTCTATTGACATCAGATAAAAACCACAAGTTGTAATATTAATATGCCATTGGATAGATTCTCAAACTAACCTTAATTTGGCGACATACTGCTGCTCTTTTTTCCAGAGATCCTTAAAGTCGTGACAGAAGGAGGACCAAAGAGAGAAGAAATACTCCGGAGTCACCTCCTTCTCACCTGATTTAGGTTTCACCGTGTAAAACATGTACAACGAAGCAAATCTGTAATGGAGATCTTGTGGTGAGTCAGATTATTCTATTATGTAACAATAACACAATCGCTCAACTTTGTGTTGACTTCTGTTTTCCTTATAAAAATATGAAATTTAATGTTGAGAGAATTTAACACATGATAAAATTCTAAAAAATGACGAGCCACATTTGAAATATAGAGGGGGATATTTCCTACATGAAATAGTAATATCTACTTACACACTCTTTGCTTCCTTTAAATTTTCCTCTTGTTCCTTAAATTCTTCTTGTCCTGAAAAAGTCAGATTTGAACAATTATAAAAGAAAGCAGAAGACAACTAATAATCTAAAATGAACATAAAATTCTCCCATGATTTCATATTACCAGTATTTGCATGTAGAACATGTAAACATTACCTTTATTAAAGAAAGTAGACATAATATCCTTAAAAGGCTGTACATATTCTGGACTGGAGTTCTTTATCACCTTATCTGCCCTTTTTTCAGCAGCTGCAATGTTTATAAAAGTTTATGATTTTTACAAGGATTGCTAAGATGTGAATAAACCCAAGTTTATGGTGCACAACTTCACAATACCCATGATCCTTCCATGTGCACATAAGTTTATATGCAGCTTTAATTTTTCCAAATTAATAAACATTTTTAAAACAAGAGGCCCAGTGGTTCTTGAGAAGAAGATTTTCAAAGATTTTTCCTATATATTTCTATGTAAAAATTTGATTACCAATTGTGGCCCCGCCCTTTCCCCTGGGGTCATGATTTGAATAATTTAGAAATTACACTACCCCAGGATGCTTCCACATAAGTTTCAGTTTTTCTGGCCCAGTGGTTCCTGAGAAGAAGATTTTCAAAGATTTTTCCTATATATTTTAATGTAAAACTTTGATTCCCCATTGTGGCCCTGCCCTTCCCCCTGGGGTCATGATTTGAACAATTTAGAATCTACACTACCCCAGGATGTTTTCGCATAAGTTTCAGCTTTTCTGGCCCAGTGGTTCTGGAGAAAAAGATTTTCAAAGATTTTTCCTATATATTTCCATGTAAAATTTTGATTCCCCATTGTGGCCCCGCCCTTCCCCCGATGGTCATGATTTGAACAATTTAGAATCTACACTACCCTAGAATGCTTCCACATAAGTTTCAGCTTTTCTGGCCCAGTGGTTCTTGAGAAGAAGATTTTTTAAAGACCCCACCCTATTTTTGTCTTTTCTTGATTATCTCCCCTTGTGAGGAAACTTGGCCCTTTATTTTAACAAATTATATTCCTCTTCAACCAAGGATGCTTTATACCAAGTTTGGTCAAAATTGGCCCAGTGGTTCTTGAGAAGAAGTCGAAAATGTGAAAAGTTTACAGACGGACAGATGGACGGACGACGGACAAAATGTGATCAGAAAAAACTCACTTGAGCCTTCTGCTCAGGTGAGCTAAAAACACAAAATAAACTGACGTTGTAGACTTCTGATGGCAAACTGTCCAATCAAAAATAATTTTTACCACTGAAGTCTTTCTGGATTCTTTTGAGCTCCTTTTCAATGTCATCAAACTGGACCAACATGGCCTGTGTCACGTCACTGTACTCGGGGACCGGCAGCTTGGCTTTCTCTGTCCCCGCCAGATCTCGCTCAAACTTAGAGACATACGTCGACACGATGTACTGGAGCAGAGTCATTCTATTATCCTGTCAATGGAAATTGTTATTGAAAATTTTCAGAGAGCTCTTAAAATGCCTGTGTCTTAAAATCTAAAAATGTGGCCTTGACAAAATAAATTTATCATATGGCAACTTTTTGTGTTAGACATTAGATTTTAATTTTTTGGTCAACACATGTAAATGATATCAATTTTCTCTCCTATACCTTTGTTTTCACATCTTTCAGTTTGGCCAGGATTTCTATTCCAAACCCATCTGCCTGGCCTCGAGATCTATTTCCTAGAATTAAAAAAAAAATAAACTGAAGCACAGTCTTCTTCATATAAAACACTTACATTAATACCCCATTTCTGTTTGCCACTAACATTTCTTTGACTAATTATTAGTCTGCACTTATTTATCATCCATCATTCAAACTTCTACCAGCTACTATTAAGTCTTTAAATACTTATGGTCATGTCCATAGAATTTAAAATCATTTTTAGTCTCCACTCACTACCATTTAGTTTTTACTTACCTCCATTCATATAGTTTCCTATGGCAAGCACTATACCCAGTATATCTCTAACACTTTTCCCCTGGATTAACATCTACAAGGAAAAAAAATCAATGAAAAGTTGGAGATTCTATTTAATCAATTTTTCACTGTCAACTTACAGTAGTTTTCTTGGAGTCTAAAAAGTTAGCCTACCTGAGAGGTCATTTTGAGATTGTTTAGTTTATTGTCTATCACAGATATGCTTTCTTGGAAGCCTTCTTGAAATAACAGACAGAAAATTCTCTCTGCAAAGTCAGGAACTTGGTTGAGATCAAACAAAAATCTGTGAAAAAATACATTAAATCAGTTGTGAAGTAGAATCAAACAGTGCTCTCAGCAGCATTAAATTCTACTCTCCATTATTAATAAATTATCACAAGAATAATTTCTGTAAAAATCAAATGAATTCACTCATTATCTGATCATGTGTTACTTACTGATCAGGTTTATCCAGCATCACGTCTGGATTTTTATCTACATGCTTCTTTAGTTTCTTTACTTCATCCTCATCAGCTCTCTGAAACAGAAAATTCAAATATAATAAGTTTTCCTTCATCCATCATTTTTTGATCATGAAAGTAAACTTTCAAGTATATGACTGCTTTTCAAAATTTACAAAGTTTGCTAGGACACATCAATTCATTATCTTCTCTAATTGGTAAATACATTTTACATGAACAATTCACACTTGATCTGAATGAAATTATTGTCTTCCACTTACACTATCATAAATGGCTTTTAATTTCTCTATGTCCACACAAGAAGTATCACATGTCAATATAGCTATAACATGAAACAAAAAACAAAATCATTGTATAAGTACATCTTAAAACATAAACAAAAGATTAAAATATCCTGTATACCAACAATCAGTATTATATACTGGTATGTAAATGGCAACTTTTATTCATGAGTTGTCGGTTCAAATTAAATCTACGTATGTATTAAAATGAATCCCCTTCCACATACCTAATTCAATATCATTGATATCCACACGCAGACTAGATAACAGGATCCCTACCAGCTGGGAACGCTTTGGGCTTAACACCTTGGCAACCTGAAATAATTTTATTGTCATGGCAACATCAAAACATCAAAACATGTAAACAACATACAACTTCATATTTTTACCATATCCTTCCATAGTCTGTCATTTTAACAAACTAAGTATATTTGAAAATTGGACTCAAATTTACTGTCTTAATTTATGAGTAGAGTAATACTAATAATAAGATTGTTCTGAGATGTCATCAATCAGCTGTTAGATTTGACCTCTGACCTGTTTGGCTGGAGATTTGGCGCGGGTTTTGTTGGTTTTTTGAGAGGCCTCTGACGGGGGTTTACAGAACAGTTTGTCCACTTCCTCTACATCAATAGCCGCCTCGTCAATCTCCTCCCACACCAAACGCATGTTGTTCAGGCTGTACATAAAAACAAAGTGAACTGTATGATAAAGTTAATTTAAATCAGATTTATTCAAAAGGAAGCATTTGGACAAACTGGAACTATTACAATAAAATTTTGGACTTGGAAATGATAACTACATTTATTCGGAGTGAGCCCTCTCTTTGCATATTTTTTTGTCAATCTATATATCATATTTATTTTGTATAAAATTTGAACAGATAAAATTTCCATTGAATGTTTGCAAATTTTCCCGAATGGGAATAGTACTGTACATTATATTTATCTGCATGGTACAAGGTCTTCCAAACTTACTCTTTATTTTTAGATTTGAGATTATGGACCTGTATCCTCTGCCAGAAGAGTGGTTTCATTGGAGATTTAGTCTGGATAACAGGCTTTAGAGACCCTTCAGAAAAAAAAATTAACGATCAAAAATAATATTTCTCTTGCAGTACAACAGTTAATGTGCAATGGATATTTTTTTACATGTAAAAATCTCAGAATTTTGTTTATGGATTTCTGAACTAAGATAATATTTATTCTATACTTATGAACTAATAGGAATTAATTCCAAATCTCACAAAAGTTCTCACCTTTTCTGACAACCCCTGGTCCACCTGGCACAGGAGGAGCAGGAGGGGGTGGGGGACCACCTGGTGCAGGTGGTGGGGGTGGGGGAGGTGGAGCTCCTACCCCTGGGGGTGGCGGTGGTGGTGGTGGAGGAGGGGGTGGGGCATTGGGACGTAGTTCATCAGGAGGGAGAGGCATGGGCATATCTCCTTCATCCTCATCTCTGTAAGAATAAATTAAATTATCAAAATAATGCATATGCATAACAAGTAAGACAAAAGCACTCCTGTAAAGAAAACAAGAGATGTTTGTAAAACACTTATGCCCCCCTCCCCCCAAATTGGAACTTTTTAAGTCCAAAAGGGCATAACTCTATTAAAAATGGCGTGATTGTACCCAAAACTGAACTTGACTTAAATATTTATCTGATAAATCTGTATACCAAATTTCATTTCAGTATGTGCACCCTCTGTGAAGAAAATGAACAGAAACTGCAAATAATTGGAATTTTTCTAACTCCAAGGGGCATAACTCTGTCAAAAATGGTGCGATTGTACCCAAAACAAAACTTGACCTAGATATTTATCTGATATATCTGTAAACCAAATTTCATTTCAGTACGTGCAACGCTTGTGAAGAAAATGAAAGGAAACTAAGTGGACCGACTGACAGACCAACAGACAGCAGCAAAGCAATATGCCCTCCCTTCTTCGAAGGGGGGGCATAAAAACTGATGCTTAGGGAGAATCATATTTTAAGCTCTTAGACAGAAGTCCTTATTATTCAGTACCTTGGTATATCAGGATACTCTCCCTTGATACACTCCGGTGTGATGGGGGTATGGAATCTTTGTGAGGCAGGTGTCCCCGTGACTGCGAACATCTCCCCTCCGGGGGTCATGAAGTCCTGCTCCAGTTGTTTCTGGGCCTCCACCAGAGCTTCATTCTGTTCTCTGAGATCTTGCAGCTCCTTCTCGAGTTTGACAATCCTCTCGGTACTCTCCTGGAGTCTGGACTGGTACTCCTCCCGGCAGTGGTCCAGTATAGACTGGTTCTCCGCCTATAAGAAAAAGCAGGAACCATCATCAAATTCAATTTTTTGGATATCTGTTTGAATATTTTACACATTTCATCACAACCAACAAACTTTTACAATTTCTTTTTAAGTTTTTTATATGATTACATGACGTATGTTTCCTAACAACTTAAAACACTCTACTTCCTTTGCTGTGCATACCTTGAGCTTTTCCACTTCTTGCTGATATTCCTTTTTGACATTCACAAATGCAGCCTGTTGTTCTGTATCATGGAAAAGCAAAAAATATTGTTGTTTAATATTTTTAAAAGTAGTTGTACATGTATCTTCAAAATATCCTGTAAGACTTTAAAAATGCCAATTTATTTTTTTCTTTTAGAATTTTGTAAATACTTATGGATCAAGAAAAACAAAATATCGAATTATTTGCAAGATGTTATTAAAAAAACTGTTACAAAAGAAATTAAATATATCTAATGAAATTATAACAACAATAATAAACCTTTAAGATTGACTATTTATGTACTACAGTACTCTAATAAAATATACTACTACATAATATTCATTTTTTTTTCTACCTTTCGAACATAAAATGTGCATATAAATTTATATAAATAGTTTCACAACTTTAAATGGATTTAGAGAATTAATATTTTTAAAAAATTCTCAATGCTTCATATAATTGTCAATACCATTGTAAGTGTTAAGCTAAAACAAAATTAAAATCATGATCTTTTGTTACATATATTACTCAAATCATATTGAATTTTCAAAATCAGCTATAAATCTATTCACAGTTGCCAACTGTGGAAATGGTTAGAATATTGCATAACTTTTTCCCTTTTGAATAAATTATCTCTATTTGTCAAAACTCAGAAACAAAACTGATTATTTCAGAGGGGGGATGCATATATTCATTTTAAAAAATGTTTCAACAACTCTTGAAATGCTTTAAATTACTGGTACAAAGAAAAAAAATTAACAAATAATCTCACATATACTAGCATTTGGAAAAAATTGAAATAAGAGACAAATTTAAAAAATTTCAACGTTCTATGTAAAATGTAGGATTTCCACTGTTAGCAACTATGAAATTACACGTATATGTCATCTATACAAAAAAAGCACACTAAAATTCGAACCCTTCATAAACTTTGTGATGTAATTCCTGTAGTAACGCTCTGAAAAGTATCACATTATTTTTTTAAAAATCACATAATGATGCCTCATTTACAGTGTTTCTAATGCTCTAGACTAGACATGAAAAATGTTGCATCCCTACTAAAATCTTTATTAATCTAAAAAATTACAGAATCAACCATTAGCGGATGTTCACAAAGAAATAATGGTCAAACCTGCTTCTGTGTACTTGTGTCCAAATTCATCTTTTTCTGGCATGGGAGGGGGCCACATGGGGCCGAGTTTTTTAATGTCTACATCCTGTCGAATGGGGGCATTCTCTGTGTGTGTCCAGTAATACATACAGTCAGGCTAAAAAATAAAAACTAGAGATCAAATAGAGATTAAACAGAGATTACAGAGATTGGATGGGAGCATTCTCTGTGTCCAGTAATTCATACAATCGGGCTGAAAAATAAAAATTAGAGATCAAATAGAGATTAAAGAGAGTTTAAAGAGATTAGATGGGAGCATTCTCAGTGTGTGTCCAGGAATACATACAGTCGGGCTGAAAAATAAAAATTAGAGATCGGACAGAGGTTAAAGAGAGTTTACAGAGATTGGATGGAAGCATTCTCTGTGTGTGTCCAGTAATACAAACAGTCAGACTGAAAATTTAGAGATTGAAAAGAGATTGAAGAGTTCTTTAAGAAACCATTTGTAATTTGGTAAAACTTAAAAATTTGTTATTTCTTACTCTAATTAAGCTTTTCTAGGAAGACCTCCAAGCCAAAAGATTCCACATCCAAAATGTGTGCACTTTAAAATCCACATTGAAAAATTATTTTTTTCTTAAATAAATCTTTCAAAAACTTTCAAAATTCCGAGTTATAGCATTAACACAAGTCCAAATGAAAAATTTCTATAAAATCATCATGAAAATTCCATGTTTTAGCATCACAAATAAATTCCAACTGGGCAGTCAGAATCAGACTTTTACATTTTGGTACTTTAATTTAAATACCAAACAAAACAGTATAAGTTCACTCATGACTTAGAAATTTAAATAAAATGTTATAAGCATCACATTTCCCCATCAATAATCTCTCCATATCCCAGCTGCCACTCAATGTATATCTTTCTACATGTATACACAAATAATCTTTTTTTATGACCCAAAAAGTCAATTTAGCCGGCACATAACACTGTCACTTCTACAAAAAATCCGGCCTGTAAAAAACATATCAATTTCATAAAGTATGGCAGAAATCCCTGATGTCCATATTCAGAAAGCTTGTAAACTTGCTCAGGCATGAAGCTTCTCCTTTGATTCATACATATTTGATAGTTATTCTATATTGTTCATAAAAAATCTGATACACTGGAGTAACATTCAAACTGACACTCAGGAAAAAATGAAGCACTTGATTATCATTTACAGAATTCGTCACTTCACTACTGACATATCCAACTAATTCTTCTGACCAACTGGTCAAATATTAAGTTTGTACATTCTTTCTTCTAAAAAACAATTTTCAGGCTTGTTAATTTTCATACTTATTGGATTAACATGTGGGATTAAAGTCTAACCAACTGCAAATAAGGACAAATAAAATACCATTTTCCAGACCAGTGACCTTGAAATCTAATAATTTCAATGACAAAAGTTTTCTACTAAAGATTAAATAGTCACTCCTTCTGTGAACCTTGTACCCGTATATTTTCAACTAAAATTTTGTTACATCATAAAAATAAAAACAAAAATTGTCCATGGTCCATAATACTATATTATCCAATTTTCATTCTCCTAAGAAAAGATCAAGAAAAGAAAAGATGAAGCCCAAATTGTGGCCATTGTTTTCAAAAAATTAATTTATAGTTTATTAAAACTCCAATACATGTATTTACTTAACAAATTGAAGCATGTCTTATTCTTGGAAAATTAAAGAAATATCTTTATAAAATTGTATTCTTCAGTTATGTCCTAGTTCGAGCATCAGAGGGCCACAATTAAAATAAATATCCTTAAACAAAATATGGGGATGCAATACTCCATATTTTACAGGTGCTTCTTGAGAAATAAAAAATTAAATAAGCCCACCAAATTTTCATGTTCTTTTGATCATCTCCCTTAGAAAGAAGGTGTGGTCCTTTTAATTCCATTCATCAAAGAAAGTTTGCGGAACTTTGGTTGAAACTGGTCAAATGGAGAAGAATTAGAACTTTAAACAGAAAACTGACAAACACTAAACAAACTTCTGTCACAAAAGTTCATTTTAACCCTACCGTTGGTAAACTAAAAATACATTCCAATTCAAGTTTTGAATATCTTCAATTAAAAAAAGGTGACGAAATATCCAATCTTAGTCTTTTAATGTGAATATGAAACACTTATGCTGACAGAAATACATTTCAATTTTTAAAAGTTCTTTAATCATTGACACTGGGTCTTACTCACAAATCTCAATTTCAAAATCTACTTTGACAATATAGGATTTATGAAATAAAAGTAAATTTAATGTTCATTTCAACAAGTTCAGCAAGCATTGGGAAGAACTAAGCATAGAAATGAGTCTATTCAATGCAGGCAACTACTTTTTTTAAGTTCAATAATAAAGGCAGCAAGCACAGAGCTTATCTATCACCATCAGGGTATGGCAACAACTTTTTTCAGAACCCACCTTGAAGATTTGCTGGTTTCTCCCCTCCTTCTCTGCCATGACCCCCGAGGCAATAAGACATGTACAGAACTGTGTCAGAACCACGCTCATGTCGTGTCGCGTCATCACCAACCTCAGGTAGTGCTTGTCATCAATGGTGGACTGCAACCAGTTCAGCAACATCTGACCTAAATATGTAATCGCAAATCATTTTTTTCTTGTGATTGTTTCAATACAGTTGAAACTGTGTGCTTTCATTTCATGATAAAAATGAAAACTATGAAACTGGAAAAAGAGCAAGTTTTTCTAATTACCTTCAAATATTTCAAACTTTGTGAAGTCCAAAGTTCCAGGAATGGACATGGGCCAGCTAACTGCATCCTCTAGGTTATTTGGACGTCTGCGGAGGATTTCTTTTCCCCTGGAATCGCTGAGTTGCCTCTTCTCATCACAGAAAGCCAGCGGAGATGAAGGGGGAAACATTGGACTGGAGGGGGAAGACTTATTGAGGGGGGAATTTTCCCCCGACAGCTTCCTATTTCTAAATTTAGCATGACCTTTTTCTTTACTCAGGTCATCAATGTCTGTTTCCTGATCATCACTACACGAGTGGTTGCTATTGACTGAAGGCGACTGGGGTGAAGGTTCGTTTTTCATGTGCGTGTCTCCGAACCTTTTACTGAGGAATTCTTGGTCTCGGTCTTTCATGGCCTTGTCCAGATCCGTTACCCCAGTCATGCGTTTTAAGGAGGGGCTGCCTACATTAGACTGGCCCCCGTGCTGGGGGTGACCAGGGTGAGATTCTTGCTGACTTCTTCCTTGATAATGCTGGCTGGATTGGAATTCTCTTTGAGGTGGTGTTTGGTTGTTCAAGTTAGAAGGATACTGTTGATTTCTGTCAAAGTCACCATTAGAAGTTTGTTGATTGTCAAGTACCTGTTGAGGCTGCTGTTGATTTTGATGTTGTTGACCAGGACTCTGGCCTACTTGTTGCTGACCCTGAGCATTTGGAAAACCTCTCTCGTAGGAGTTACCTTGTTGCTGTGGGCTTCTTCCTCTGAATGGGCGGCGGCCTTCAACTGGTCTCTCAATCTTCTCCTCAGATGAATAGATAAGTGTGGGGTCCCTCAAAGGGTCAACACTGTTACTTTCCTGCTGTCTATTTACTTGCTGTTCCTCCCTAGAACTCAGTGATCGGTCTCTCCTCCTGACCTCTACTTGGGGCCTGCTCTCCTTGTCCCTGTTGAATGATCTAGATCTTAACAGTGTATAGGTGGACTGCAATTTGGCCATCAATGGGCTGTCTTTCCCATAAGCATTTTCTCTGTGAGCTTGAATAATAATTTCTGCCTGGTTAGAAGCTGGCATACATAGTTCCTTGTTATCACAGCTTGTGTACTGTGAATTTGGACCATCTGGGGTACTATTTTTATCTGGAGTTCCAGAATTTCTGTCTTTTCTGAGATTTGCTAATACTGCAGGTGGTGGGGGCATGGCTTCCCTTCGGCGACCTCTGTCTAAGCTTTGGGGTCTCCTCTGTCTCCCTTCATCAGAACTCAGAGCCTCATTACCATTATGACTAGAAGATCCAATGGGTGATTGCTGTGAACCACTTACACCTCCATTTCGTACACTTGATCTATCAGTCTGAACTTGAGGCCTTGAAGGTAAAACATTAATATCACCCCTCATTGGTCCTTCCTGTCTCTGAGGTGTGGTCATTGAAGAATTCTGATCCTCAGATTCTTGTTCTGAATCCCTAGTAATATACCTCCTTCTAGGAGTTCGTTGTCTTGAGGAACGTTCACCAGAATTACCACCTCCCATCTGAGTATCTGGAGTTTTGGCAAGATCCGAATTGTCTGATGGCTGACGATCCACACTTCCGTCTCTGTGTGGAATTTGTTGTCTGTCTCCACTACTGGCTCTTTGTGCATGTCCTTGTCTGTCATGGCTTCCATCATTAGCTGGATATCTCTGTTGGTCTCCATATCTTTGTGGATTAGTAATTGGCTGTTCATATCTCTGACTGCCACCTCCATACCCCTGCTGATGCAGCTGAGACTCACTATCATTACCTCTCTGTCTGTCACTGCTACTGGCTCTTGGTGGATGATATCTTTGCTGTTCACCACTGTTATTTCTTTCCCTGTATCTTTGCCGGTCAGCACTACTATCTCTGTGGGGATACCTCTGTTGATTTGGGTCACCTTGGGGATACCTCTGTTGATTTGGGTCACCTTGGGGATATCTCTGTTGATTTGGGTCACCTTGGGGATACCTCTGTTGATTTGGGTCACCCTGGGGATATCTCTGTTGATTTGGGTCACCCTGGGGATACCTCTGTTGATTTGGATCACCCTGGGGATACCTCTCTTGATTTGGGTCACCTTGGGGATACCTCTCTTGATTCAAGTCACCTTGTGGATACCTCTGTTGGTTTGGGTCACTCTGGGGATACCTCTGTAGGTTTGGGTCACCCTGGGGATACCTTTGTTGATTTGGGTCACCTTGTGGATACCTCTGTTGATTTGGGTCACCCTGGGTAAAACTCTGTTGATTTGGGTCACCCTGGGTATACCTCTGTTGATTTGGGTCACCTTGTGGATACCTCTGTTGATTTGGGTCACCCTGGTTATACCTCTGTTGATTTGGGTCACCCTGGGTATACCTCTGTTGATTTGGGTCACCCTGTGGATACCTCTGTTGATTTGGGTCACCTTGTGGATACCTCTGTTGACTTGGGTCACCCTGGTTATACCTCTGTTGATTTGGGTCACCCTGGGTATACCTCTGTTGATTTGGGTCACCCTGGGGATACCTCTGTTGATATGGGTCACCCTGCGGATACCTCTGTTGACTTGGGTCACCCTGGGTATACCTCTGTTGATTTGGGTCACCCAGGGGATATCTTTGTTGACTTGGGTCACCCTGGGGATACCTTTGTTGGTTTGGGTCCCCCTGGGGATACCGTTGTTGACTTGAGTCACCCTGGGGATATCCTTGTCTCTCTCTACTTCTTGTTCTCTGTCTTCTATCCTGACTACCTGACCTTGGAGAATATCTCTGTTGTCCCGGGTCTTCTACCTGAGATTGTCTCCCTCCTCTAACATCCTGGTTTGGATTACCATAATGTAAGCCTCCTTTATCAAAGGGATTAACACCAGCCTGCACTGGAGCACTTCTTGCATTCTCAGAAATGTGGAAAGCATCTAAACTCCTTGTTAAATCGTGGACATTTTCTTGTGGATAAGCCATTGGTTTAGATTATCAGATTCTTTTTCATCATAATTTGGTTCCAAGGCACATGCATTGCTTCATTTCATCTGTAAAATAATTTGAGTTCTTGTATGATTCATGTATATTTAGGTTTCTTTCATTATACAAGGTACATAATGAATATGAAACTTTTGAAAATGTTTACAAGTATAATGGCATTCACATTAGTGGATAAAGAGCTATCAGGGATCAGGACCTAAAACTGAAATAACAACTGTGGCATTCTTACTCTATTTGCTGCTGTATATTATATCTTGTGTGTTATACATATGATACACTCTAGCTTGAGCGTGTTCTTGTAAAAGAACATTGATTAAATTTGCAGCTATAAAATTTGCAGCAAAGAAATTTGATTAATTAAGTATGCATAATTTAGAAAATATAAAACCAGGTCAGAAGGGTTAAATGCTGATCAGAACATTCTATTTGTCAAAAAGTGACAGAGGACTACACTACTTTGTTTGGAAAATATTTCAATTTGTGACTTGTAATTAAAGATCTCATCCAAATTGTTTTCTGAATAAATGTAAGACAATAACATGACAATCAATGTAATTGATTTTAATTATGATAAGCTTGTCTAGAAGTTTCGGGTGTTATAGTTTGAAAATAATCACAGAAATCAAGGATTTCTTGAGCTATTGAGAGACAGATCACACCTTCGTCATGTTCATGGCAAGTGCAGTTTATATTTGTTGATTTTTACAATCCACACCTCTCAATTTATACATCCACATTCTATTTTATTTACATATTCAATCATGACTAATATTTCCAGTTCTGTAGCCTGTAGTCTGCCTAAGCAGTTTATTTTTTTCTTAACACATTCGTATGACCTACAGTTAGTTAACTTTTCATCATTAAACAAAACTGAACTACTAGGTACTCAGAAAAGAATAGGGTTTTCATCCAATGAATTGAGTAGGATTGTCCTTAAGAATTGAAAAAGCAGAGGACATTTAAAAAGCAGAAGGGGAGAAGGAAATCTTGGGTTCCAACCCTAACAGAGATTTGAAGGGGAATAGAATACCAAAACAAATTGGGGTTGGGGGTGGTTACATCGTCATAGTCAAAGAAATTCCCCAGCCATCAGGTCTTAGGGAAAACCCTGGACTGGGGTCTCCAGGAAAAAAAACAGCATGTGGGTGCTCTAGTTATAAACAAGTTTACGGCTGATACGGGTATATCCAATCACTTTTACACTCTTTCCCCCTTTTAATGGTTTTCTCAGTGAGACTCTTCTAAGCAGCTGTAGGTTTTGATCTTGGGCACAAACATAAGAAGAGGGCAAAAGTGTTCACCTGCATTGTAGATGCTCTACTACAATGTACTAAGCTAGTGAGCCACTGTACCCAATATCTATTATACTAAGTGCAACAAACTCTATTTTTAGACAAATATAAGGAAAGAAAAAAATTAGAATCTGCACATTCGTCAAGCAAATTTTGGTGTGAAACCATTAGAACATTCTTTTGCTACCATGATTCCATGCGATAATGGCCAAAAACATACCCATGCCACAATTATCAAAGTCTGTTCTTGCATAGAGATTAAAGGATGTACCAAAAAGAAAAAAAATAATTGTACGTTATCTATTTTAAAATTTACTTTAATTTGAAAGGCGTACTCTGAGACTCTGTAATAATGAAAGTACTAATAACATACAATCTATGTTATGTCACAGTCTAGACAGCATCTCGTGCAGACTGATAAGGGAGTTCAAAGTCAAAGCTATTTAATGTAAGAGATTTTTTTATTGAATCTCATAATATGGCCTATAAATACAACTGCTCTCGCCAAGTATTTTGCAACGCCAAACAATTTTTTTTATTGAATTGCTTGAATAAAAATGTAAATATTTGAAATCAAAGCTAGAACTGTTGCACTGAAAAAAATGTCAAAGTTTCTTACAAACTACAAAGGAATTATTCCACTTGGCCAAAAAGTATTGTCTTTATGCGGTTGCCTCCTATGTTTTTTTTTTTATCGTAATTAAAACTGAGTAAGAAGTCATCAAAATACTCTAAAAGCACCATAGATCATAGCATCTACATGTACTTACCAAAACTGGTTAAAATTTTTGACAGTCCGCTGCATGACATGTTGATGTTTGGCCTAACCGTTCATTTTCGTTTCCGGTGGTAGCAAATTACTAGGTGCCTGCCATGCCGAATCCGCAAACTAATTTCATTTTATAGACACGTGTCTGTAAATAGAAACTTTGATAAAATAAAGAAGTTAGATGTGAGCTTATTTAATTGAAAGGCACATTTTTATCAGTCATGGAATTTTGATTAAATCACATTTACCTCTTCCATATGAATAAATACCTTATTTTACCCTGATCATTTTTTTAAGAAAATCTTGAGCCCGATGTTATTGAAAGTGAAAGTAGAACCAAAAGCAAAACCGTCAGTTTTCCAAAAAGGTTGCAAAGACAGTGTATCTAGAATAATGAGATCTAAATTAATCAATATTGTTCGATTTAGTAATATACTTCGTTCAGCTAATAAACTTGTGAGTAATTCCATCATTTTCAAATCTTTTCATCGATTTTTCAAAATTTATTTCCAAGTCTTGAGATGTTTTTTGATTTATGTGTCTCTAATTATAAACGAGTGTACACTACACTGTGACCCTTTGAGTAAATCAGATCAGAGAGCATATTTTTCATATAGTAATAAAAGAAGAGAAGCTGAATATTAGTTGAATTTTATTATTTAGTTTGCAAATAACATTGTAATTTGTAGCACTGACATATAGACATGTATATCCATATGTTAAATTATATAAATATTTTCTGCTTTAATTATTGGTTTATCTTTCCACTTGTAGGTTGCCAACAATTCTGCTTACAGTCATTGTTTAAACCCATCTTACACATTTAAATGTCCCTCTGCAAATTTCTCCACAGGATCAGTTTTAAGAAGGTAAGCAAACTCTAAATCCATAATATTGGGGCAGTCGTGCAGGTTCTAGTGCTATTGTCCAGAAAGATTAGTTGGCAGAGCACCTGACTAGTGATTCGGGAAATGGTGGGTGGGTGGTGGGCCTGCCTTGAAAATGATGGGTGAAAGATGCCAGGGAAGAGCTTGGGTTGGTCTCATTAAAGACAAAAGCCTTCAAATAAGGAGGTAGGAATTTGGTGAACAGGCAAGTTTGATCACAAGTTATCAAAAAGTTCAGTTGGTAGACTAGTAATTAAGAGGACCTGGGTTTGAATCCTGACCTAGTCCATCACATTTTATCTTGCCTGTTACAAGATATTTATTATTTTAAATATTTATGACAGAATTGGAGAAAATGTGACAGAAGAGGCCAAGAATCAAACTTGGGGGCCTCTGAATTCTAGAATGTGCTTTTCAACAGTTTGTTTTTGTGTTTTATTTTGGCCAATGGCAAGTTTGTTTTTCGTTTTTGATATGTCGCTTTGACATATCGAAAACAAAGAGCGAGATGAAAGGTCTAATTTTAATTAGATTGATGGCAAGTCTGCCTGAGTATCATGTATTTGCCAAATCAATGTCAATGTACTTAGTCTGATATGTTGAATAAAATTGTATTGTTATTTTTGTATATTATCAGCCAGTTGTCGGAGTCAGAATATCATGCAGTAGCAGATGAGACTATGGATTCACTGACTGAGTTTTTTGAGGACCTTCCAGAAGTAGCACCATGTGATTCAGATTATGATGCTCAATATAATGTAAACATTTCAGCCATGTTTATTGAAGTCACAGTTTATTGAATATTTATTGTTTAACTCTTTGGTAATCCTAAAACCCACTTCATATCAGTATATTAATTCCACATAATTTTTTTAAAAGATTTGATGTGGTTTGTAATCATTCTTTAAAAAGTGAACTTGAAATATAAATACCATTTCTTCTCAAAATTTGGCACAAATTTTTATATATAAATTCTCTGTTCACTTTGAAGGATGAAGCAGAAACATCCTTAAAGAGGTAGATTCACGTATTCCATAAAATGGCCCTGTCAATATACTAATTAACTGACCAAGTCCTTACGTCCTATTTCGATCATCAACATAAAGTAGAGACTTAGTGCTTTCATTTCCTATAAAAAAATTTCCTATGAGAGTCCAAGTTTGGAAACTCGGGCGTTGTGAAACTGCAATGTTCTTGATTTTTGAAGAAAATGGGTGAAATTGAACATCTTCAACTTTTGATAAAAATTGAGCCCAGCCTGCGATCCATTCTTTCATGGATTAGAATCTTCTAAAACATTTCTTTCATTATATAATTCAACATTTTAGATCAGAGGTTGGGGGCTATGCAAAATATTAAAAAACAACTTAAATTTTTGGTCATTTTTAATGAAATTTTCAGGAAAATGACGAAATTCATCATAATACATAGACAATAGAAAAAAATTACGTCATTTTTATTCGATATGAAGTCACAAAGGGTCTAAGTGAAATATAACATATTTTCAACTAAAACTGAGTAGTTCTTACTTTTCAGAAATTCACAGGGCCAAAAATGGACCAATGTGAACTTTCTTCTTTGAATTCATTATGTCTGATTTCATTTAAACTTAACGTTTTATTTTAGAGTGGTGTGCTGACAGTAAAAATCAGTGATAAGTTTGGTACATATGTCATCAACAAGCAGCCTAGTAATGTACAGATATGGCTCTCATCTCCTGTCAGGTGAGCTAATCTTATTAATTCAGCCCTTAATTCCCTCATAAATACAGCCTTTCTGTAAGATTAAAGAAAAAAAATTGTTTACACATTGTAATATTATATAGGCAGAATTTTAACAAGAAATTAATTTTGGCATTATTAGTGGGGGTGCTATGATCACTAAAATTCAATAATTATTGCTTCATTGCATTTTATTTCTAACTTTTTCAGTGAGTATTTTAAAGTTGCTAAAATTACATCTCCCTAAAAATAAAATACCATTTTTTATGGACAAATCACTAAATTTGTGTCTTGCTAAAATAAGTGGTAGGATAAAAGAATATCTTTTGATCCTTATTAAAAACTTTCAAAGACGAGACATTTTTCTCCAGTGTGTGATAATAGGGTACACTGATGGGTTTCTTGCAATGATGGGTTGAATTATCTTTTAAATTATTTTACAAAGAAATTCAGTTCATGACAGCCATATTTCATTTATAAATTTTTGGTTATCAATAGTGGTCCTTTTCGCTATGACTTTATTGATGACACCTGGGTCTACTCACGGACATCGCAGACGCTGCATGAATTACTGTCGGAGGAAGTGTCCGAAGCTCTCGATACCCCCATAGACTTTACCACGTGTTCTTATGGATCTCGGAAAAAGAGTTAGCCACCAGAGTTTGAAAAAATAATTATGTATTATTATGAATTGAGACTTTGTTTTGTACTTTATAGGGATAATTGCAGTGTATTCTATACAGGTATCCCTATTTTTTATCAGCAAACACTTTAATACATGGTTGGAAACCCTCAGTTAGTCTCACTTTAGGAGAGATTTAACCAACCATGGGTTTATCACAGAGATTTTAATGTTCCAGGATAATGGTGTCAGTCTCTTAATTATAAGTAAAATAATAATTGTAAATCATTACAAAAGTATTCATTTGTAAACACTTGTTAAAATTGTTATACAAATTGTTATATTGAAATCAACTGTCAAATGCCATACTTTCCAGAACATACTTTTGTGTTTAATTGAAGAAATGCAATTTAAAACTGCATGATGTACACAAATACTTCAAAGATATTGCTGCAAATTGTTTATTTGTGTGATATTCTGTATGAGTATTAAATGTTACTAGTACTTTTTTATTTATAAAAATAAAGTGTTTGATAAATTGCTGTGAGGTTTAGTGAATGATAATTATGAGTTGTCTCTCTTACATCAGGTAGCTATTGATCATTTCTCACATTCCTCTGAAACAAGCTGCTTTGAAAATCAAAACAGAAAAGTCATGATTTAGGCTCCAAGTATTTCAGCAAGAATACTTTACAGTTATAAATTTGAAGTTTGTTAATGTGACATTTTTAAGTATATGCCCCCCCCCCCAAAAAAAAATCACATACTGTATACACTACTAATATGAGCTTGATTTTAAAAGGCAATATTTTTATATTTAACTGATCCAATGCATTTTCTTATTCATACCTCAGAAAACATACTAGGATTGGGTATGTGTGCTAAGTCAATGTGTGTCGATTATATAGTTACTGGGTATTTCTGCCATAAGCTATGCTATACACACTACATACTCTGCGGTGTAGAATTATTCAGATCACATAGATTTGCTATGCTAGAATATATATTGAGCCTTGAGCAATGCTAAATGCTACAGACCAATGATACTGTGATACTGACCCATGAGCAATGCATTATGCTATATATATATATATATACAGACCACTGATTTATGTGCTTTGTTAATGTACACCAAAGAGATCTATATGGATATAAGAAATAATGAAATATACTGAATATCATGAAACCATTGTGGTAACTGAGCTCTACATAAAATATGACAGCTTCAAGACAAATAAGAAGGAAATTTATTTACTTATTTCATAAAAAACAAATCTTTACTTAAATCTTGAAAACAATAGTGCACTTGTTTCAAACACATTCTATTTATAAAACTACTTCATGTTTTATGTATAGAGTGCTTAGGAACACTTTGAAAAAAGTGCCTGAGTTACATAACAGGCTTCACTAATCTCCAAGATTTGAAGACAGGGAAGGAAGTGAGTGCAAAACAGGAATTAAACCACATGACCTTCCACTGAGCCTGTTGATCAGCTGGGCTGGAAAGAACAAGGAAATAATGGAGGTTTTCTGGAATAATCCCTCCTGGATAACTTAATGTATCCATAAAATGTTGTTTAGAAATGGAAAGATGGGATAAAGAACATATGCATGTCTGTATTTTACATACAAATACCAAGTATCTTATTTGAAATTTAGTAAAATCAATGTTGTGGTTTAACTGGGTGAAAGAAATGTGATTAATTTGACCTTTCCTTAGATTCCTAGACAGAATATTTTGCCATTTCTTTCCCATTATAGTAATATGTCAAAATTTATTAATTATAAATGCATAAATATGATCTAGCTATGACAAGACATTTTTTCTGTCCCATTTCAAATTACCTTAGCAAATGATTAAAACATCTTTGAATTATAGGTTTAAATTCCCAATTTTTGATGGAATTTAGGATGGGTGGTGTAAAATTAATTCCTTTGATAGGCAAATCTTTTGATTACTTGGTAACATTTTGTTACACTAGAATTTTACACGAAACCTTAGTTGCATACAAAGTTTGCATCTGATGATCTTATATTGTCTTCTCTCTTTAAGCTCTCCTACCCTTATAAACAATCCTCTGGAGTATTTTCTGGTTAAATATAAGGGACCCTACTATGCAGATAGGTCTCATCCGAGTTTTCCATATCCATAAGACCTACATACAAAATGGATTGAAAATTGGAATATGTTCAATGAACATTGACAAAATCTTAAACAATTTGTTTTACCCCCAAAACTAATGATGGATAGGGTAAAACTTCATTTACTTCTGACACAACCATTTCATTTAATTTCAACAAGAGCCGCCCCTTTTCACAATATCTCAGAACCTGGATGCTTAACAGAGTAAATTTGGTAGGTAAAATACAATTCTCCAATACATTTTAGTTAAGTTTCAGATCAAAATACCCCTATGCATGGTAAGAGATTGCAGATCGAATTGTGGCAATTTTCATTCAATTTTTTTAATACTGTAAATCACTTTTTATTCGTGAGAACTTTATTTTCGCGTAATTACGCGAGGCGGTATGCTCGCGAAAATTTCATTCTCACGTATAATAGAATTCTTTTAAGATTATATAAAGCAATGACCACAATTCATGAAAATTTTGTTTCACTAATTAAAAGTCAATGACAATCTTGCGAAAATAAGGTGTCGTGAAAATTAAGTGATCTACAGTAGTAATATTTTATATCATTTTAACACAAGATTTGGAATTCTTTCAGGTATGCTAGAAGTTTGAATGAATTTTACAAGAAATGTGCATGTTGCTCTTCATGTCTTGAATTAAATCAATGGATATTCGGGAGGTACCATGATGCCTCATTTTGATGGCTGAAATTGTGAAAACTTGTTTCAACACCCTAAAAATAATCTCAAATAATTACAAGAGGCCCATGGGCCACATCGCTCACCTGAGAAGCTTTGACCATTCAATTCTTTACCAGATTTCACCCTTGTTATACATAATGCATCCCCACCCTACCCCACTGATCATAATTTAGACATTTTGAAATCTACCCTACCCCATGAACTTTCCATGGGCACATATGTTTCAGTTTTTTTGGCCCAGTGGTTCCTGAGAAGAAGATTTTCAAAGATTTTTCCTATATATTTCTATGTAAAACTTTGATTCCCTATAATGGCCCCACCCTTCCCCCGGGGGTCATGATTCCTACAATTTAGAATTTACACTACCCAAAAATGCTTCCACATAAGCTTCACTTTTTCTGGCCCAGTGGTTCTTGAGAAGAAGATTTTTAAAGATTTTTCCTATATATTTCTATATAAAACTTTGATTCCCCATTGTGGCCCCGCCCTTCCCCCGAGGGTCATTATTTGAACAATTTAGAATCAACATTATACCAGGATGCTTCCACATAAGTTTCAGCTTTTCTGGCCCAGTGGTTCTTGAGAAGAAGATTTTCAAAGATTTTTCCTATATATTTCTATATAAAACTTTGATTCCCCATTGTGGCCCCGCCCTTCCCCCGGGGGTCATGATTTGAACAATTTAGAATCTACATTATACCAGGATGCTTCCACATAAGTTTCAGCTTTTCTGGCCCATTGGTTCTAAAGAAGATTTTCAAAGATTTTTCCTATATCTTTCTATGTAAAAATTTGATTCCCCATTGTGGCCCCGCCCTTCCCCCGGGGGTCATGATTTTAACAATTTAATATCTACACTACCCAAGGATGTTTCCACATAAGTTTCAGCTTTTCTGGCCCAGTGGTTCTTGAGAAGAAGATTTTTAAAGATTTTTCCTATATATTTCTATATAAAACTTTGATTCCCCATTGTGGCCCCGCCCTTCCCCCGGGGGTCATTATTTGAACAATTTAGAATCTACACTATACCAGGATGCTTCCACATAAGTTTCAGCTTTTCTGGCCCAGTGGTTCTTGAGAAGAAGATTTTCAAAGATTTTTCCTATATATTTCTATATAAAAATTTGATTCCTCATCGTGGCCCCGCCCTTCCCCCGGGGGTCATGATTTGAACAATTTAGAATCTACACTATACCAGGATGCTTCCACATAAGTTTCAGCTTTTCTGGCCTAGTGGTTCTTGAGAAGAAGATTTTCAAAGATTTTTCCTATATATTTCTATATAAAACTTTGATTCCCCAATGTGGCCCCGCCCTTCCCCCTGGGGTCATGATTTGAACAATTTAGAATCTACACTATACCAGAATGCTTCCACATAAGTTTCAGCTTTTCTGGCCCATTGGTTCTTGAGAAGAAGATTTTCAAAGATTTTTCCTATATATTTCTATATAAAACTTTGATTCCCCATTGTGGCCCCGCCCTTCCCCCGGGGGTCATGATTTGAACAATTTAAAATCTACACTACCCCAGGATGCTTCCACATAAGTTTTAGCTTTTCTGGCCCATTGGTTCTTGAGAAGAAGATTTTCTCAGATTTTTCCTATATATTTCTATGTAAAACTTTGATTCCCTATAATGGCCCCACCCTTCCCCCGGGGGTCATGATTCCTACAATTTAGAATTTACACTACCCAAAAATGCTTCCACATAAGCTTCACTTTTTCTGGCCCGGTGGTTCTTGAGAAGAAGATTTTCAAAGATTTCTCCTATATATTTCTATTTAAAACTTTGATTCCCCATTGTGGCCCCGCCCTTCCCCCGAGGGTCATTATTTGAACAATTTAGAATCAACATTATACCAGGATGCTTCCACATAAGTTTCAGCTTTTCTGGCCCAGTGGTTCTTGAGAAGAAGATTTTCAAAGATTTTTCCTATATATTTCTATATAAAACTTTGATTCCCCATTGTGGCCCCGCCCTTCCCCCGGGGGTCATGATTTGAACAATTTAGAATCTACATTATACCAGGATGCTTCCACATAAGTTTCAGCTTTTCTGGCCCATTGGTTCTTGAGAAGAAGATTTTCAAAGATTTTTCCTATATCTTTCTATGTAAAAATTTGATTCCCCATTGTGGCCCCGCCCTTCCCCCGGGGGTTATGATTTGAACAATTTAGAATCTACATTATTCCAGGATGTTTCCACATAAGTTTCAGCTTTTCTGGCCCAGTGGTTCTTGAGAAGAAGATTTTTAAAGATTTTTCCTATATATTTCTATATAAAACTTTGATTCCCCATTGCGGCCCCGCCCTTCCCCCGGGGGTCATTATTTGAACAATTTAGAATCTACACTATACCAGGATGCTTCCACATAAGTTTCAGCTTTTCTGGCCCATTGGTTCTTGAGAAGAAGATTTTCAAAGATTTTTCCTATATCTTTCTATATAAAAATTTGATTCCCCATTGTGGCCCCGCCCTTCCCCCGGGGGTCATGATTTGAACAATTTAGAATCTACACTATACCAGGATGCTTCCACATAAGTTTCAGCTTTTCTGGCCCAGTGGTTCTTGAGAAGAAGATTTTCAAAGATTTTTCCTATATATTTCTATATAAAACTTTGATTCCCCAATGTGGCCCCGCCCTTCCCCCTGGGGTCATGATTTGAACAATTTAGAATCTATCAATCTACACTATACCAGAATGCTTCCACATAAGTTTCAGCTTTTCTGGCCCATTGGTTCTTGAGAAGAAGATTTTCAAAGATTTTTCCTATATATTTCTATATAAAACTTTGATTCCCCATTGTGGCCCCGCCCTTCATGATTTGAACAATTTAAAATCTACACTACCCCAGGATGCTTCCACATAAGTTTTAGCTTTTCTGGCCCATTGGTTCTTGAGAAGAAGATTTTCTCAGATTTTTCCTATATATTTCTATGTAAAACTTTGATTCCCTATAATGGCCCCACCCTTCCCCCGGGGGTCATGATTCCTACAATTTAGAATTTACACTACCCAAAAATGCTTCCACATAAGCTTCACTTTTTCTGGCCCAGTGGTTCTTGAGAAGAAGATTTTTAAAGATTTTTCCTAGTATATATTTCTATATAAAACTTTGATTCCCCATTGTGGCCCCGCCCTTCCCCCGAGGGTCATTATTTGAACAATTTAGAATCAACATTATACCAGGATGCTTCCACATAAGTTTCAGCTTTTCTGGCCCAGTGGTTCTTGAGAAGAAGATTTTCAAAGATTTTTCCTATATATTTCTATATAAAACTTTGATTCCCCATTGTGGCCCCGCCCTTCCCCCGGGGGTCATGATTTGAACAATTTAGAATCTACATTATACCAGGATGCTTCCACATAAGTTTCAGCTTTTCTGGCCCATTGGTTCTTGAGAAGAAGATTTTCAAAGATTTTTCCTATATCTTTCTATGTAAAAATTTGATTCCCCATTGTGGCCCCGCCCTTCCCCCGGGGGTTATGATTTGAACAATTTAGAATCTACATTATACCAGGATGTTTCCACATAAGTTTCAGCTTTTCTGGCCCAGTGGTTCTTGAGAAGAAGATTTTTAAAGATTTTTCCTATATATTTCTATATAAAACTTTGATTCCCCATTGTGGCCCCGCCCTTCCCCCGGGGGTCATTATTTGAACAATTTAGAATCTACACTATACCAGGATGCTTCCACATAAGTTTCAGCTTTTCTGGCCCAGTGGTTCTTGAGAAGAAGATTTTCAAAGATTTTTCCTATATATTTCTGTATAAAAATTTGATTCCCCATTGTGGCCCCGCCCTTCCCCCGGGGGTCATGATTTGAACAATTTAGAATCTACACTATACCAGGATGCTTCCACATAAGTTTCAGCTTTTCTGGCCCAGTGGTTCTTGAGAAGAAGATTTTCAAAGATTTTTCCTATATATTTCTATATAAAACTTTGATTCCCCAATGTGGCCCCGCCCTTCCCCCTGGGGTCATGATTTGAACAATTTAGAATCTACACTATACCAGAATGCTTCCACATAAGTTTCAGCTTTTCTGGCCCATTGGTTCTTGAGAAGAAGATTTTCAAAGATTTTTCCTATATATTTCTATATAAAACTTTGATTCCCCATTGTGGCCCCGCCCTTCCCCCGGGGGTCATGATTTGAACAATTTAAAATCTAAACTACCCCAGGATGCTTCCACATAAGTTTTAGCTTTACTGGCCCAGTGGTTCTTGAGAAGAAGATTTTTTAATGACCCAACCCTATTTTTGTCTTTTCTTGATTATCTCCCCTTGCGAGGGGATATGTCCCTTCATTTTAACAATTTAGATTCCCCTTCACCCAAGGATGCTTTGTACTAAGTTTGGTCAAAATTGGCCCAGTGGTTCTTGAGAAGAAGTCGAAAATGTGAAAAGTTTACGGACAGACAGATGGATGGACGACGGACAAAATGTGATCAGAAAAGCTCACTTGAGCCTTCGGCTCAGGTGAGCTAAAAAACAAAATGAAATTTCTGTTACAACAATTTTATTGACCAGAAATATGCATAATAAAGCCATAACAATATCATTTATCAAACAAATTGGTAAGAGATCTCTAGAATGTTTTAATTATAGGCTCATATTTGATTTCAAATAGCACAAACACAAGACACTGATCAGCTAGAGATCACTATGGGTCAAAAAACAAAATTCAACAATACAAGTTCTTGTAAGTTTTTTTCTTGTTTTGGTAAGTACCATTAGCACTAATGTTACAAAAGAGACTAGAAAAAGTAAACGACAAAAATACTGTCAGACACATAGGTTAAATACTTTCTGTATCTGTAAACAATTCCATTACATATTCTGGAAATCTTTATGGTCATATCAAAGAAGTAAATGTCTGCTCTCATGTAAATAGAATTTACAATATCTGACATGTAAATAAACACCTGCAATTCTATAGTAATTCATTATTTATTGTGCACAGTGGTGTAATTTTGTGTATAAAATTTTCAAAATATGTGACAAAATATTAGGGTATACATTTGATAAACTTCCCTATATGTTGATGAAAGTAAGACTTCATTAAAAATGTTTTCTCGTGGTTTTAAAAAAAACTCCTCATGCCATATGTTATGTTAAAGTATAAAATTTGGTGTTATAAAATGCCATTCATGCTGCTGAAAAAGTCCATACTTTATATAAAGAAAAATATTGTTACAAATAGAAATACACATATTTAATAAACATAACGAAACAAATATTTTGATTTTTTTTTTTTTGTCAACTGAATTTCTTCACTCAGCACTTTCATCGATAAAGGCAGGCTAATTTGTACAACTGTAGGGTTTGGTAAAATCAGAAATATAAGGCAAAAATAATAAAAACAGGTGTGTCTCAGAGAACAGATCTTTGTTTTATTTATGGATGAAAATCATATTTAGGGTGACAGGAGAAGAAAAACCACCGGTTTTAATTTGCAAAGTGAAACTTTTATACATAAAGTTCTACAAAAAAGGCCACTTCATGACATCTATTGTCGCATGCTAGAAAATATTTCAGCGATGTGCTTCAGGTCAAGGTCACACCTGTTCAAGGTCAAACCAGGGACCACAAAATAGAAGAGTTTTATGTTGATCGATACATTACAGTTGAACTTTGGTATATTAAACATTGATATTTAGAACATCATGGATATGTTAACGGAGATAAAAATATTCGATTTTTTTTAATGTAATGAACCACATTATTAACCTTATTTTCAAGATTTTGAGATAATACGGTTTGACTGTATTTTTCTCCTTTTTTTCCCTACAAAATTTAACTTAGCCCAGCTGTCATAACAAAACATTTAGTATCATACATAATTTACAAGAGCACAAGACCAGCTTGTAGGACAGTTACTTCAAATCTAAATATATATTTATATATCAGTATAAGTAGGAATTGTTTACATCAATAATTTACATCCTGACAAGTGAAATCATAGATTTCAAAATTCCTAGTCATCCATCGTAAAGTGCAACTTCCTAGAAACTGTATCCCATACTAGAGTTTTCAAGGAAAAAAATTCAGAAAAAAGTGGCTTTAAGATGACAATTCCTTACTTTTTAGAAGAAATATACATATACAAATAACATAACTTACAGATATGGCAAAAATTTTCTTAAGTGTGGGGAATAATATTGACAATCTTACAAAAAAAAAAAAAAAAAACGATGTAGTACAATGGTCACAAAAAAGGTGTGTTGTAATGGTTTGCAAGCAAGTTCACTTTAAATTCTGGCACAAGGGAATAGAAATGAAGCTGCACAATAGCATGAAATGACCAGATAAAAAATGTCTGTGCTTGTTTTAAATGCAGCGGCCTGTTGTCTTGTCCTAGAGGCCCAATGCTTTGCAGTCCTTTATGGTGATGATGATGATAAAAACGGTGATGAGGGCTTTATTTACAATGGAGTGTTTGGAAACAATGAAGGCACAATCACATTTTTCTGCAACATTTAGTCCTGTGTATATCTAGTCCACAGTCCATCCCCCCCAACATACATATATATATTAAGTTCTTTATTATATATAAACTGTCAATACAGCTAGAACACTTTTCACTAATCAATCACTAGCTACTACACGTAAGGCTTTTCACTAGGTGGGCCACCCCGCCACCCGCTGTCTTTTTAGATGTGGTCCATCGTAATCTAATGGGTGGGGTGATATTCCTGTGGGTGACGAACTGTTACTATGTGTGTGATTTATATTCTGAACTGGTGATAAATGACCAGGGCCTGTGGACGATAGGGGTCGAAGTGAGTGGTGATTGGAAGGGGTTGTTGACTCGCGAGGTGGGGAGATTGGCTCACTTTTGATAGATGACAGTACGTTCTGATTCATTGTATTTACAGCTAATGGAGAGAGGTGTCCAGGTCTACAAAAAGAACAAAAATCTTTAAGGAAAAAAAGAAAACCTTCAACACATGTACGTGCATTTTGCATCATTTTCACTTGAGTGTATTTTGTGGAAATAGTGATGCCATATTTACATATTTCTTCAATTTGTCAACAATTTTTGTCAATTATTTTTTCAAAACAAAGTTTTAGCTATGTCCTTTATTCTATTTCTGAGGCTTAATTTCTCACATGCTTTATCTTATTAACCTACCCTGACATTCCATGAAGATTCTGCACCCCTCCCCCACCTCCAGGAGGGATTCCTGAGGTTAGAGATCCCCCGTGGTGAGCCCCACCATTATTCCAGGGTGAGTGGTTGTAATTTGACATGTGACCTGTTAAGTCTGCTGAGTTAACATTATAGTCATCTACAAAAGAAGGAGGAATAAAAGAAAATATTTTAAAAAGTCAATTCTTTATTTCAATTAATATCACATGTACAAATGTTTTTGTAAAACTTTTCTAAGTCTTTGAGAGAATTTTTTTAAGACACCACTGGTCTGACATTTCCTGGAATGGTCTATTTATAGCGTTACTTACTGTGATACGATGTAGGAAGCGGGGACGGATAGTTGTTTCCAGGGACACTGGGTGTCGTCAGTGATACTGCTGGATTTGATAGTGAGGAACTGGGACGTCCCTACAAAACACAAACTCAATGTATACTTCGTGAAACTACCATGCTGCAGGCATTGTAACTTTTAATGGAATATGTCATTACTGGTAAATGTAAAACATTGGGTATATACCCTCAATTGAGTAGGTAAAATCGTGTTCATTACCTGTACATCTGGACTCATCATTCCATCATGTGAGTTCATCATGGGGCGACCCATGGGGGGCCCCCTAGAGGGAGGAGACTGTCTGGATTGTCTGTTGACCATTGCTCCTGGGGAGGGGCAGGGGGAGGCTCTGTGATGGTACCCATTGGGGGCAGGTGATGGGCTACTCATCTCTATCATTCCACCTACAAAGATGATCCCAGATCATAATTAATAACAGATACTAAAATTCTTCCTAAAGCAGCAAGGCAGGAGTTGAACTAGTAAATCATCCAATAGGTTTCTGACAACTATCTCTCAGTGATTTATTACAGTATCTCTCCCTACTCGTTGAGTTTGCCATTACTGTAGTGTACGGACTTACCGGTAGAGTTTGGCCGTGGACTGTGGTGTACAGGAGGGGGCTGGAGAAGCCCTTGACCTGAGTTGACCTGAGAGGGAGGTTGGGGGGACATCCCATGCCCTGACAGTGGCTGGTTCATGTAGTTGTGGAGGGGGATTCCAGACGTCAAGCCAGGAGGCATCCCAGGTCCTGGGTAGGGTGACATGTTCTGTTCATAAAAATGAGAATTATTTTAACTATTCATCAAAATTTATTTTTAAGTTCAACATTTGCTTTGAGGATGTACAAATTGTTGGTGATGTTCTATAACTGTTAAGTAAATAATTACTGATGCTTTGAATTCATTACAGAAGTAATACTGTGGAAGCCTTACCCTTTGGGATTGTGGTAGACTTGTTAAGTCTGTGGTTGCCTTACCCTTTGACACTGTGGTAGACTTGTTAAGTCTATGGTTGCCTTGCCCTTTGACACTGTGGTAGACTTACTACCTAAGGCTGTGGTTGCCTTATCCTTTGACACTGTGGTAGACTTACTACCTAAGTCTATGGTTGCCTTACCCTTTGACACTGTGGTAGACTTACTACCTAAAGCTGTGGTAGCCTTACCCTTTGAGATTGTGACTTTACCTAAGGCTGTGGAAGTCTAACCTTTTGAGTTTTGAGATGTTAGCAGACTTACCCTTTGAACACTTGGATATCTGTGGTAGTTTGACAGACTTACCCTTTGAACACTTGGATATCTGTGGTAGTTTGACAGACTTACCCTTTGAACACTTGGATATCTCTGGTAGTTTGACAGACTTACCCTTTGAACACTTGGATATCTGTGGTAGATTGACAGACTTACCCTTTGAACACTTGGATATCTCTGGTAGTCCTCTGGCATCCTGTTGGTGTGCTGGTTGTTGTACTTCTCCTCTGAGGTCAATGAATTACTGTACAAGTCCCCATCAGGGTCTGGACTCTCACAGCCTTTGTGTTCCTTCTTGTTCAGTGCCTATAGGACATGAGACATCATTAGCAACATTATTAATTATTTAACATTCATCATAGAATTTTCCAAAAAAATGACAGAAATTGGTGTAAAAAAAATGACAGGTATGTCAAATTGTAATTAATTATATGGAAAAAATGATAGGAACTAAAACTGAAAAAATTAAGGGGGTTTTATCTCTGCATCCTTGTGAATGTGATGATGTCAAAACTTGTCCCACATTTTGTGAAGGTTTATTCTCGAACAATTTGTTTGGTCTATTTTTAGAATAAAATGAATACGAAATTGACGAAGATTCTTCTTTATACTTCCAAGGCTAAGAAAACATTTTTCATAAATGTCTCTTAAAAATTCACATGCATTTGACATTTTGAATTAAAGGCACAGACAAAATGTCTCCATGCAGAAACCAATTTATACCTAGTTATGAGTTCAGTTCTGACAATTCCATACAAGGCATTTTGAAAATTAATTAAGAATTGTTTCAAAGCCTCAAAAGGTAAATTTCCTGTTTTTGAAGAAATAAGTTCATTGCTCACCTGAATATGTACAGGTAGTATCAAATCTTTAACTTAATGGTATCTAATGACAACAAACACTCTTTATATTTTTCAGGGCAAATAAACACAATTTGGAAAAGTGTTTTACAATTCCCCGTTTTGACATTAGGCCCAATTTGTGGGCTGGGTATCTTGCCTATGCTCTGCAAATGTTTACTGACTTTTCAAAGCTTACCTGCACTAATATTTGTTTAAATTGACTGACAAAGTTTCTCTTTAATGTGGTATTGATTGTGACCTGCCAATGTTGTTTCATCATTGACGAATGACTCCCACAACTTACAGAGGGGGAAGATAACGAGTTAAAATGCATCAAACCAGCGACGCGGTCTGAGTTTGCACTTTACATTGAAGGCAGCCATCAGACTAAATTCATCAATATACCGGTATATCCTTTTTACTTAATTGTATTTTATTCCCATTTGAATTAAAATAATTTTGACAATGTATATTTTTACCTTCAGTACTTAATGGTCAAAGGTTCATTAAATTAAACAACTACCCTTTCTAAAAACCACAAACAATTTATTTTTATGGTCCAGAAATGAAATAATACATACAGAATAATTTAGATCTGGATGATAAATATTTTCCATGAGAAAAAAACTTGTATCTGTAAAGGTGACATTTCAGTAAAATTAAATTTCAGAAATTAAAAAAGATGTTAATTTGCACCAAAGAACAAAAATTAAAGGTCAAGTTCTTGGTATTTTCACTTTAAAATGTCAGCAACAATTCTTTCATCTTTACTGCATAAAAATACTAATGTATCTTACTAGCCTATTGACTTAAACCCAGGCACATCTCCATATGAGAGAAAAATTCTCAAAAAGGACGTTAAACAAAACACAAACAAACTTAAACCTAGGCACATATTTTTGTCTAACATAGCTAAAAATTATATCTTATAAAAGAGATAATTATGTGAGCGTATTTTAGGGATTTCCCTCTATAATGTCTTTATTTGGATATTTATTATACAAATTTGGATATTTATATGAGGGATGATATTTACCGAAGATACATGTAGTATATCAACCTCGGGCTACTTCATGTATCTGAGGTAATTTTATAAATGGATAGTCCATATTTATTATATTATATAAATAATAATTTCCAAAATTTTTTAGTACAATGTAACTATATCTTCCTTATGTTTACAGAGATAGTATTAACCATAAATAAGTTGAATGTAAATGTTTCAGAATTCATTGAATATCACTCAGAGGAAATTGTTTCGGTAATAAATTTTAACCCATATCATAATAATAACGCTTGCCAGTATATCTATCTCCGAATAACACAGAATACCCCCTCCCCAGACTGAGAATCGCACTCGTTTACACTTGCAGAGGAAATGCACTCACAAAATATAAATACCTATGTCTTCTAAGATAAGATACAATCTTGTCTTTATTTTCTTTAGTCTCCGTAATCGCGTAAACAGCGTCAAAACTCTGCTCGCCGAGTGGAAAAGTTTCCATGAAATGGTATGTGTTAAGTATTCCCGAAAAATGTTGACAGATATTCTTTAATTGTTTTATATTATCAATTCTTACTATTCTTTTAAATTTGTCTTGTTACAACTTGCGAACTTCCATGTTTGTCTAAAGCGAAAGTGAAAACGAGGCAGCTCGTGTGAGTCATTATTCGCTTTCAGCAGTCGTTATTAAAAAATAAGTACTTCATATTGACCAATCAGATTATCGGATTTCACAAAGTTATATAATATATGAGGATATTTTACGTATTTACCTATGTCTTAATTTGGATATTTACAAGAGCGTATTTTGCTTATTAACCTTTATGATATTTATATGAGGGTATTTTACATATTTATCTCTCTGTTTTTATTTGTATATTTATATGAGGGCATTTTACATATTTACCTCTATGATTTAAGCATATTTAAGCATATTTTACCTATTTATCTCAATGATGTCTTTATTTGGATATTTATTTGAGCGTACTTTACGTATTTACCTCTATCATATCTTTATTTGGATATTCACAAGAGCGTATTTTACGAATTTACTTCTATGATGTCTTTATTTGGATATTTATATGAGCGTATTTTATATTTTATGTATTTACCTCTATGATGTCTATATTTGGATATTTATATGAGTGTATTTTATGTATTTACCTAGGGCTGGGCAATAATATCGATATTTCAATATATTGCAATACAATGACAAAAAATATCGTATCGCAATATGATTTTGTAATATCGATATATTGGCATATTTATATAAAATATAAAAATGGACTAATGAAAGTTTTATATTTTTTTGTGGGAACATTTCAGTAACTTCAATGAAATCAACAAGATTTTTTTTCCATGTTGGTTATGTTATGTACATATATTTGATATAGATATTTTTATTATGAAAATATTGTGTACAGTTAAAAATTAATATATCGTATTTACCTCTATGATGTCTTTATTTGTGCGACTCTCATGAGGTTCGTTGTACTCGGTGTACTTCAGTAGTACGTTGTCCATGTCAGTACTGGCGTACTGAAATAATTTGTTAGCGCTGTTGAATATGATGAGAGCAATCTCACAATCACACAGGATACTCAACTCATAGGCTTTCTTCATCAGGCCAAATTTCCTTTTTGTGAAGGTAACCTGAAGATTAATCAAAGAAATGTACGTCAAAAAGGAAACAGACTGTAAAATTATTAAGGTTAATTTTGGAAAACTACGCACTGTTTTAATACTTTGTAAAGGTAAAAACAATTAATCAATAATATTCCTTTTCTTGAAATAGCTCTCCAAAGACATATGCCCTTTTAAAAAAAAAATTCCTAAATGTTACAAATTGCAAATGTAAATGCATGACCTTAAATGCCATGCTTATTAAGGTGAAATGATCTTTGACAAGAAAGATAACTCTCCAATTGAATATTTTATACTTGCGGTCTGAAGTAATGCTGAATTGCCTTTTATAAAATTTGACTTATATGAACGCAATTCAAAAGCAAATTAACAGATTTAGTTCAGGAAATTTACCTAGATATATTTATTTGCAAAGTAATCATAATGAAATGTATTTGATTTCCTTTCACGTAATATTCACATATACTTTTATCTGATAATCAACCAATTTAAAACATAAAAGGAAGAGGTTTACAGTTGACCTATAATGATAAATCCTACTACATGTATCAAATCAGTCAATCTATCATATCGGTCTTTTATCAGTTCAGATGGACTTTTTAATAACAACTTTACACACATTATGAAAAGCTTAATGTTTCATTTTACCAAAAAAGTCAAATTAAAGAAAAGTTTTTTGTATTCTAATATTCCTTTGTCAAATCAGAATTTTATCAGCCACAGTCTAATTTCTATTATTTTAGACAATTTTTGCCTGAGCTGTCAGAATTGTAGCCACCCCCTCTAAACCGAATTCTGCCATCACCAAATGCCTGTCTCTCAGTGACATGGCATCATCTGTCAACCCAATTGTCTCTGGCCATCGCAGAGAGGATTACGCAACCTGCAGGTGCTTGTTTGGGGGTCCTGCACTCTGAAGACAGGTGCACTGGTAATTAGCCCTACATAATGGCTGGCCAATTCCTCTACTCAATCCCCCCAATTCTACAGATGTCATTGCCTCTTCTTTAGGCTCTTATTGTATTTATATATTATCACAATGACACCAATTACCGAAGTTAATACAATATATTTTCTCTAAAGTATCTATAGGACAAAATAAGCAATATTTCTCAAACAATATTATAATTTTTAGGTATGTGTAAAAGGTAATTCTTTCAAATCATTTTTTTTTAAAAAACCTTTTAATTTTTATTTACAACATTCCCTTTTCCTTTCAATCTGTGAAGAAATAGAGCTGCATTCATATCCAATCCTACTTATCTATTTATATAATATGGTAGTATTAAAAAAAAAATATCTAGTTATCTTGAAATTTGCATAGAATACAGAATCAACAGAAATTCTAACTTTATTTGGTATTTTATCAAAATAAAATAAATACCCAGTCTTAGAACCATTCTATATATATTCCAATTGTAAAGTTTTCCCTTACCTGTCTATTTCGCTCATCCCCGATTCGTGAGATTTGGATTTTTTTCCGGCCCATCTTCCCGGGTACCTTACCGCCCCCTCTGATTCCGGAATCTGTCGCCACCTCTATTTTGTCACCTGATCTATACACAACTCTGTCAAAGAAAGAAAAAAAATAATGATCACACAAGAAACAGGAAGAATTCTCAAATTACAGCCATGTTAGACTTGTACAGGGAGACCATTCACTTACATCTATATTATATACGTACAAAGAAAAAGATGACGAAACCATGCATGCGAAGAGACTAAAGTGACTGGCCTCGATTGAGAATTTATGTCATCTCGGAGGATAGATGAAGCCTAGCACCTAACAGCATGCTTGTAGATTATCTACTTTCTGCTATGGTGGTTTCTAAACTCATTACGGACTTGCGTCACTTTATTGATCTTACACTTTATACAATGCTTTTGTCATTTATGTTGAAACACAAGCCTGTTTACTCGCATACCAATTAATTGCTGCTTGCTTTGATCCACTTTCACATCAAAATGTACAAAGCTAGTCTAACCTATAAGCATTAATTCATGCAAGTTCAAGGTTCTTCAATTGAGTGCATGTGCCACATAAATCACAAAATTCTAAAAAGTATCTTTTTATTTTTATAGGACAATTGTCGTTTTCATAGCGAAAACATTTGATGTTGATATCATCGGTTTACAGTGACTTACTCCTTTTTTGTTTGTGACAATTTCTGAAGCCATACATGTAGAAAGTAATCCATCATTTTCCCAGTCAAAAAAAAAAAATCCTTGTAAAATAGAGGGTTAGGAACACAAAAAGGGCAATATGTAAGGGTCATTAACAGGTGGGGCACTAATTAATGTTTAAAGCTGTCTCCCTGATGATGGATCAGACATAAGTGTGGTAATAGGACATCTTTATTTTGGACAGGGCTGGAGTTATGGTCCTTTTTATGCATCTGCTCTCTAGAACTTTCATTATCGCTCCGTTTATCATCAATTTCCAGCTCCACCTTGACAATAATTGCAGTTAATCATGACTTAAAAATTTTAAGCCCTATATATACCTGTACCTAACCAAAAAATTCCATCACTTATATAACTCTCAAAAGTCAAAACTGAAACCCTAACACGGAATAGTTTATATAATTCCAATGGTACATAACTTGAACTACATATATTTTTTTTCACATAACTAATTTACGTGACATTGATTAAACAAATCTTAACCAGAGCCTGATCAAACAGAATGTATTCTTCTTATCGTCAGATTATTTAGCTGAGAGAACACAATCTCCCTGCACTCCTGCGGCTTGACTCTTTCGCTGCGGAAAAAGTCTGCTTAACATTGGCAAAAATACTGTTTATCTATCATTAATTCAACAATCCTATTGATTAGGTCTTAAATGTATGTGGATTGCCTTCTGACAATAACATGGGACCTTAAATAATTTATCGATCTCTCTCTCTAGTGTTTTATTTTTCAAAGTTGTCCTCAGATAAGTTCACAAAATATTGGATTTTATAATTAGAGTACAAAAGAAAAAAAATTGGTTAATGTCATAGAGCCTTGGAGTTACACTAGACTTATAAACAAGAAGACAGAAACAGGGAAGACTTACTCAGTCATTTATCTTAATATCCGAGCTCATCCAAAAATTATCCAAAAAATCCAGAAATCATGAGGAAACCAATTCCTAGTTCTTGCTCTTTAGAACCCACACACACTTGCAGATGACAACACAAGGAAAAAAAATACAAGTTACAATCATTTAATCACTTAAAGTTAAAACCTAGTTTATCCCATTGGCAGAGAAGAAGTACTGAGGTCGGGGCCTGAGTTTCTGCAGCTGTGAGGCGACACTAGTCTCGGAGTGGGCAGACCTGTCTAACTCATGACCCATATGCTACAACACTGATAAACACACCGGGGAAGTTTTTATCTGCCCTGCGCTGATAAACTCATGTGGGCAATAGTGAACCTGTGATTTTCTACCTGGCATGGAGGTTTTCTGTGGGGACCTACACTGAGCTAGGCACCTGGGAGGGACACTTGATTGTTGACCTGCCTCCTGTAATGCCCATCACAAACACCTGCTGTGATTATTACATTATTGTTATGGCCTGCCCTAATTTCTGATTAATAAATGTGAAATCATTCTCAGCCATGTATAGGCAATTTACCAAAGAAAAAATACCTTTGACTGGAAATCACAATTTTAATAATTATATGATTTATCATAAATAATTTATAAAACAGCTAAAATTTACAAAGCATTGCTGATCAGTTTTGAAAAATGTGAAAAACCTGAAATGATTAGAAAGTTAGCTCAAGACTTTTGGATCAGTTAACCTAATTTAAAGGGAAAGATAAACTCTACCACAAAAAAATTACCTCTCAATGACACATCAATCAGGGACTTAAAAGTTAATGCAAATTTATTTTAGGTAAACCATTTTTGATTATTTCTCTATATAGTCATTCATAAAAGTGTCTGAATACATGCATTTAATTAACGTCTGATTGATAAAAAGCAAATTAAATAGCAATATCCAAATTATATTGATGAATGTATAATCATGTTTTATTCATGATTTTTTATCATTATTTGTCAAAATTCTTTGATTTTTACATATCACTTGGTTTTTTTCCCTCTATAATGTAATTTGTATATTAACTGGAAAAAAGCCATGGTTTGTCTAGGAGGAAAAATGCAATGAAAGAATCTACTTCACTTTACCAATTTAAAGACTTTAAAAGTGCACAAGTAATGAATGGAAGAAAAAATATCCAATTTAGTAGGATTTTACAAGGTCAAATCCTACTCATAACAAGAGGCATTTCTGGTGATTGCTTTGCTAAAAAAAAAAATTCCATTGAATACATGTAATAAAACTGTAAATGAAAATATTGTGTTATTTTCAAGGTTTGTTTATTTTCCATAAGCTTTCCAAATGTACACTTATTCTAGGTACCCAAGAAGTGAGAGAATGACCATGATAGAACTATACATCTCTAGAGCTAGAGACAAAAGAAACCTAATGTCTTTCCTTGTGTAAAAAAATACCATTATCACTTTTACAAACATATATATCCAAAATGAGTTGCAAAAATATGTGCTAAACCACAATTATCACTTGAAGACAAATATATTGATTATCAAAAAAGTGGACTATTGTATAAATACACCAGCTAGGATCTGATTTTCAATTCATAAAATCAAGAAAATAAGCACATAATTATTATAAGAAAAACATGCAGGGACATGATAAAAATAAACTGATTTTCAATTCATAAAATCAAGAAAAAAAGCATATTATTGGGAAAAACAGAGCCATGATAAAAATAAAACAAGAGGCCCACGGGCCTTATAGGTCACCTGAGTATTTTGTAACAACTTTCAAACAATTAAATTTGTTTTATGAAATTCACAATTCACAATTTTTTTATCAAAATTATAAACTTAGTGCTTAATTTATTAATAACCAGAGGTAGATCAAAGTAACAAAGAGAAAATGCACTTTTACCCAGTTGTGCACCTGACACCAAAGGAACCACTGACCCAGGGGCCACATATTTCAAAATTTTGCAACTTTTATCATAAAATGGTTAATTTATACCAAAGAGCAGATTTCATATAATTTATATATTACCACCACCACTCTGACCCAGGGGGCAAAAAAACCACTTTACTAGATGCACCTTTCTTCATCATAAATATATATATACTTGGATCATTGGCATAAAACCCAGAAGCAAAGGAAAATATTTTCAAAGAATTAATGTATTTTTACTATATAATCAACAGAGCCGCACCCTAACACCAAAACCCCTGACCCTGGGGCCATAAAATTCATATTTGTATAGGAGGCACTTTATAACCAATTTAATACCCAGACAGAGAAGAAGATTTTCAAAGTGCATTTTCAAGTAATGAAACACCAGAACCCCTGGAAGAAAAAATTTTGGAAGAGGAATCTTGCTCATCATAACAATGTACTTAGTAGGATTTTACTCAAGGTTTTCAAAGAATAAATGCATTTTCACTATATAATCATAACAAATACCAGAGGCATTTTTTCAGGAGACTGATTGCTTTGCTTTTCAAAAAAAATGCATTTTCACATAAATTCCATTGAATGACACAATTTTGGTAGAGGACTCAATAACATTCACCAACAGTTTGCCTTTGATGTGAAAATTTTTAAAGATTGCAGTAATTTTATTTTCAAGGTTTGTTTATTTTCCATAATGCTTATATTAAATTTGTTGAAATTGGTTCAGTGGTTTCAAAGAAGTAAAATCTTCAAATGTTAACACACGAAGTGAGAGAATGACCACCTGAGTTACTCAGATAGAAATTCTAAAAATTCAAGGAAATTCATGAATTATTCATGATCACCTAGGGGTACTGCTACACAAGGTACAAAAAAGCAAACCTAATATTCAGTCTTTCCTTGTGTAACAAAAATACCATTGCCTATCACTTAAATGTTTTATAAATACAAACATATATATCCAAAATGAGTTGCAATAAATATAAAGGTGCTAAACCACAATTATGTATTTTCACTATATAATCAATAGAAGACAAATATATTTGATTATCAAAAAAGTTAGTTTATTTAATACCTAGAGCTATTGTATAAATATTTTCACTATATAATCAGCTACCAGAACTCTGATTTTCAATTTTGGTAGAGGCATAAATATATGCACTTAGTTAGTTTATTTAATACCCAGGGGCAGAGAAAAGATTTTCAAAGAAATCATGTATTTTCATATATAATCAGTAGAGCCCCACCGTATTACCAGAACCCCTGGGGCCATAAAATTCACAATTTTGGTAAGAAAAACATGCAGGAAGAAGACATGCATTTTCAAAAATAAACTGATTTTCACAATTTTGGTAGAGGACATAGAATTTGACTGCTTGATGTCCAGAAAAAAGCATATTATGGTTTTGGCCCCACCCCTCAGGAAATACAGATGCCAAATTTGATAAAATAAAAAAAATCAACAACTACTGACAACAAAATTTTGCATCGTTTTGTCCAATGTCTGTCGGCACTTTTTCTGTCCTCATAAATCAAATCAGTTGATATTTTTGAAGTGGAAAACTGTGATAAACTTGCATTTTTAAACATGATAAATGCCTAATCTTCTACAAATACGGATATTTGTTCATATCTTCTTAAGTAGCTATACACCGTAGTGACTGATATTCACATCTTATTTCCTAAACCCTTTTCTCCTGGGCTTCCGTACTTTAGATTTTCAATAAGAAATACCAGTATGACAAACAAAATAAATTTGTGTAAATTGGAAACAAAATGAATCCATTACAATTTTGCCTCTTGTGTACTTGTATAATTACTTTTCAAAGGGATGCCTTGATAAAGTGATATACTGATAATGAAAAAAACATTAGAGGACAGACTAATCATTAAACAATTAACAAGACATTGCTTCTTTGACCTTGAAATAGAGATAAAAATTCAGAGCTCTAGGCTCACTGTGTATCTGACTTTTCTCTCCTAGTGATCAATACAATAACTCGAAGTTTCATTTATATTTTATAAAATGAGCGACAGTAAAATAAATCTTCTTCCTTGATGGGCCTTTGCACACTGAGATTTCAGCATTATGCACACCAAAGGATTCTTTGGCTCAGGATTTTGTAAGCTGACATAACTAGGGAGTTATATATCTTATTAAACACATCCTTGGCGGTGGCTGGTAGGTTTTTCTATCATGTAGGTATAATGTGGGAACTATAATAATAATAGGACTGAGTCTGAGAAGAAACTCTCATCTTAACAATCTTTATCTAGCAGAACAATCTCTTTCAAGTTCATATATGAACTTTTTGAAATAGAAAACAGCCCTTATCTGTACAAACTATCTGTGTTTTAGCTTGTATGACATTCTAGCATGGCCGATTAAATTGATGGTCATCATCTACAAAACAAAATGCATTGAATTCTTGCACAAAGAATGTGATCGTGTAACTTTAGTATGACCAATGAAAGATAAGGTACACTTCCCGAACTCTACATAAATACATGTCACACAAAGATTTATTCTATCCCAAACTCTAACAGATATTTGTACCAAAACGAGGAGTCAAAGTGGTGCATCTATAAACATAAATGTCAAACACAAATACTCCAATATTTTGAAGAACATTTTCCCCTAAATGACACATCAAACAAAATATCTATCATACCTGTCTCGGAGCAGCTAAAGTGGACTAATAATTAGCCGGTAAAACGCACGGACAGACGCATCGCAGTCCTAAACCATTCCGACCAATTAATAATATCCGAGATCATTATCAACAAAACATGTATGTAAAATATTTAAATCCCCAGAGATTTCAGGGACAGAAAAGACACTATGCAGTCCCTAGTCACCTAAGTATAGACCTCAAAGAGCTAAAAATAGCCCGTGTTACTAAAATAAGAAGTCCGATCTTCAGTGACCAAGATTTATGATTGTATATTTGCCAAGTAATTTCTTCACAGCTGACTGCCCATCTATATCATAACTGGTGTTTCTTGTATACTTTTGAGGCATAACAGTAGCTATAAAATGACCCATAACCCCCCAAAAAACTTAATAAATCTACGCAACTTTCTCATGAATTTGTCCCTTTTAATTAAAAACATATCGACATCTAGCAATTAACGGTTGGAGAGAAATAAAATAACTGAAATATTCTCTTACCTGTCCTGGGCTATACTATCTGAGACCTGTACATATCTCATACCACTGAGAGACAAAAAAAATATTTCACAAGAAAGTGAAGAGCTGTAGGAAGGTGTAACGGAGCCGTCTCCCTGTCAACCCTCGCTAAGACCACAGCCGCCCGTAAGTCCGCTCGAGCACAAAAAACCCCTTCTCCTTCACTCTAATGTCAGATTAATTAACAATGCTAAAATATGTGTCACTGTTATATTCATCCATAATGACTTCTTAATCAGAAAACATTAATGCATTTTGTTATATATTTAAAATGGTATAAATTTCAATTTGGAATAATTAATACACCGAGACCAAATTTCAATAACATTAGCATAAAATTATTACAGGGAAAAACAGTACAAGTTCTTGAGGCACTTAATTTCATTTATATTACACAATGACAAAACATTTAGGAGACAATTATCATTATATGAATTAAATACACACAAGTATTTAGCCCAAAAGTGCATGTTCATATTTCCATCCAAAATAATTTATTGAATTAATTCCAGAGTAAAAATAGAAATTGTTCTCATAAAAAAGGGATTACAAACTACAGCAATATCTATATTTATGAGTTTGGTTAACTAAAAAAGAAGAAGAAAAATTAAAGGTCAAAATAAGTGCATATATGCACTTAAAACTAAGCTATCCCTCCTTAAATCACAGGAAATTAACATTCCCCTTTCTAAACTATTTAAAAAATTACAGGAAATAAATATACTTTATCATTAGTGTCTTAAAAGAGGTCCTCTTCGGATTAAGGGATTATTATCAGAGTTATATAAAATCAGGAAAAGAGGATTTTAAAAATTTTTCTACGCTCCAAATTCAACAAGAGTGACCTTCAACTTGTGGCCAGAGAGAAGCCCCACTGTTTTGTACTATTATTGAACCTGAAGATTTGAAGCCACCTGTTATCAAAATGAATTTCCTGTACTGAGGGACCAATCCTAGCACAGCAAGATTACAGGTTCTAAATCTATATAGCACTGAAGTTCATTGACCATGCAAGACAAATCAGCAATATTTTGGATTTACATGTACATGTATATATAGTCCCTGATTCACATTTTTACTCATCCTTTGACCTTCAGTCCCATTAAATATATTTATATGAGAAGTAAAAATTTCTCTCTTTTGCACTGATAAACTATTGGACTTTTTTCAAACTGCATTGAAAATAAATATTTAATAATAAATGTGTTTACTCTGAAATATGGAATGACATAACCAGTTTTAAAACATGTCTGACATATGGAGTGCACCCCAGAGGGTAATACTCGTGATGGGGCGACATTTGTAAGCCAATGTTCAGGTCATGTCCCTTCAACAAGGACTTGATCCTCCAAATCATATTTTCCTGCTTAAAGTGTCAAGAGGTACTGTATCTATTGGGAATATTCGCAAGTTGAATCAGATTTAGATCTTAAAGGGATCTGTCACCAAGGTCTATGTCAAAAACCTGAGATTTTTAAGAACTGAAGTATTGATTGAATTTAAGTTAACCAAGTCTACGTTTGGAATCATAGATAGTGTGTTAAGGTTTAAAGACAGCTTGTTTAAGGGTCGCAGGTTCAAGCGGTTCTTTATGCAGCCAAGTTGCATCAAAATTTGACATTGCAAGTTACTGGTTTATGTGGAAAAAATTCCAGTGGTGATAACAGCCAGTAAAAACATTATACAAACTTTTTCCCATCCTACAGGTACCACAGAATAATTTAGAATTTTCAATTCAGTAAATATTCATGGATACTTTCATTAAAATTCACCACCCAAATGATGTATTGTAGAGAGGCCTAATGCTGCAAACTCTGTGTCATGACACAACGCCAACTGCAGATCCGCAAAAACAGGATTCTTTAGAAGTTGTTTTTCTGCCTTGTTTAAAGCGCTATTCAGGAATTTGTGATGCCTGAAATGACATATCTGACAGCTATAAGAATAATATACTGCATACAAAATTAGCTTATCTAATGCCAGTACCGAGCGACCAGACAACTAAGATTTTGTTTTTTTCCCATTATGTACACAGTTGCAGACTTTTAATAAAGATCAATTCCTCCCTTTCTCTGTCAATGTTCCTTGACACAATCAGGTATTTATTTAACTTGCACTTCATAAACCATATTGGAGCTCAATGATATCACGTTTGATATATTGATGATGGTTATAAAAATAACGGAGCTGTGGAACACTATAGCGACCCACCAGAATATTACACAATTGTAAGGCTGCCAGATTTAGCTATCCAGTTTTAGAATACAACTTATCTAAATTTGCCCACTGTCAGAGCTAAAAATATTACGCTACTACGACGAAAATATCTTTTTGTCCTACTACAAATTCTTCTTACGAAAATAGCCAGAGCAAGGATAAATACAGACAGTATTTACAATCTAAAATTAAAGCAATGCTGTCTATAAAGCCATACACAAAGTCATTTTCTCCCAGCAGTTTTTTTCACTTTCATGGAGTAAGGGAGTTTTTTCTCATGAAGGCAGTGATTTCTTTACAATTTTGCTGGATTTCATTAAGTATTACATAAAACATGTGGACAAGATAGATGCCGTAAAGTCAGGTAAGGATATTTATTTGCCAAGCTTTCAATTTATTACAAACAAATTCTTCATACATCCAAGTGTTTTATAACTACCAATTTTTTGACTTAGAGAATATGGCAAAAAATCAATTTATTTGTCGCGATTATGCAAGTTAACGATTAATGAGATAAAAAAATCATATTGTTCACAAATTCTTCTCTAAATTTTTAGGTAAAGGGTTAAAAGGTAAACACATTTATCACCTAAATGATGTCAGAACAGTTACATCTACAGGATGTACTGTAGACATTGTTTTGTGGAAAATTTCTGTTGTAAACAATGTCTTGACAACAATTAGTCTGAAATGATTCATCCGTCCATAACGTCTACGTGAAATTTACAAAACCCCATACATTGTATAACTCATGACAAACAGGTTACAAAAGTGAAATAACATGCAGTTAATTATTACCTAAATGACTGGATCCTTTTGACTCAGCGATCACTACTGACCCTCTTAAAAGCTTAGGCTCAAATACATAGCTCATACTCAAAACTTGAGTGACAGTATAGGAAGTGAATTTGACTATGAAGTTAAATTTCCGTGTACGAGAAAACAAGGTCACTCTCGTTGAGCTCCGGATGCTCAGCGCCTTGTCATCACTGGTACATCAATGTCTTATTTTCCTGGTGACAATCCACTTCATAGTTGCATCGACATTTGCGACTTTTTTCAAGGAATGTCGGCTGCATAATTTCCGCGTCAGCTTCTCAGTGTAAAAGCACCAACCGAATTCTGGCGCAATTATAGAATACCATGTCTAAAATCATCCTGCTGTACGAAGTTTGGTTGAAATCTATCCAGAAATGCTAGGCAAATTTCCAATTAAACTGAACTTTTTAAAATATTGAATAAAAACCAGGCTCTTCTAAAATATTGAATTTATATGATGCATATTTAGTAGTCTACAATGATTTCTATGGGTGAGGAACTTCAAAAAGGACACCTCAAGATCATTAAAATGTATGAATTGTTTTACGGACAATGGGAAGCTTCAATTTATCCCCCCCCCCCCCCAGTTGCTAGATAATAATTGTTGAGTTATCAATTTCTTTCTCTCAAATTATTTTTGTATTCAAAACCACCATTCATAAGCACTAACTCCAGAATTATGAGGTCAAAAAAATTACCCATCCAACATTGGCACAAATTCTCTTCATTTTGACCTGCTGTACAGTTCAGAGTTCTATGAAAGCATTCGTCATTGGACAATGGGTGTGTTTGCAACAGAGTTTTCTGACATAAAAAGTAGATTACTGAAAATCCAAAGAACATATTAATTACTGCATTACCTACTCATAATAATCATAACGGCAAGTGTGTGAATTGGAAACAATAGGACAAAGTACTCCTGCACCTGGAACCAGATAAACCCAATGATCTAAAGGGGAAATGCTATCACAAAGTTTAGCAAGCACTCTATGCTTAAATAGTATCATCAAAAAGTAGTTAATGTGGTGCAAATATATATTTTCACATCAAAACAGGACACTGATGATTTCAATTGATATTCTATGCCTAAGCCTACCTAGTACATGTATTTCACTTAATATACCAATGCCCGTGATTATTATTAATATGTGTATAAATTCATGAAAATCAGTGGTTAAAATCATTATCATTTTATTAAAAAGAAAACAATTTTGTTCTAATGCTTAAATCACCTCATATATGATTAATTTCCTTAATTAATCAATAAATTTTCATTAGCAAATCTTATTGTTTTTCTAATGATGCCACTTGCATATGTCAATATCATAATAGGCCAGAATTATATTTTAATGAAACAGACCTTCAAAGCATCAATTCTAAGGCAGCAAACTAATTTGAAAACCGTACAAGCCAAATTCTACTTAATTTTTATCTCCCTATTAATTGAGTTATCCCATTAAAACAAAAAATTTAGGCCCCCCCATCCACCTTATCGTTAATGGCCTCGACCCCATATTTCCAGGGAGGGATGAGTCATTCGTGTTTCTAAGCAGTGGTTAGATCTGACGGCACCCCAATACACACATACATACATATATATCAGACATGATCGTCTCTCCACTAAATAGCTATCACGATTCATAAGCATTTCTAATGATTAAATCTTGTATCAATTAGCTTGTAGGAAGCAAATGATGCATTTAGATAAATCCTCTTAATAAACATACCTAACTCAAATATTTTTAGTCTATACTGGTTTAAAAAAAAAAATGGATAAAATGAATTCATTGGAATTTTGCATTTAGAGTAATCCTAAACATATTAAATGCTCCCCCAAAATGAACAAAAGGAAGATCTATTCTATTCAACTGCTGTTCGCATATATACTATACTTAACGTTGTTGATAAAAAAAACCTCTTAATTTCAATACATGTACACGAAAATTGTACTCTGAAATGCATAAAAATGTATATGTACAGAATAGGAATTCAAAATCCTAAAAGTACTCTCTCTCAGATAAAAAAAATACATAAAATACCCCTGCCCCCTTAAAATGATAGATGAACCAAAAAATCCAAACAAAACTTACATTTATAAACACTCTAATTACGTAAGGCCTGCATCTCTATATAACAGCTTCTGGTGTGTAAATAAATTCCATTATCTCCTAATATCCAATAAACATATATAAAGACAACAAAGAAGCTTGAGAAAAAATGCTGAAAATCGCCAGGTAAAAGCAGTGTGCTGTTGAAATCTATGATATCACATATGTACAGACTTCCCTAATGAAATGCGAGCTTGACGTCATGGCAACTCTCTGCCTTCTTTTCTACTCTTATTGCTTGCCACCATGTGGTAAATTTTTTCTTCTCACAATGCACCATCTTCTTAAGCAACAAAGATTTTAGTGATACATCAGAATATTTCCAAAATAAAAAAATGTGTATCAAATGTAAGCTTATTTTTTGTGATTGATTTTTTTTTCAGAGCTTGAGTTGTGCACTGAAAAAAAGGCAGCTAGCTTCATCTCCATACTGCATCACAGATTCTGTTCGCGTAGGTATTAATTGCTTTTTCCCCCCTAGACATAAACAAACTTGAATGATCAAAATAGCTAATAAAAATAAATTTCAATAATTAGAACTTGATGTTTATTCCTTCATTAAAAACAAAAGTACAAGCAAACCATTTTTCGTGCAAGACATTTTTTGGGACCTTAATTCAATTTGCATAAAAAAATGTTCAACGCACAGTGTTTCAAAGGAAATTAATTCAAAACCAGAAGTCTCTGTCGAGACTGTAGCTCTACTGGTTTGTACTTATAACAAAGGATGAGAAAATAAGCCATTGCCATCAGACCAAAACTGTAGGATGACTAGCGTTTTATAGGAATTTCTATGAAAATTCTATTTTGAGTAACCATGGTAACATCGTTCATCGAAATTAAAATCCAATGCACTATTTTATGTATCTTAGTGTAGTCTACTTGTGTGCCAAGTAACATTGAAATCAAATCAAAACTGTGGGAGGAGTAGCGTTTTAAAGAAATTTCAAAGGAAATTCTATTTTTAGTAACCATGGCAACACCGTTGATCAAAATTAAAAACAAATGCACTGTTTTATGTATCTTAGTGTAGTCTACTTGTGTATTATGTAATATTGAAATCAGACCAAAACTGTAGAAGGAGTAGCATATTAAAGGAATTTCACAGAAAATTCTATTTTTAGTAACCATGGCAACACTGTTCACCAAAATCAAAAACTGATGCACTATTTTATGTATCTTAGTGTAGTCTACTTGTGTGTCAAGTAATATTGAAATCAGACCAAAACTGTGGGAGGAGTAGCGTTTTAAAGAAATTAAAAAAAAAAATTGTATTTTTAGTAACCATGGCAACACCATTCATTGAAATCAAAAACTGATGCACTATTTTATGTATCTTAGTGTAGTCTACTTGTGTGCCAAGTTATATTGAAATCAGACCAAAACTGTAGGAGGAGTAGGGTTTTAAAGAAACTTAAAAGAAAATTCTATTTTTAGTAACCATGGCAACACCGTTCATCAAAATCAAATACCAATGCACTATTTTATGTATCTTAGTGTAGTCTACTTGTGTGCCAAGTAATATTGAAATCAGACCAAAACTGTAGGAGGAGTAGGGTTTTAAAGAAACTTAAAAGAAAATTCTATTTTTAGTAACCATGGCAACACCGTTCATCAAAATCAAATACCAATGCACTATTTTATGTATCTTAGTGTAGTCTACTTGTGTGCCAAGTTATATTGAAATCAGACCAAAACTGTTGGTGGAGTAGCATTTTGAAAAATTGTTTACAGACAGACGGACGGACGACGGACACACACATAAGCTCTTCTGGTCTCTGACCAGTAGAGCTAAAAACGTTGAGATGATTATTTTGTGTAATGAACACACACACACTCTAAGAGAGGTGAACATAAGTACACTTGTGTTTTGTCTTCACACACACATTCAAAACAAGGAAGATAAAGTCATATTTTTAGCACCACTTCCTACCTTGTATAGATTCCACTTAAACTGTTGACTTCAAAAAAAAAATAAAAATCAACACAAAAATAGTAGAATACTATACACTGCCATTTTTTTTAAAAAGAAATATTTACTATACAGGTTTAATGCTGTTCAGTCACAGTGAATGTACTTTGAACAAAACATTCTATGCATGCAAGGTCCTTAATAGGTTTAATTTCCTAATTCGTCTGGATTAATTAATTAGTGCCCCCTATACCGGACGCATAATAAAACCACCTGTTGTCATATTCATTTATTACCAGCCTGCCACAATTTCCTCGAAGTTTTTGGACCAAGGCCCACATTTCAAAATGTTCCTTACATATAATGTTATTACCTGTACCTGTATTAACATTCTTTTAATTCAAATCAATATTTTTCATTTTACTTGTTCCCCCCCCCCTTCCCAAGAAAGGGGTGAAATATGTGTATTCCGATATAAATAAGATATTTTTGTGGGGGAAAAAGAAAGAAATAGATGTGTCAGTGTGAAACAAATGCCAAAGCTGAAAAGCATTTCCCCCCTTAATCTATGAAAATCTGTATAGAGATATGCACTTTCTAAAGGATGGAAATGAGCCCAAAATATCTAGAATTCATATTTCTGTTTTTCTTTCCTCTTGAATGTCATCAATACAAGAAAATATTCTAGTTACATGATATTGGTAATCAATTACCACATTTCAGGAAAAACTTTAAAAAAAAAAAACTGCTGAATTTAAAAATCGAAAGGAAATAACTTTTGGAAGATGGGTCAAGGCATCAATATAAAAAAAAAAAAAACATGTTCACAAAAATCAACTCAATATCTACAAAGTACAGTAAAAAATGAGTCCAAAACAGTGAGGAATAAGAAATCTTCAAAGTTTAATGGTGATAACTTTTGAAAAAAAAAAGGTTAATAAAAGTGAAATTCGAACTTGATCTGTAAGTCATCAGCATGAAGGCACATATCAAACATCAGCTTATTATCTACAAGCAAAGTGCGAGAAAATTCATAAAACAGAAAAAAATGAAATTGTAAAGTCAAAGACAATAACTTTCATGAAAAATGGGTCAATTATTAAAAAATTTGAACCTAATTTTTTACATCCCGCAATATAATGAGGATAATCCCAAATCGGCTCTTTATCTGAAGCACAGTTAAATAAAAAAGTCCAGAAATCTTGAATGTAATGACAAAGACTGAATGACAGAGGTAATACTATATGCCCCAGTCCATTCCATGGCAGGTGTGTAAAAAATCAAATAATATGTGAAATCATCAACAATTATTGAATACTAGGATTCAAAGCTTAATTTTTTACCTGAGAAGCTAAAAAGAAAATTGAAAGATCTGAGTTAAATCTGAATTGGTCTTTATTCTTTAGCATTCTACGGCCGAACCAAGCTCAGCTCAAGAGACTGCTTATAGGCTATTGATTTATGCTTTATCTATATGCGTCACATGAATTTTTATATAAATTGATAGCCACAAATTGATTTGGCACTTAAATATGCATGGCAAATAATCAATTTCCATAAAACGATCTTAAATATGGCTTAGTTATTGCAGCATGTCAGAACAAAAAAGACCCTACTGCACATTACATCACTGTTGGCAAGGACGGTAGCACTGTTTAGTTGACAAAAAGACCCATATAAATGACCAGCGGCACATAAAAAATGCATATCAAAGAGTGGTAAATTCTGGTATGAAAGACTTCCTACCAAACATGTTATTGACTCCTAAATAACTTAGTAACCCTAAACCTGTTTTTTCACTTTTCAGTAAATTATTCTGCTGATTTCTAGATAAAATTTCATCTAAATTAATATAAAAAAAACATCCACTTACTGGGATACTTATAGATGTAATGTGGAATGTGCAACGTAAAAAAATCGTTTTTTTTTTCCTCCAAATATTAAAAATGTGTAGTAAAGTCATAAATAGGCATTATGCAAAATTCTGTGGTTAATTTGTGCAGTAATGACACTATTAATATCCGTTAATTTTTTTTTTTCGTAAGAGAACTGACCTAGTGTAGCAATCATAATGTCTTCTGTTAGCGTCCTTCTTTTCCGGATTACGGAATGAAAAATAAAAGACCCTTTTTTACTTTGACTCAGGATAATGAAGGTGACATCAACAAATTAGGCCTGATATAAATGAAGTGAAAAGACAGACGACTTGTTCAAAAGCCCTCAAGCAAGTATTAAAAGGACTCGCAAAATTATTTCCTTGATGAAATGTAATTAAATTTAGCTTTTAAAGGTAGCATGATTTACCGCTCATTTCCATAATATATGAATACCTTGACAAATGAAATGAAGCATAGTTGATCACTGACATGATTTAATGTGGACTTTGTTCAAATCTCAGCGATGAGTGACCTCGGAAATCATGAAACTTACGAGTCGAACAAACTTAATACCCCCGGAAATCACAAACAAAAACTCAAAAAAAGTTACCCACAGCTACATGTAGGAGACAAGTATAATTGAGAAATCATCAATCTCGTTTTTTTAATTAATATGCAACTGCTTGCTGTTAATGACTGATTGTTTGAACACTGTTTAGGGAAGGCAACACCACCTTGTTTGATAGCGTAACAGCATCAGATTTGACAGCAGATTCGTGACTCCCCCCAGAGCCATTTACGAAGAAACTGAGCTATTCTACATGGAATGGAAATGACTGATCAATGGGAAAACACAAACTACCTGTGTAGTGACACACAAATTCTCCTACCTTAGCCTGGTTTACACAACCTCTAGCTGAAAGTCATCAGGCTTTTACAACAATTATCATAATTCAATCTTGTAGACTGTATAAATACTTGAGATTTTATAGGCAAATATACTTACTGCTATATATATGAAGAATGTTTAAGTAAATATGAAATATGTTATTGCATGGACTTACCTTTTAAAAGCAAATGAATTTGGTAATTCCCATTAAAAAACATAATATTTTGAAGAAAACAATTTTTTAAACAACTCCCCTTCAAAATTACAAGCACAAAAACTGTGTAGTGTATGAAGATTTGTACATAGAAGGCTATACTATAGGAAACATGAATTGAGTGGTGGGCACTAGAGCATAAAGTACAGAACAAGAGGCCACCCAGCTAAAACGCTCACCTGAGCCACCTCACACTTCAACAACCTTATGTGAGAATAAAATAAACACAATAGCTCTCTTTAACAGCAAGGTTACATATCAAATACATGTACATAAACGATAGTCTATTTCATACTGTTGATCCTATGAAAACAGTTATTTTAGGTTTGTCAAAATAATATTGTGTGTTTCCTGGACCTTTGTTATGAGCCCCCATCCACATCCCTTGTTATATAAAATTGTCCATACCCACTGATACCAATGAAGTGAAAATAGCCACATCAATCAGGTTCCTGAGCAGACACTTTGAAATGGCAAGAAAAAAGTACACCCTTTCTATTCTTTTGCCACTCAGAAAGATATGAAAATAACACAGTTTTCCAGGAAGATATAAAAAAGAATCAAGAAGCCCATGAACTACCATGCTTACTCCAGTAACTTTGACCTTTTGTTTTCCATCGGCAGATCTAATAGTGTGACCTAGCTAACTCTATCCCATATTGTGTCTTGATTTGACAACTTGAACCTTCTGGACATTAGGATACTTCCATATCAGTATAACTTATAATAAGTTTACTGATTTTTCCTGTACCTGCATAGTCACTTTGTAAAACACTGATAACCCACCATGGCCCCACCCTACCCAAATGGATTTTGATCTGTGAAAAATAAGTTGAATCTACACTACCCCAGGATGTTTTCATAAAAATTTGACATTATAAGTTTGTTGATTGAGAATTTTTTTCCCTGATGTTTAACTTAAGATTATCTATTGTGGTCCCACCCTACCCTTTGGCTCAGGTGAGCTAAAAAGGTAACGTGCTTAGCCAAAGTCACTATAGAAACACTAGTGTCAGACTTGGTGACATCGCATGCAGCATTCTGGGAAAAGCCAAATATGTGAAAAGTTAATGCCAAATAGACAAGTCAATCAATACATGATAAACAAAGTGATAGGTGAGCTAAAAGCCTTGGTATGGCTATAATCATTAATACACTACAGTAGCTCAGGTTAAAAGGACTCTTTTCCTCTCTCTCTGCAGTATTCAAAGTTTGACACTGCATGAAAAAAAAGAGAAGTGTTTGGTGATTATCAATATTTGAGCAGTAATTGAAAACTTGAGGGAATGAATTTTTAATGGTACACCTACGTTATCATTTTGTTCGATTGAGGTGCAATTAAATTAAAATGCCACTGAGGTTTTCCAACTTGTCAGAGAAATTGCATTACCATTTTTATAGTGGAAAGTAGCTTTAAATTGATATTGCTCGTTTTACTGCTTGACAAAATAAAGAAAAACAATTATATTTCAGTCATCATACAAAATACTGAATATCTCCCAAAACATTCATCAAAAAGTTCTCATTAAACCAAAATGAAGCAGAACATATTAAAAATGGCCATACTTCCCAATAAACCTAATTCTTCTTTGAAATAACACTCATTTCTATCATTTGTCTACGCACTTCATTTTCCACCTTGCCAGAATTTGACACCAAATAGAAAATCGCAAACCCTTAGCACATCAAATATTCATTTTATTGACACCCACTTTGTCATATTCTCTGGCTCTTCTAAAATCATCTCGGAAAACAGAACCTACTTTAAATTGCTCTTTTTCTTTGATGTGTAAAAATTCTTTAAAATTTCACAATCTTCCACCTTACGTTCTGAATTTTTGGTAACTCTAAGGACACCAACACTTTGATATCTAGCTCAAAGAAATGGAGTGCAACACAAAATATACCCCTAGACTAGTGTAGAATTCGAACCAAAAGTAATTTTTTTAATTACCGTGTGACATATACCCACCCATTTAGAAAATTGATCTGTAAAGTAAATTCTTGCCAACAAAATTTCCTTTCAACCACTGAAGACAATAACAGTGATAGCTTTTTTCACATCAATAATTCAAATGGCTGCCTATACTGCTAATTATATTATCTCTGAGAGCAATTGGGAATATCACCTATTTTACTTTTCTATTAAGCATAGCCTCCCACAAATCTGTTTAAACCTTTTACAGACTGATTCTAGTAATTCTGATTAAGTGGTTACCGTAACTTCCACAAATCAGACTATAGCAAGAATGGTGGCATCTGCCAGTTGGTTTAATATGGGCACTAACTTGAGATTAACTTGTCTGAGCTAAGTTACTGACATGAAATGCTTATGATTAGATGATCACTCACCCCAGTATCTTTCCAACACAAGCTTGTGGTAAGGTAAACTGAAAGTGATACTGGCTTGTGGTTAGGCATTTGATGAAGGATAAAAACTTGTGGTAAAGCACCAATATGGTCACGTATTTAATGAGACAAGCTTTTGTGGAAGTACTGATAATGAAACAAGCCTGTGCTTTGGTGCTAATAAGAAAACAAGCTTGTAGCTTGGTATGATAATAAAAAACAAGCTTGTAGTTTGGTATGATAATAAGAATACAAGCTTGTGGTTATAGGTACTCATAATTAGCATAAATAAGGACAATGTGTTGTGGTCAGGAACTGGTAATGATACATGCTTGTAGTTAGCCACTGATTATGACATAAGATTGTGTTAAACCCACTGATCATGACAGAAGATTGTAGATAAGTATTAACAATGACAAAAGCCTGTGGTTAGCAACTGATCATGACACAAGCTTGTGGTTAGCCACTGACCATGACACAAGCTTGTGGTAAACACACTGATCATGACAGAAGATTGTAGATAAGTATTAATAATGACACAAGCTTGTAGTAAGGAAATGATCATGAAACAAGCTTGTGGTAAACCCACTGACCATGACACAAGCTTGTGGTTAGCCACTGATCATGAAAAATAGCTTGTGGTTAGGTACTGATAATATGTCACAAACTTGTAGTAGGAACTGATAATGATGCAAGCTTGAGGTTTCATAAGTATCAACACAACTTGTGGTAAGGAATAGTAACAATGCGAGCTTGTGGATGATCATAACTCGTGGTTGCAGGGTTCTAACAATAACACAAGTTTGTGGTAAGATACTGATTGTGCCACCAGCTTACTGGAAGGTACTGATAAAGCTTGTGGTTAGGTTCTGTTGCAACAAAGCTTGTGGGTATAGTAAGTAGACCAACCCTCATCTTTCTAGTTGTAAGTGTTACAAAGTTTGTAGTGAAGTGATTGATCAGTGCAGGTGTAAGTTACATAAACTTGTGGATAAGTAGTTAGTGAGTTCATTTCATTCACAAGCTTATTGTTCATTGTTTTAAAATAATCTCTAGTATTAGCTTCCTGTAGACAAGATTAATACAGTAAAAGTTAAAATCTTCCTATTTATAATTTATTCATTTTATTATTATAAATCAATTTCTCAGATGATTCAAAACTGTACAGCAAGAGGGAAATTAAAAATAAAATCAGTATTTCTAATGGCAACCCACTAACCCTTTGAATTTAACTATAAAGTACAATTGAACCTAAATACATCCAACATTAGTCAAGGTGTCCAGTGTTTTGTGAAGAGAGGGGGAGTATCTAGTCCTTGGAATACCAGGGTGTAGAACTGGTTTATGAACCTCCTAAAAGTTCGAACTCAAAGACTAAGTCAACAACCTTGTCAAGAAAACATTGTCCTCACATAATCAGGGCTAGTTTAAAAATCTCAATCTACAAAAGCCATTAAACCATATTTTGCAATAGCTTGTTTAAAGAAAGAGTGGTGCACAAGTACTGGTTTCCTTAAGAAAACTAATACAGGAAAAGGCTTTATATTCATTTTAAAGAGAAGTGATAAAATCAGAACTGTTTTCTTTATCCTAGATTTTGTAAAGAAATCATTTGAATCAAATTGAAAATTGTTTACCAAATAATTACCCAGCATCACAACTGAATGGTGATGCATATGTGTTAAGGTAAAACCTTTGACTTGTGGAAATTATTGATCAAACTGAAAGTCTACAGCAGTTCTGTTTTTTTCTATCCAAAACATTACCAATGACACGAGAATTAGGCTTGAACTAGAGTAAATTTACCTTTTATCAATAGACCTTTCATACTGCAGTTTACGTGTTAACTGAATACTTTATTGTTAGGATCATCGGAAGTCAACAAGATTTTAAAAAAACTATTACACACCGATAGTTGGGTCAATGATTATAGCTGCGGTCAATTAAATCTTACCTTTTAAAGACTTTTGCACTTTGGGAAGTCTATAAATATCCACTTTTCAAAATCAAATCGACATATGGAGCCGTCTTCCGATTTATCTAGAACAGAATATAAAATTATAATCCTTAGAGCTGAGACTCTTGTTTCCCTTCACTTCTACAAGCGAGTATGTAATATCATGAGGAATTCAATACTTGCTGAACAACTGACGTCAAGCCAATACTAGCAGGTCAGAATGAATTAACACACTGTTACTGCCAAGCTGCAAGATCACAAGTCACTTTTTGTCTTTTTCAATGTTTAATCCTCAGCGACAGTAAGGGCAGATGGTACATATAATTTGGAGGAAATATATTTTTAACATCTGCAAATTTTATTCTTCCTCTAATAATTCCTCAACTTTTTTAATGACAATATCTTGTCTATTGGATGAGGTTGTGTAACCTACAGAAGTCGTTATTGTCTTTTTTCGATAATAAATAATTCAACCTGTATTTCTCCATGTGGAATTAATGGAAACTCGTAAAGACAATTCACCCAAGATTATATTTTCAATATTTAATGTTCAGAAACATATTAATTAGCCTCTTAAATGTCATAGACATGCAACACATCACTGAATAAAAGAAACAAAAATGTTAAAACAGGTTTTCATCCAATATGATTCACTATCTTTATTAGATATCAATTCTTAACCATGTGGCAAATGTAATAGCTTATAAAATAATTAATCCCCTTTGATAATTATAAGTATGATAATTACACTACTCTTGTGAATCTTTGGATTTATCAAAATTTTGTGGAAAAACCTTTGAGACTGTCTGTCTCCCTTAGTTGTCCTCCTGGTGTTTTTTTCTTTACACTGAACTATATATACTGTCATTACTATACATCTATCCTTTCTACATGCAGTTCTTAAATATGATGTATATATATGTTATATATACCTCTGACAATTTTAAAAAGATATGATTTACACTTTATTTTCCCCATGTACCATGTTGTATGGTAAAATTGAGCAAATAAACTAACTGATTGTCAAGCTGATTTGCTCTGAAATTTTTTTCAAGAGTTTAAAATGTTCAAAATTACTTTCAATTTTCTTGAGATTTATCATACTTTATAGTTAATGGATACAAAATTTTCAAGCTATAACTCTTGCATTTTGCAAAATCAATATTCCCTGTGTTGATTCTGCCTTTCCAGAAAAAAACTCACTTTTTGTGTATTATAAGTCAAACTTAATTTTGGGTATTTCAGACCCAATTAGACAAAGAAAAAATTTGAGAAATCTGATTCAGGTTATCGAGGTCAAATTTAACCACAAAAAAAACTTCTTTCAAAATATTAAAAATTTCTACAATATATGAGTAAGTCAATACCCTTTTCCAGTAAAATGTAAGGAAATTAAACTTGCACTCTAATAGTCACAATATGTTTTGTAAACGGTGGGTGAGTCTGTCTGCTGGATGTTTAGAAAAACTTCCTGTTGGTCACTATAATCAAACCTCCAAGAGTTAAAATTTTTCTGAAAGGTTTCCCTTCAACAAATTCTTGTTATGAGTTTCTTGTATAAACAATGAAGTGTTAATAGGATAAGAAGTAAATGAAATCAAGAAAACATCTGCAAGCTTATGATTGGCAGTCCAGCATTGTATAGTAACACATACCATCTTCATTATTATACTGGAATTTGGTTTTGCTTATTGATGGAATTTAAACATGTTTGAGTTTTATTAATACCATATAAGTCAATGCATATATCTAAAGTTCAAATTAGAGAAACAAATTATTTCTAGCATTTATTTAATATCTATTTTTATATGATAATTTTGAAACAATCTAAATTATCGTAATAAAATTAAAAAAATTATCATTTGACTTACTTTCAGCTGGGGGAAAAAATTTTCTTTTGTGGAACTAGCTATAACAGCATGTAGAGGGATGCAGACAAATATGTGATCTCCACAGACCAAACTGGCAGGGAAATTTACAGAAGGGGAAATATGAGCTCTGCTGCCAACATTTTACATGCAAGAGACCCCTCACTTCCTATAGTTACTTCCTTTCCAGTGTCCGTGATATCGCTGGGATTAAAATTCGTAGTACCACATTGCAATAATGTAATGAATTCTTCCTTGAAATCCATTTTATCATGTTGAAAGAATTTTTGAGTAAATAATTTTTTTTTGGTTTAATGTGAAAGACATAAACATTTTGAACTGACCCTGAGTACTCTGACAGATTTATTTCCATGAATCAATAATAAATGCAGCAAAAAAAGGTACATGTTGGTGAAAAAGTAAAATATAGCACTAAAAAAATATCACACATTGGAATAAAGCCTACTTTGGAATAAAGCCTAAATATAGAAAACCTATTTGTTCTTAGTTTTTTGTAAAGGATTGTAAAGTTGTAAATATATTTTAAGTTTGAGTAAAATTGATGCAGATTACACTAGCAGCCATTAAGTCTCGGTATATATACCGACATAGCCCATCATCTGGTCGCAGTTCACCAGGGCATCTTGTATTTTTAACAAGAGTGGACATTGTTCTTTGTGTCTTACTGTATTGTGAATTATAAATCACTTGAGCCCTCTATGGCTTTAATTCGCTCCAGCAGCTTGGTTCTGACGTCAATATAATATTGGTTTCGGCTACTTTTCTCCCGAGGTTTTTTCGTTCAAACAATATGCTTTGTGTGTGAGATCCTTATCGTTTTTTTGGCATTATATGGTAAAGACATGAAAGTGGGAAAAAAATTAATAACAGTGAAAACGGATCCCCGTATCCACAGGTATAGGCTGATTTACTCGTACCTCAAATGTGGAGATCCGAGAAAAAAAAGTGTGAAGGTTAAACGTCAACAGATCACCGACATTTAGCTACCCGAGCTAAATCTGGACTTTTATGATATAACATATAAGGACTTTGTACAGTAAGATTCAAATAGTAATTAGAGAACTATGTTTGATCTCTTTTTATAGGCTTGTTATGCAGGACTTATCCGAGCAGTAATTATTTCTCATCAATAAATTGGCCACACCCAACCAAGTAAGCAGTCTTAGAGGATAAAGATCTGCAGAACATGATGTTCCTTAATCTTCTGTTAAAACAATGAAAAGAATTTTTTTGAATAAAAAAGGAAATCACCAAAAGCATACGAAAAAAAGAACCGATAGCATGTTTTTGCCTTTTCATTGCAATACTAGTAGTTCACAATGTCTGCAACAAAAGTATTCAAACCAGCTTGTTGTTGTGCCACTGTGGATTAAGGTTTGCTATTCCTCAAGCCAATCTGTACTGAAACATGCTTTTATGGATTTTAAAAACATAATACATAAACTTTCTATCGGAAAATAAAGTGAAGTCCCAAGATATGAAGATGAAAGCTATCAGCTATGATATAGTGCATAAAAAGTTGGCTACCTTGAAAAATTGCTTTAAACGTCATTTCAATCTTATCTAAGATAAAATTACACATTGATAATCAATTCATAACTGGTATAACTGAATAATTATCGTAAGCGAAAATTGACAATTCTGATGCCTACACTTCATTTGAATTTTTAAACATAGGTAATCAGAGATTACAGAGCTCACCTCAACGAATGTTGTCTTTAAATAAGGCAAAGTCACACAATTAACCAACAAAAAGTGTACATTCCAAAAATGAAAATATTCATGCAATTTTGGTCTGATACTTTGAAATAGACCTATATAAAAAATTCAAACTAGTTCTTCATGAAAACGTAATTAAAATCCAGCATCTGAAGCAAATTTGAGAGTTTTCATCCCTTGATGCATCATTTGTGCAAGTTTGGTTTATACAATGTTATATATAAGCCTTATAGCTTTTTGGTAATAGACCTGCAACCATAACTTTTACCTGGTCCATTATCTGAAAAATGTATGTTGAATTCAGCATCCGAAGCAAGTCCATTAGTGTGCATCCTAAGATATATCATCCATGCAAGTTTGGTCATTAAAGAACTCATAGTTACTTGGAAATGAATAATGCACCAAAAACTTTAACCTGTTTACTCAACCAGAAAATGTAGGTCAGATTCAGCATCTGAAGCAAGCCTGGTAGTATGCATCCTTAGACATATCATCCATGCAAGTTAAGTCATTATAGGGCTCATAGTATATTAGAAATGAGACCTGCACCAAAAACTTTAACCTGTTTACTCAACCGGAAAACGTAGGTCAGATTCAGCATCCGAAGCAAGCCTGGTAGTATGCATCCTTAGACGTATCATCTATGCAAGTTTGGTCAACATAGGGCTTATAGTTACTTGGAAATGAAACCTGCACCAAAAACTTTAACATGTTCACTCAACCAGAAAATGTAGGTCAGATTCAGCATCTAAAGCAAGCCTGGTAGTATGCATCCTTAGACGTATCATCCATGCAAGTTAAGTCATTATAGGGCTCATAGTATATTAGAAATGAGACCTGCACCAAAAACTTTAACCTGTTTACTCAACCGGAAAACGTAGGTCAGATTCAGCATCCGAAGCAAGCCTGGTAGTATGCATCCTTAGACGTATCATCTATGCAAGTTTGGTCAACATAGGGCTTATAGTTACTTGGAAATGAAACCTGCACCAAAAACTTTAACATGTTCACTCAACCAGAAAATGTAGGTCAGATTCAGCATCTAAAGCAAGCCTGGTAGTATGCATCCTTAGACGTATCATCCATGCAAGTTAAGTTATTATAGGGCTCATAGTATATTAGAAATGAGACCTGCACCAAAAACTTTAACCTGTTTACTCAACCGGAAAACGTAGGTCAGATTCAGCATCCGAAGCAAGCCTGGTAGTATGCATCCTTAGATGTATCATCCATGCAAGTTTGGTCAATATAGGGCTTATAGTTACTTGGAAATGAAACCTGCACCAAAAACTTTAACCTGTTCACTCAACCAGAAAATGTAGGTCAGATTCAGCATCCGAAGCAAGCCTGGTAGTATGCATCCTTAGATGTATCATCCATGCAAGTTTGGTCAACATAGGGCTTATAGTTACTTGGAAATGAAACCTGCACCAAAAACTTTAACCTGTTCACTCAACCAGAAAATGTAGGTCAGATTCAGCATCCGAAGCAAGTCTGGTAGTATGCATCCTTAGATGTATCATCCATGCAAGTTTGGTCATTATAGTGCTCATAGTTACTTGGAAATGAGACCTTCACCAAAAATTTAACCTGTTCACTCAACCGGATAATGTAGGTCAGATTCAGCATCCGAAGCAAGCCCGGTAGTGTGCATCCTCAGATGTATCATCCATGCAAGTTTGGTCAACATAGGGCTTATAATTCCTTGGAAATGAGACCTACACCAAAAAGTGCACCAAAAATGTTAACCTGCTCCAAAAACATTAACCTGGTCATTCCTCTGCCGAAATTGCAGCATCTGAAACTTTGACTGGTACAATGAAACACACTAGATGCATCTTCCATGCAAGTCTAATCAATATAGGACATAGAAGTACTTAAAAAGAAAACTGCTCCAAAAAACTTAACCTGGGACGCCGACACCGACACCGACGCCGACGCCGAGGGTATTACATAAGCTCCCCCAACTTCGTTGAGGTGAGCTAAAAATACGAGATAACTGATTTGGTGCTAGAAAGCAATCGCCATCAGCACAACAGAGCCTCGCCAATCTGTAGCGAGAAAAACAATTGAATGTAATTGGTATACATTCATTTTCCCTTACATCCATAGGTAACCATAGTAATAGGATGTCAACATAATAGGTTTAAAACAAACAACTGCTTTTTATAGTACTTTCAATCGTACATGGCACTACAGCCTTAATATAGTACTATAGTCTTAATCCTGACAAATCTGTAATTGTTTATAATTATACCCAGGGTGGAAAATCGCATGGGATCATACTAATGAGCTGGCACGGAGCAAGGGGGTTAAAGGTGTGGCTTGTTACAGCTAGCCCTATGTACTCTACTGTAGCTATTACGATTGGAACCCTTTACATAACATGTTATTGATTTCTGCTGGAACACAGGGAACTTGCACTATATTACGTCAATGGCTTGCCACTACACTTTGCATGTGATAATTACCCGATCAGGACCAGACAAGTCCGCACAAAGCCAAGTTTTTAATTTGATTACACTGTCACTGACAGTTAAGCTTTACATCTACTCTACAATTTGATTGACTGCTCGACTGTGACCAAATAAGTCGCCCACTCCATTGCAAGAGAATGATATATACTAAATATGGAGGACTGCGGGTCTTTTTCATCTTCTCTGGAAAGGCAAATTAGGTGGGCTACTGTGAGATTAAAAGAAGATTGACTTAGAGATGGGCAAAGATCCACAAGATCATAGGGATGGATCTGATTTGTATGGAATCAGAATGAGGTTAAAGGTCATCCACAGCTTTAGGTCAATCACACACAGTGACCTTCACATTAAATACAAGATATCGGCAAAATGATCTAATATAATAAACTTTCTTATCATGCTAAAGTTGTATTGGGACTGTAATTTAAATTTCCTGATACACTAGCAATGTCACAATGGACATACAAGTGACAAACATATTGCTTTTATCCAAGATTGATAATTGCCTACATTTTAAAAAAAAAATTTGCTACATAAAATGAAAGCAATTATTTAATATTTTACTATCATCTGTACAATTTTGGTCTATATATCATCAGTAAGAACTATATCAGGCAAGAAAACTGACAAAATCATATGTGCCCTTGTGTATGTTAACATCAACGTTTTTGACCTTTAAGTGACCTTAAATTGTTGGGGCAACTTCCTTGAACTTTTCTCTTCCTGTGTGGCAAATATTGATAATTAACTTTTGAAGAAAATATTATCCCTGACATTTTTATTGATTGATCTCTTTAAGACCTGACATGAAACCAAGTGACCACCACGAATATAGTCCTCACGTTTTTGCATTATTACATAAAAGTATTGATGTAGGGAGAAACTGGCGGACATGATAATTGCTCTTTAGCATCCATACTTATCACAGGGTCTTATTTAGAGATCATTATTCCTTACATTTGGACTCCCTAACATTTATTAGACTGACTACATTTCACTGTCTAATAACCAGTAACTTTCCAAGAACATTCTACTTACAGTGTCTTGACCAAAAAGAAACATTCTGTTTATTTCAATTTTCCACTAGAAATTCATACTCTTATTTATTCACCTTCAGAATTGCAATTTATCTGTTATGGACATTTTTTTCAACTTTTTCTTCTGAATTTTTTACTTTTATTTTACCTCTATAGATAATTTAACTAGTTTAAAACAATCAGAATTAATGCAAAATGTTACATGCATTAAATTTTAATTAATGCTATTAATATCCCTCGTGTTATATTAAAATAAATTTTGGGTTAAAATAAACTGGTAATCATCTATATAAAAACGAAATTAACATATGCACATTAAGAAACCCAGTTACGACCAGTTGTCAGTGGATTTGTATAAAATGTCATTCAAATGACAAAATATTGGCATATAAATCATACATGTTAACTCTCCCGATTTAGGCGGGAGTCTACCGCTTTTTCACTCCATCTCCCGCCTACCGATTTAATTCAGAAATCTACCGCTTTTCTACAAAAGCTGCGTCTAAAGTATTTTTGGTTCGCTTGGGTATCCATTTTTGAAGCCACTCTCATAAAATCTCGCTAGATATCGCGTGATTTGACTCGGAATCATACAAACGCTTTTTTTGTACATAGATTTCAAGCACGGATTTGACAACGACAACATCATAAGACTACCAGTGATTACATTGGTTACGATAAATTAATCAACATCCCTGCCATGAAAAAGGAGATATAGCTTTTAAGAATTAGATGAAAACATTTGACATCGTCTTTAAAAGCACAGAAGCTCACAACTTTATCAATAAAGTCATTAGAAATCACTCGATTGACCAAGCCATGTGGCACATCTCTACTTTCATTTTCGATCATCGCAGGAAATCTGATTTATATAACGAAAGATACGAACTTGTTTTAGATCTAGATTAAACCATGCCATCATTTGTTTTGTTTAAAAACTGAATGAACATTCAGAATTATTGCTTCTAGGCTATTTCAGCAAAGATCACTCTTCAAAAGGCTAAGTAAAGCAGCCAATCCAAGCAAAATGATGAGCATGAAAAATATTTGAATTTGTACAATTTATGTCAAACTTAAGGTGTTTCTGTCTTCTTCCTTGCTGTTGATATTTAAGATTGATTAGTGTAGGTACCTGATTTCATTTAAGGCTTATAATATACATGTATATTACATGAAAGATATCGATAACCCAAGCGTTAAACAACACGCGCGCAATGCTACCGCTTTTGAGGTCTGAATCTCCCTCTTTTTCATCACAATAGGTTAACATGTATGTATAAATTATAAGGTTCTTAGTGCAAACTCTTGATGTTATGCAACTCAAATCTAATTCTTTAACTAACTGTCCAATGGCAACAATTGGCATCTCTAGACTGTGTGAATCCCTTTTTACACAAAAAAACCAAACAAACAAAAAGCAAACAAACAAACAACGAACAAAATACTATATTCATCCCATTTGGTACCTCGGGCACTTAAAAAAAGGGTGTGTGCACCCACTGCTTTTGTTACAAAACTTGTTACAAAAATGTATAACTTTAAAATGTAAAAACTATACTTAAATAAGATGTGAATTCCAAGAAAATAAATTTATAAAATACTGTCAATGCATAGTGATCTTATTTGTTCAATTAATTAAACAATGAGGTAAGAAGTATTTGAAGAAGAAAAGCTCTTAATCTTAGCTGATTAAAAGAGGTCATGTAGCAACTATGGGTGCTCAGTAGGGTGTATATATATATATGGTACTAGTAGCACAATACTCTACAGCTGAGTCCATGAAAAAGCAAAAAATACTTACAAAGATTCTTTAATGTCCCTGCCTTCTTCCTCTATCTAAGCCACATTTTGCTCTGTATACTGGAGAAGAAGTTAAAAAGTAGATGATATCCTTCAGCTATGAGTCACCTAAAAAAGAAAAAAAAAAACATGATGTTCATATTCACACTGGTTACCTTACAGAATAATTCTAAGGGTCTTCAAACAGTGCACAGAGGCCAATATTCCACTCTCACCCGAGTTGTAGTTAATTTTTTCTCCACGATCTTCCTGTTTAATTTCCTTTCTTTATAGCATTGAAATATCCACGTGTAATTACATTTTCTTATATAACATATTAATGCAGGAATTGATGTTGAAAAAATAAGTCTGTAAAGGGTGTTTCATGACATAAACCAACTTCATCCATTTTCTATGTGTGATTAAAGGAGATATAGGATAGACACAATTCATGTTTTCAAATACTGTCCAAAATTTCAATGAAAACAGACAAGTATCTCTTCATCCAAACAGCTTCTGGCAATTCTTACACCGATTTTCACTCAGCATCTGTCTTTTTGAACTAAATAAATGCTTGTTCTCTCAGAATAGCCAAAGCTAAAGCTGTGAATAGGAGAGCAAAGTGCTATATCTATCTTTCAAGTAAAACAATGAAAAAGTCTGTAGTAAGAAAAGTTATTTCAATTCTGGTCTTCACATACAGTAAAACATGCTTATTGTGAACATGCTTATAACGTATTGATTCTTATATAAGCAAAATGATTTTCATTCCCAATAACATAAAGATATATTGTAAACTTATTGTTGGATATAATGAATTATATGCTTCTAACCATGATAACGAAGCAAAATTGTGCATCCCTGGCACTCTGTTATAATTAGCATGTTTTACTGTTAAATGCTAAACACGAAGTGGAATTTCCAACCTTTAATAAACGTATTTCTATTAGTTCAATCAGCATAGAATTGATTGCCATTTTGACTAAAACTGGGAATAAAAAATCCTAGTGATAAACGAAACAGTTTCTTGATGCCAACTTCTCTCAATATGCATAAGAGTGGTATGAACTTTGACCTTGCTGAGAGTTTTCCAGATAATTATGAATTTGCTATAATTTCTTACTCGACTTAATCTCGGCACTTCTTGGTATATCTTCAGAGCACTCAAGACAAGAGAAAAAGGACAGGCAATTTAAAGAAGGAAGTGGTGTGAAGATGACACATTTCCTGCCCAAGTCAGAGAACTCTGCAGCCTGCAGGAATCAATATATACTTGTCTACAACCAATCAGCCAATACACTGTGTACCAAGGTTGGCAAAAGAAGATTGTGAACTTAAAACTCAAGACGGGGAAACTTCCAAGCAAAGAAACTTGCTTTTTATCAGTTTGTGCTTTTCAGCAAGATCTGATTCTACAATGCTGCATTTTATATAAAGAAAATGTTCAACTTTTATTGTTTTGTCAATTAAATTTGCAAAATTCATTGTCATAATATGTATTTATTGTTTGAATAACTTTCAACCTTTCTATTATTTTATCACTATATTAAGTCCACTGAAAAAATTGTGAAATAAAGCAACTTTTACGATCTTCAATGTTACAAAAAATTATTTTAGAATGAAGCTATGGCCATCTAGTGATTTAAAAAAATGTAAAAAGTATGGCTTGATTTCCAACAGAAAAAAAAACTAAGTTTCTACTTCAAGAGGGTCTTAAGTGGTAATCAATCATTATTAACAAAGATCACTCTAAAACACTCATAAAAGGCAGTACAAGAGCCAAGTCTGCAAACTAGGAGAGAGACGTCTCTTGTTACTCTGGTAGAAAATGATGAAAAATGACTTGCTGAAAGAGTAATAATGTCACGGCTCTTCTAGGCAGACGGATGCCCAAAGAAATTGTTTTCAGAGGGCTCTGTATGCTAACAACCACTTAGATATTGCTTCTATGCAAATGTTACCTGCAACCAAGTCCAAAAAGCAATATATTGTTCTTCAGTGCAGATGGTCCAGTCTTGGATGCAATTATGTGCAATCATAATGCAACTCTTGGGGTAAAATGAAATGCAGAGGTACTCCAAGCTCCAATGGATCATATGTCTGAAACATAATACAGCTCTTTGAACGTGTACATTCACCCCTGGCTCCCTTTGTTAAAGGTGAGGACTGTCGTGTGACAATATTTTTTCTCTGAATAGAAAACCTCCATGTCCACTAATTTAACACTGGACAATGGGAGACTGCAGAAGAAATGCACCCGGCTGTGATTATGTGCAGCCAGGATATCCCCCCAATTATTTATGTGCGGAGGTGTGTCACAGAACATAATACGCTTCAAAGCCAGGTTGCATCTCATTAATCTATACTGCAGTGACCATCGGTCTCTCTCTTTAAAGAAAGTGCATAACCCTTGCATGAGCTCTTACATCTTTTAAAACCCATAAAAAAGGTTCTTGCAGTCAAAGAAGATTCAATAAACAGGGCCAATATTTATCGTAAATTACTTGCGGAAATTCTAATACCTGTCTTTGCGATGCATCAGATTTCTAAGGAGGAGAAAAATTGGTGTCAATCTATAGGACAGATGCAAGGACAGATTCAAGTGCAGTCCCAGATTACTCTTATTTTACAACCAATGGAAAGTTGTCAGCAATTTCTTCTCTACACCTGTCCAAATTAGCTGATCCTTGGTCGCTGCCCAGGTCAAGTGTTATAACAAAAGTGAAAATGTTTAATCAGAGCTTGACAATGGTCAATATAACTCGGGACACCTACCCTGTGTCAGAAAGTGAAAATCATCCATCTGCTGAATCCGACCAGGACATCTAATGGTTACAATGGAGGAGTTCAATTGTTGCTTTACGTAACAAACCATACAAAAGACAGACCAACAAAACATTATGTTTTTATTGAGTTCGATTCTCTTACATTAACCAATCAAAGGGAATAGGGATGTGGCTCTGTAACAGTTGCTCAGTCTGGAATCCATACAATATTTTTAAAATATCTAAATATAAAATAATACTCCACCAGCAATATCCCTCTAGCAATAACATAAACTTTATTGCATGTTCAAGTTCCTTGTTTGAAATGGGGAATCAATTGTAATACTACAAAAAACTCAGGAGTAGCCTAATTTCAAATTCTGAATATGTACAATAGACCATTCAACGGTCCAGAATTCAGGTTATCAGTAAAATTTAGTGCAGTTAGATTCAAGTTGGTCATAAACATGGTCTCTTGTACAACATGCAGTGATAAGCATGTCGTAATAGTAATTTATATGACATGGAACACTCTGTCATACTGTGTTACATTATTGGAAGGTTTCCATTCCATCACTGTTAATTCAAAAAAAATTTTTTTACCCTGTTCCAAAAATAAAATGTCAGTTTAATTCCATACAATCAAAGCTTACTATGAATCCATCGATTGAAATGATTACAATAATGCTTGCATCATTTGACTCCAAGGTTCTGAATTTTAATCATCTATTTAAATGTGTCCTCCATAAATTTTACCACCAATTCATTTGTCTCATTTAGCCAATTAAAGGCCATCAACATTCTCTATAGTTATGCAGATTTTGACATTTTATAAATTATATAAATTTAAACCACAAAAAGAATAAATCCCATAGCTTCTCCTTCATCAATAATGATGGCTGTTTTTAAAATTTTAAGTTTACCTGTCCTCATAATACACATATATCATTTTTTTAAATACAAAGATACCATTGACTGTATTACACCTACATCAAAAATCAAATTACAGGCTTAGAGAATGGGCCTAGTAACATAATCTGAAGAGGGGTTATCTACATTGGAGATTAGCAAGATGAAAACAAAACAAAAAAGATTTTGTACTGTCTTGAGGTTTAATACAGTCACTATACAGTTCACATTTCTGCAGTATCTTCAACGCAGACAAATTTTTCCGCGATAAACTCCAACCCGCAGATATCAGCATATTTGGTGCCATTCAGCCGTGGATCCAATGATAAATAGTAGATGTGAACTTGCATAATAAATCTGGCACAATCAGAAAAATAGCCAAAGATGTGGCACAAATATTGACTCAGATTGATCCGGGAGTGTTTGAAAAGTCACCTAAGGTGATAAATAATGCCAACAACAGGAAAGCCCCTCTCCAGTTCTATCACCTAATGATTACAGGGGTAGATAGGGGAGATAGAGATTTCCAATGTGTCCTGTCCAAGGAGGGAACTTAGGACATCCATCCAACACTCATGTGGGATGGAAACAACTATTGTGTTATTTCAGAGGCAATGATGTTTGAAATTGAATTCTTAGGCTTATAAATGGCTTTTACAATTAATAAATTAATGATAGCCTACTTTACTCTATGATTGCCAACAACATTTGCGAAATACTGTAGTTTCATCAATATTCGTTGAGCACCAATTTTCGAGGATTAAATTGTTGTTGAGAAGATCCACAAATTCCAATGTTCACTGAATTAAGAAATATGATATTCATTTGTACAGATAATGCTTTTGTCCATGAAATTACGTGTCCTCGAAAATGTCTGTTTTACAAAATCCACGAAAATTGATGCTAACGAAAATTGACGAAACCACAGTGCCTAATTTAAAGTTAAAAATGAAATTTTTTTTCTGGCTAGAAATCATTTTATTTTTGCAGGTCTATTGTCCATACAAATAGTTCTTAAATCACTATTAGGGGAGGAACACACATACATTCAAGATTTTTAACCTGTTCTTCTCGTTCAGCTAGACAGAGTGACATACTTTCTTCACCATAAAATCAAATGAGGACATCTTTTATACAGAAGTAACAGGGACAGACAACAAATACAGTTCACCTAGGCCAAGAGATGCACAAACTGACAACTTAAAAGATATGGCACCCACAAATGTCTCCGTTGGTAGACGCATGTTTGTCAAAACCATTACCAATAACTTGAGAAGAGAGGTACACGTTTTATTGGGCAATAATTTACTTTTTATCAAGCACTTGTAAAATACATGAACAGAAAATTCCACACAGGGGTTAAACTTCACAGATCATAAACATATAAATTAACACAGACACATTTCCTACTTCATGTCTCTAAATCATTTGGATCTTGCCACGATATTTGGACAATATTTAACTTTAATGACTTAACTGCACTTTTTTATCCTCATCAGCGGGCTTTCTTAACTTAACTAATTTTCTGCTTATTTTACACTACATTAGACATGTTAAATGATTGAATAATTTAGATAATGCTCATTTGTAGGAACACAGAATGTAATACCCATGCCAAGGCCAAATGTGAGGTTATCTACTGCATGACAAGTATTGGTATGTTTAAATAACATGCCAAGCTATAAGGTACTGGATCTAGTCCATACCTTAAATACGAACAGAGACAATCAAAGATTACCAAGTTCACCTCAACAAATTTTATGTACAAGTCAAACAAAGTCTCAGTCCAAATGAATGTTCTATAGCAGTGTGCAACTCTCTAGATTCATGCAAGTTTGGCCACAATAAGGCTTATAGTTACATAAAATGGACCTACTCCAAGAAAAATTAAACATGTTCATAAACTTGAATGTGTTGGTCTAAGATTCAGTAGCTGATTGTGCATCCCTAGATTGGGGCAAAACATCGGTCTTCTCCAAACACATTACCCTGGTAAATCCAGTCACATTCGTGTCCAGTATCTGAAGCGTTTACTCTAAGAGTGAATCCTTATACTATCATACAGGCTAGCTTTGTCCTGCTAAGGTCTATGGTTATTTGGATTATGGACTAGGTAGTTCCTCAAATTTTTTTTTAACATTTCAACTCAAAACTTCACAAATCGAAAACTAAGCAGAATTTAAGGCGCAAGGGACAATGACATCACAATATGATGTCATGTTGTGTATTGGCTATATCATGCCATGACTACTTTATCATACATATAACCCTTTCCTCTGTAATGAACCTTCCATGTGTTTTTAATTGGCTCATTTGCATAGAACACCCATACTTTAACTTACTAGCATAGCTTTTGCTTCAATTCTAGAGATGTAATAAAGTCAACCTCGAGAATGCCTTAAGAATTAAGTGGTGGGGTAAAAAAAAGTATATTAGTATTCATTGACTTATGCATTCTCAACCATGAACTCAAGTCTCTGTTTATCTGACACAAAAACGGAGAATGGTGTCAAATGTTGGTCAATGTGACATCTTTTTTCATCAGTCCTGCCTGAACCCTTCAACAACCTAATAAATCACAGTAATAAAACAATGGTCACTAAAGAGCAGGAAGGATGTTCATCAATGCAAGTTAATTTATTAGTATTTTTAAATACATCAATTTGAAACACTGGGCTAAGAAATTGAAAAACAGCATCATTACTTGTCTCGTAAATTGTAACATCTCATTTGTTTTTTTTTCATTTAATTTATCATTAATTTATCAATATTCTTATACTTTTCTTTGGAGGGGGGTGTTTTTTGTTTCTTATTATGATAAGGGGTGTTCTAAAACAGAAAAAGCAATTGACAGATGGTTTCTCTTTTTGAGCTTCAAGCTCAGATGAGCTAAAATTGTTTTCTAACACACAGACAGATAAAATGCAATTATTCTTCTTGTTTTCAAGTAGTATATAGCTCATATTTGACAATCATATAAAACTATGATATTGAAGGCTAAATCCTTTTAATGAGCTTCCATGTGAACTATAAACCATTTTATATTTATATTTATAAGACAATTTAAAATATAAAGACATGTCTTTCAAAAGAATTGCAACCTTTTTTTGTCGACCAAATAATATTCATGTACCAATTCACAACATCACCAAAACAGCCCACTGACCTTGATTTTTATTTACTGTCATAGCAAGATAGTAAATGTGACAAAATCTGACAAATGATATTTCAACCCTGCGACCACTGGCTAGTCAATACACAACAGGCCTTAAAAACTGCCCTCTGGTGGTGATTGACCATACAGCACAGGGAACTTACATTCCTAGTGAAGGTCAATTTACATCTAATCATGAGAAATTATCATTACCAACGGTTTATCTTGGCAGTGAAAGATAAAATTTACTAATATTGATCTGTTTTGATCAAATGAAGATTCTTTTCAGTGTGATGTATTTTTTCTTTCCATCTTGCTTATTTAATTTGCAGCCTACATGTATATATAACTTTACCCGTTTTTGTAAATACATGTAATGTGTGCCTGAAATGATGTTTGGGATGTTTGGAAAAATCTCTCTCCTTTGCAGCACTACATATACTCAGTCCAAGGGCCATCCTTTCATCCTACCTCTTTGCAATTTACTGTTGTAAAAATCCTACTTGAATTCCTAGAGAACTATGAGTAAATGCTTTTAAAATGGAGGTTCTTTTCTTTCTTATTTGGTTTTCTTTGCTCTTCTTTAAATGTATACCTAGGGCATGACATCTTTCATTGTGAAACATTATAATGCTATATTTTTTGCCTTTGACCAAATATCACTTTGCAATAAATTTCAAACATTTTCTTAAACGACCACTCTACGCAACCAAAAGTAGAGTAATACAATGACTGAAATGTCTGACCAACTTTCAGCAGAGCTTGAGACTGAAAATGACATTGCGATTTTGTCAATATTGAAATTGGAAGTGAAAGAAAGCAATAGTGTAAGTGACACCACAAACTGATAGCAATATGTCACATCCAGGAGGGAGTGATGCCATTTTAAGTAGAACATGATGCCAGAAACATGTGGTTGCAGAAGTAAAAAATATCAGTTTCGTCTATGTAAATAACCCTAATATAGCATCAATGTTATGATTTCTCTGTCATAAATCATTTATTCAAATACAACTTTATGCCAACATATTTTACATTGCATACAATATGGTGATACTGCACTATTTGTAGAAATTTAATATCATTTATTTTTTAGGTAATTATGCCTCTCAATATTCTACAAAAAACTACAAAGATGCAACATCAAATTTGAAGGAAAAAGAAAAAAATCTTTAATTAAATATATGCAAATTTAATATGCAACAGTTGGTCTTTTATTTAAAAAGTAGTAAAAAAGTTATTTTTTAATTCAATCTCATGCAAAAAATATGTGATTCAAGTGTAACCTAACCTTAGCAGCACTAATATAACATGCTTATTATAGAATGCCCTCACTATTTAGAGACTAGGGCACCTTGCGCTACACCCCAACTCGTTATTAACTTGATCAGCTGATTTTGACATCTTTGAAAAAACATTCAACAGGGAGTCGGAGCGTGACATAAGTTGCAGATGATTGAAAAGATATCTCCTGCATATGTATTTTTTATGACGAAGAATGTATCAGTCCGAAGATATGCCCCCTCTACTTTCAGTACAAGACAATACCTCACGTAATATTACATAGAACATCAATCTTGAAATTCTTGAAAACTCACAAGGTTGACAAACATTGCTGATAAATCGGGTGACTTAACAATACAAAGTACTTACCTTATCGACGAACCAAAATAGCTCTGGACGCTTCTATTTTCATCAGACACCAAGTTAAATCGGTAGCAGGGCTATTTTAGGAAAAGAAACTAGTTGTGGTTTGTTATATTTTATTTCAATACACGTAAATTCGTCCGCAGTCGACAACCGCGGCAAAGGCGCATTCCTCTGGGCTCTAGGGATGTAATGTAATCTAATTAAACAAAAATTACCAGCTGCCGTTGCTAAATTGTCTCACAAACGTTGAACGATGCGACGAAAAGATGGAACTATTTTTCTCGCGCATACTGTTAATTACCTGAGACATTCAACAATCCGTCCTACTTGCGTCATTGGTGACCCAGTTTTTCGACGCAAGAATTGTTCGCGGAAATTGGTGATTAACTGCATCAATACTTATTGATTCCTCTTTTTTGACTCCCCAGTCTCAGAGAAAATGACATTTGAAACTCGGGCTTTTTACCAAAGTCCGATTTTTCGACAGAAGTAGTGACCTATTATCGTTAAAGTACGTGCATGCACTGATTGCCAAGTCGTTGGCGGATCCAGTACATTTCGTGAATGGGATTTTTTTTCCCTACCTAAGTCAATTAATAACAATCAACCAAGTCACACTTTCAGTTTTCTGACCATTCAAGAAATAGATTTTTATTGCAAATTAGAAAATAATTTTGCCGCACAATTTGTTTTTGTTTTCTTTTTCCAGTTGAAATTTACACTGATTATTCTTAATTAATTTACAAAGTTTGTTTATGGGTAAATGTCACCTTGTATCACAGTCCATGTCTTCTTCTGTGTCATAATTTTGTATACAACGTATAGAGGAAGTGTCTAACATCTGAACCTCCACACAATCTATATTGTCCAGGATTGGCTGTCAACAGAAACAAAAAATCACAATTATACATTCCATCGTATGTAAAAGTATACACTAAATAAAATTATACATTTTAACTGACCAAACAATGAAAATAAATCATTTCAAACATGCATAAAGATTTTGTTTAAACCCAATAAATAAACAAGTTAACAATGATTGAGATACACATCCCCCTTCCTTTTGATGATGAGTAAACTTTTGACAATAACTCTTTGCATCAAAAATTTGTTCAAGCAGGAAAAAATGTTGACCACAATAAAAAAAAAAAGTTTTTGACAAAGTTTTGGAATCCTCTGTTTCTTGTCTATGAACCACCACAACTTGCATTAATTCAAGGCGATTAACATGAGTTCTTAGAAAAACTATTAAGCTTTATTTATTCAAAATTATCTCACATTGACAAATATGGTAATTAATTTCCCTAAGACAAAACATTTTTTTTCATAATTTTGGCTTTTTTAAATCTATTTCATTGACCCATCATAAACACACTGCAGAAACTTGGACAGAATAATTTGACATTATGTGCCAGGAATTTTCTCACAATTGTCATAGTATGCTTGTCCATATTTTTATGAAAGCCATCTATTTTAAGTCACATGTCAGACTTGTCAATGTGTATGCAGACTACCAAAATATTTTGACTTTGTTATAGACCCCATTACTTTTTTTCCCCAAAAAGTACAGTTTTTTTTTTTAATTTTAACACCCACTCCCCATTCCAATAATAGAACAAGTTTAATCAAAAGATTCAGGTTAGCAATATTATAGTGATGTTATTGTCAAGTTTCAAGAAATGAATTTTTAATGAAAACTGCATGCCAGATTTTTTAAACAAAATTAAAAACCTAAATTTTTCATGTCCATGTGAAAAGGGACACAACTCAAATATTAACTTTACCAAGGAAATATTTCTCACAGTACTGCACCTTGATGTGTCCCCTTTAGATCCTAAAGTTAGAAGGTGCCTTGTACCCCGTTTGATATTCCAAAATTTCACTGGTTTCACTTGATGCAGCATAGGAATCCCTCACCTTAACAGCTCACAGGATAAGTCACAGCAAACTACTCCTAGTTGTAAAGGAATTCCACTTCACTATACAGTGTTTAATGGGAGTTTTTTTTTTAACCCACATCATCAACCGAGGCTTAAAAAATGTCTATAAATATTAAAGTGTGCCTGTCTGTCAAGTTAGGGATGGAGGGGGTCAAGAAAACATTTCATGGTATTTCCTTAGGAGGGGAACACTTTTGTGTATCGTATCAGCACAGTGCATTCAAATATTGTTATCTCTAACTTTATGGGACCAAGGAAAAACTTCGAGATATCTGATTTGAGATACTGATGGTACTAAAGAATTAGTGGCTGGGACTTCCAAATCTCTTAGACATATCCATGGTATTGGAGATATTGAAGTTTGAGATACCGAAGTTCAAATGTAATTTACTACTTGCAGTCAAAATATTTCAAATCTGTGCAGCCAGGAAAGATATTCCATCTCTCCAACATTTTAAAATCTTCTAAAATCTTAACTACATTGGGGTACGACCACTGCATTAAATTTGCAATAAATATATTTTGTTGATAAAATTTTATACCAATTCACAAATTCTGCCAAGGGAACTATTGCCTACCCCCATTAATTAGGGGTCCATCCTCAAACAGGTACCCAAAAATAAATTTACGCACGACCTACATATGCAGGTTATATGCTGTAAAGGATCACTTCGTTATGAATATAGCCGAGACCCATAAGGTCAAGATTGAATATTAATACAAAAACTTATTTCCATTCTGGACTATGAATTAAGGCTTCATTTTAGTTCTAGTCTGTATTGCTGTATATATAGAGGAACCTTTGTTAACAAAATTTGAATTCATTTTGATTGAAGGGATTACAGAAAGTGAAATGCATTCATATTTAAAAATCTATGATCTGAACTTAGCCCAATGACTCCAAAAGATTTTTTGGGACAACCCTCATATTTAGCACAAATAAGACCGCGGAACATTAACTGGCAAAATTGGAAATATACAGCTTACGTCATTTCTATCTGTTACAATCAGAACATTCAGTGATAGACAATGAAATGGGCGGGTACAATTCGACGCGGACGTTTGGAAAACATGGGATTGAAATTGCAGATCGAAATTCATTTTCAATCCACCTCGGCTACGTTAGAAGGCACATTATTACTGATTGACCCAGAAGACAAATAATTTCAATTTTGGTACAGTTTGAATTTTTTTGTCCAGTGTTTTAAATGAATAAATATTTAAGGGACAAAATATTTCATTTTTGTTTGGTAAATATATGTATATCTTTGTGATGGTGGTGGTTGGGGGGGGGGGGGGGGGGGGGGGGTTAGACGATTTTTAAATAAAGTTTTCCAACAGTTTTCAGTGAGAATAAATTTAAACTCATACACTCTTATAATCCTAGAAATAAAATATATTGTCATGTTAAGCCATGACCTGACTCGACAATTTTTTTTTACCCCCCCCCCCCCCTTCTAGAATCAAATATCTCCTGAAAAAACAATTGTATTGTATGATCTTTGGCGTTCTTAAAATTATAAGCTAAAACTCATATTAATGTGAACTTCAAACAATATGTATTTGGGAGTTGAATTATAGTTGATTTTTTGATCATACATTCACTCTTTGCTTTGAAAACAGCTCGGGTGGATTGAAAATGAATTTTGATCTGCAATTTCAATCCCATGTTTTCCAAACGTCCGCGTCGAATTGTACCCGCCCATTTCATTGTCTATCACTGAATGTTTTGATTGTAACAGATAGAAATGACGTATGCTGTATATTTCCAATTTTGCCAGTTAATGTTCCGCGGTCTTAATACAAGAACTGCACTTAATGTAACTTACACATTTTTGCACTTAATGTATTTTACACATTATAAGTTCTGCATCAAGCAACATAAGCATACCTGCATAAATTAAATTTTATAAAAGTATCAAACTGATCAAGTATACAAATAGAAATCTACTGTAGGTCAGAATACAAATGTACTTGATTAACAAGGAGTTAATAATTCTTGTCCTTAAAGGGAGTGCTACAATGAATTTGCTTGATTGCATTTTACTGACATAAAATTTATGATTTACTGTTTATTTAATGTCTTTCCTATCAAAAATGAACACCCATTAGAGATAGATAATGGAAGGTACATACACATATCTGTATAAAGAAGTTTGAAAAGGTGAAAAATTCTCATAAAAAGGAACAATGTTAACAAGAGTCAGCTATCTAACTTTAGTATCAAAATATCAATTTTATATACCAGTATAGGGGTAGGTTCAAAATGCAAATTTGAAATATTTAGATGTATATTCTATTCCTTTGAAATGAAGTGATCCTTTAGAGAACAAAAATCAAAAAAACCTATTATTTAATGCCTTAATGAGATGGGAGTAACAAGGCAAAATCACAGATGGGATCGGATACCTAGGAGGATTAAACATCCCGTGTTGACTGGTCATTATGTAATGATCAAGTAGATGGAACATTTTGTAGTCAAATCTAGTACAAAGGCCTAACAATTGGTCTGAAACAAGTCAGCCAAAACACAACCCAGGTTACATTTTGCTAATAAGGTTAATATAACAACAACCAAAGAATTAACTAAATGCTGACTTTTAACAGATTGTTGTCCCTGTGACATCAACTTGTATGTGAGGAGCCTCAGTTTTAAAATTGATTATAATTTGCTGATAAGGTCATTATAATAACCAAAGAATTGACTAAATACTGACTTTTAACAAGGTTGTTTATATCCCTGCAACATCAACTTTTGTGTGAGGAGCCTACCTCAGTTTAAAAATTGATTATACTCTGAATATGCTCTTGAGAAGTGAATACGTTGGGAGACATAATCACCATATGAAGGTGATAGTGGAACATTATTACTTAAATAAAGCTGAATAAAGCTGAAGTTATCTTGTTTGTCATACCATTAAGTTGTTAGTTGGCCTTCAAAAGATTTTTTCTTAAAAAGGAGGACAAAATGTAAATATTCACAAATTTAATAACAACAACTTGTTTAGGGTACATTAGTCGTAGAGCATTGACAGTATTTACATATTTTACACCTCATGTCTTATACATTTTACTGAACTCAAACATGTTCAACAATAAATACATATATAAATAAAATCATACTTTTAATACAAACAAAATGACACGAATAAAGTTCTGTATTGTTAAAAGTACAATTCTTGGACTTCATCTAATACTTATTTTTTCAAAAATGAAAACAATGTCTTCAGTTCAAATATATCCTAATGTTTTTATGTTCATGACAGAAAACAAAATGGAAAAAGTTTTAATTGAAAACAAAATTACTAACTGATTAACTCTTAAATTAATTTTTCTAATCATAATTATGAAAACTTTATAATGTTGCATACAATCTAAATTAGAATTTAGAATTTCTTACTTGCTTTCTTTCAAAATTTAAACTTTAAACAATTCAAAATCTATGGTGTGTTAAACAAATGAAATCTGCAAGTCCAAGCAAAATATACTGTTTGAATGTAAACAAAAAATGCTGAATCCTTTGGCTATTACAATATGGAATCCTATCATTTTTTATGTGCAGTACATACACATAGAATGATCATATTTGTATCCAATGTTTTGTGATACCTTTTCTGTACATAGTGATTTATTTTGTCAAATAAATCAAAGCAGGTGCTATGGAAATGAAATGACTGAGGTATTCTTCATCACAGCTTTAACACTTAGACAACCAATTTACATGCAAGAATTTCTTATGGACAAATGAATAATCTATTAGAAAATGACAATCTCAATAAATAGTTGCATACAAGTACATGTAACATTTATTGTTCTAGATCATAATATTTTTTTAAAAATCTCGTTAAGATTAGAAATTTACATCATTAATCAAGTAGCAGTTTAAACTGAGAACACCTCATCCAAAAAATAAAATGTGAGTGAAATGAAACATTTAACTCGTGCAAAATAAATTAGTACATCAAATGAGAAAACAAGTGAAAAATGGAGAAATGAGTAGAAGTAGAATGTTAGTTTGAAACAATATGTGTAAAGATGAAATGATTGCAAACTCTAGGTCCTTGACAATGTCCCATGAAAATATAATATTTTTCTTCACAAAAACTTATCTTTTGGTAATTCCGTTAGCTTATACCACCAGAAATATATGCGGAGGCCTCCAATCATTTACTCTGACTTAAAATATTAAAGTAAATTATAGTAAATGGACAGTATTCCGGGTTAGGCAGAAAAACTTTTTCGCTTGTAAATGTCATGATTTTATTGCAAAATAAAATTTTGTAAGAAGGTTATAGTATTTCTTTGGAAGGAAAAAAGCTGAATAACTGAATTAACTGTAATTAGTCTGTAACAAAGTCCTGAGAAATTCAATCTGTAACACTGTTTTAAAGGAATTGTTTCAATTTTTTTTTTTTTAGAAACTTAACACCATTCAATGCCTTTCATTCTACACTAGTCATTTTTTCAAAATAAACTATCTATACTGGTCCCATACAATTCCACGTAAAAAATCTTCAATTTCTCTATCCAAGTTGGGATCATAATTTTGTATTTGGGGAGGGGGTGGGTAGTGGGGATATGGAGGATTGGGTAATGACAGTGGGGCAGGAATAGGTTGGTAAGGAGGTAAAATTGGGGTACTGGAGGGGGGAGTTACAGGAGAAATTCTAATTCCTAAAGGGGAGTGGATCAAAGGTTGTGCCGGGGGTGAGGGAGTGGGCAGAGGGCGAGGACTAGTAGCGAGGGCGGGCGTGGACTGCCGTGAGGATCTGGCCGGGGACAGGGAACTAACCGACTGGGGGGCTGAGAGGGGGGCACTTACTGGGGTTCCTGTCTGAGATTTCTGTGGTGAGGGTGGTTGCTTTGTGGTGCTGGAGGAAGATGAAGATGATGATGATGAAGATGATGATGAATTTGAATTGGATGAAGGTGAGGCCACCATGGGCGAGTCACAAGACGGCGACGCTGTCGAGGGCGCTGGAGTGGGTGAGTCCAGGCTGATGACATTAGGACTAGAGTCAACAAACGCAGTGGATGACATTGGCTGTGGGGAATCACATTCACTTTCAGAATCAGACTCCTCATCAGAACTCACTGTTAAGTCTATCACTTCCATCTTAGGCTTCTTTGGAGCTGGTCCTACAACAAATGGGCAAACTTGTAATTTATGCCATCTTGGATTTAGTTGAAAACAACTGTAAACAAAATGTTGAGAAATTCTGCACTTATAAAAATACACAACACAGAATTATACTTTAAAATTATTATTCAACATTCCAATAAATCAAATAAAGTTTGGCCTGGAACACAATTCTTCTCCACAATACCAACCTGATGTGGAGGCTCATTTGGATTCTTCTTATATGGATTTGTGGGCAGCTTCACTTCCTACCTGACATGGAGGCTGATATGGATTCTTTCTGGACTTGTGGGCAGTGGACTACCTACCTGATGTGGAAGCTGATTTGGATTCCTTCTTTACGGACTTGCTGGCAGTGGACTACCTACCTGATGTGGAAGCTGATTTGGATTCCTTCTTTACGGACTTGCTGGCAGTGGACTACCTACCTGATGAGATATGGACTCTTCTTGTATGGACTCTTTGGATTCTTTCTGTCTGGACTTGTGGGCAGTGGACTACCTACCTGATGTGGAAGCTGATTTGGATTCCTTCTGTACAGACTTGCTGGCAGTGGACTACCTACCTGATGTGGAAGCTAATTTGGATTCCTTCTGTACAGACTTGCTGGCAGTGGACTACCTACCTGATGTGGAAGCTGATTTGGATTCCTTCTGTACGGACTTGTGGGCAGCTGGACTACAGGATATCACATGAGTTTCCTTGGAGGCTTTCAGCGGACTCCAGGATCCATCCTCATGGAACTGGATTTCATTCATGTCAGATGTCTTCTGTAATATCTCTACAAACAACCTAGTAAAAAAAAAAGTCACGGAGTCAGTTTTGCTTCTGAATCTATTTTGTACTGATCAGCATGTTTACTGTAAATCACTTTTTATTCAATAAGCGTGATTACGAACACAAAAAAATTTAATTATGCGTTTAATAGTATTCTTTAGCAATAACCACAATTCGTGAAAATTTCGCCTTGCTTATCAGGAGTCCATGACTATCTTGCGAAAAAAAGGTGTCACGAAAATTTAGTGATCTACAGTAATCAACAATTGGCACAGAAAACAAATAAAGCAGAATACTCATTTCTAAATAATTTGGCATACAATATCAATAAATAATTAAATAAGAGACAATGATTTGTCTGAGAATCATATTCTGCTATATCCTGTGTTCTTTCACTATGTGTTTATTCATTTTTGCTCAGATAGAGCCAAACCATTCTAAATTTTTTCCCTCCAATACAAACATGGATCCCTGCATTTCAAAAAACTTTTTGACTGGTAATTTAATCCAATCTTTACCCATCAATAAATAGTCGATGAAAAGGTGCCGGTTTATCACAGACAGGACAAATCCAGGTGGACTTTTTCTCATTCATCATTAGAAACGTCGAACCATCGAAACACTGGAGATGTGTACACGTGCTGGCCCGTGTTGGTATAGTCATCCTCATCTTACCCAGCTGAACAGAAATAAAAACATAGGTAATCAGAGATTACAGAGCTCACCTCAATGAATGTTGCCTTTAAGTAAGCCAAAGTCACACAATTAACCAACAAAAAGTGTACATTCCAAAAATGAAAATATTTAAGCAATTTTGATCTGACACTTTGAAAAAGACCTACATAAAAAATTTAAACTAGTTCTTCTTCATGAAAATATAATTAAAATCCAGCATCTGAAGCAAATTTGAGAGTTTTCATCTCTTGATGCAACATTTGTGCAAGTTTGGTTTATACAATGTTATATAAACGTTATAGTTTTTTTTGGTAATAGACCTGCACTCATAACTTTTACCTGGTCTATTATCTGAAAAATGTATGTCGAATTCAGCATCCGAAGCAAGTCCATTAGTGTGCATCCTAAGATGTATCATTCATGCAAGTTTGCTCATGATAGGGCTCATAGTTAATTGGATATGAAACATGCATCAAAAACTAACATTTTCACTCATCCACAAAAAGTAGGTCAGATTCAGCATCCGAAGCAAGCCCAGTAGTATGCATCCTTATATGTATCATCCATGCAAGTTTGGTCAACATAAGGCTTATATATACTTGGAAATGAATCACGCACCAAAAACTTTTACCTGTTAACTCAACCAGAAAATGTAGGTCAGATTCAGCATCCGAAGCAAGCCCGGTAGTATGCATCCTTAGATGTATCATCAATCCTTAAAAGTTTGGTCAACATAGGGCTTACAGTTACTTGGAAATGAAACCTGCACCAAAAACTTTAACTTGATCATTCAACCACAAAATGTAGGTCAGAATCAGCATCTGAAGCAAGCCCGGTAGTATGCATCCTTAGATGTATCATTCATGCAAGTTTGGTCAACATAGGGCTTATAGTTACTTGAAAAATGAGACCCTCACAAAAAACTGCACCAAAAACTTTAACCTGTTCACTCAACCAGAAAATGTAGGTCAGATTCAGCATCCGAAGCAAGCCCGGTAATATGCATCCTTAGATGTATCATCCATGCAACTTTGGTTAACATAGGGCTTATAGTTACTTGGTAATGAAACCTACACCAAAAACTTTAACCTGTTCACTCAACCGGAAAATGTAGGTCAGATTCAGCATCTGAAGCAAGCCCAGTAGTATGCATCCTTAGATGTATCATCCATGCAAGTTTGGTCAACATAGGGCTTATATTTACTTGGAAATGAAACCTACACCAAAAACTGCACCAAAAATGTTAACCTGCTCCAAAAACATTAACCTGGTCATTCCTTTGATGAAATTGCAGCATCTGAAACTTTGACTGGTACAATGAAACACACTAGAACCATCTTCCATGCATGTCTAATCAATATAAGACATAGAAGTACTTAAAAAGAAAACTGCTCCAAAAAACTTAACCTTAACCTGGGACGCCGACACCGACGCCGAGGGTATTACATAAGCTCCCCCAACTTTGTTGAGGTGAGCTAAAAATTATATCATTTTCCTGATTGATTCCATTGAATTGATCTCATTGATCAGAGTTTGGTGCCAGTTATGTTAAGGAAAATACAGTAAACGTGCTTCAAACAAAGTGTCATGGATGGACAATTTTGCTTCATTTTACATCCTTTAAATTGGTAGAAAGATGTTGACTTGAAGCATTATAATATCATACATTAATTGTAACCTGACTTTATCAGAGACTTACTGGACAAGTAAGGGAGACTCTGAGACTGGTGGTAGCTATTTCACTGTCAGGGTCGTGTGAAAGCTTCTCCTTAACTGTAACATAAAAAGATGATTATCAATAATGATTGAAAAATGTCCAAACAGTTCACAGAAATTTCATAAATATAAGTAAATCTGCTATCCAATCTATTATTGCAGATTTAATAAATATTGATTATGTTAATAATCAGAGTTTATTAACCAAAGCAACTCTATCTAGAATTTACAGGCTTTCTATAAATAATTTCCCTCAAAGAGCCCACATAATAGAATCACATGATTTATCTAACCAATCAGAACAGTTTACAATCTTCGAAGTTTCAGCAGTTATGTTTACATACAGTAAAGATTTGTTCATATCTTTATACTTTCGATACATTCTTAACGTTCCGATTTTGGACAGATATTTCTATATATCGGATTTAACTTTCGAAAGTGGAGTGAAGTGGGAGACTTAATAATTTGAGTGCGTTACCCTAGTGAAGAACAGCTTGAAATATGATACGATGACTGTGTTACACAAAGTTTGATCCCTGGGTACTTACGATAGTAGTTTGGTGACATTTACCGAAGTGAAGTAATTGATGTGAAGAAAAATAACATTGTTCAATATGCCGCGTAGAAACGCAAAAAGAAGTGAAGATTCTCGCCCTAGTTCAGAACAAAACGTTTTGGGATTAATGACATACTTGGGGCTTATGCAGCTGCTACTCATCTGCATAATTTGGCATATTACTTCATGGTATGTTTACCATGTCATTTTTCCCCAAGCATGGGATATTGTACATGTACGTCTATCATGCAGCATCATTGTTGAGTACTTATGTTATGACAATTATCAAACATTTCATCCAGGGCAAGCCTAGCTCTACTTAGGTAGGATTACTCTGCTCTTTACACAGGTGCTAGCGAACATAGCTCATATAGGCAAACCTACGTTGCCCTCAACCTTCATGAATCAGGTGCTAGTGAGCATGTCTCACGTTAGTGGACATAGCTCATATAGGCAAGATTTCCTTGCCCTCAGCCTTCATGTATCAGGTGCTAGTGAGCATGTTTCATATAAGCAAGTTTTACTTGATCTCAGCCTGTTGCTCATCCAATTCCACAGAGTAAATTCTATCCTATTAAGTCATAATTTGAGTTTTCTTTTTTGATGCTGCTGATAAATACTTAGATCACTTTGTGTAAAAATTTACATAGCTGCATGAGCCCTATAGGCAAGATTTAAAGTTAAATTAATAAAGATGAAACTTGATAACTTTGTTGTTTTTGGGTAATAAATCTTGGTATCTTTGTAGTAAACAAGTATATCTTGATACAGACATGGATTTTCGAACTTGAGTTTCTTAATTTTCATTGTAAATTAAATCCACAAATAAATTTGATGCATTTGCAAATGAATTATCAAAATTATTGTACAATAAAATGTTTACCAGAGAGTTAAATTCTGAAATACTGGGAATCATCTTAAATTGTGTGGGTCAATGTATGTGGACAAGCAAAAGTTTCATAAATTTCATAGGTTACTTGTTTATACGGCATATTTATTGTATCTATGTGTACAAAATAATCATTTATGGGGATGTAAATGACCCATTGAATCCACAAACATTGGTTCCTCACAAAACAATGATGATTCCACAGTAATATGATAACACAACTCACTTAAAGCTCTGGTATGATCTGCATGGCGGTTACCAAACTGTTTCAATCTGCCCAGCAGGGTGTCTGATGTCAACTTCTTGACCAAATAAATGGCAACACAAAATCCCTGAAACCAGAACAAGTTTATTCACTTAGCACTCATTAACAACCTGATGTATATGGATGTGCATCCAAAAGTAAGACAACATAATCATTCAAAATTTGAACACAGTCTTCTAGGTCTGCAAGTGACAGACCCATTGACCCTGAAGAACACTAGTTTCATTATACAATTTTCTTGTAGCTAAAAATTATCTTAATTCAGTTTTCCTCTGTAAAACTTCAAAGTCCTACAGGACTTCTGCTTGGTAGAGGGCATTAGTGTAAAATTTAAATAATACTAAAAAAATATAGTTTTTTATCATAATTTTACAATTAAAGTCTTTATTTTATGGGATGATTTTTAACCAGTTCAGAATATATACAAGTGCTTCAATTTAAAAACAATTAAAATATTGCATAAAAGTAAGAATTGTTTCCTTTTGAAGCTATGTCTTTTGATTCCTCCTTACTAAATAAATTTTTTACATTCTGAGTGTATAAAAATTAAAATTTATTTTCGTTGTCAAGTTAGAAGCTAGACCTGTAACTTATCAATTATAAACTTGATAAAGATAAAACACACACCCGTCCAAAATCGGCAGCCCACGAGACCTCAATCTGATTGGGTAGGGTTGGCGAGAGCCTGCACAGAGGCGTTATATCCACGGGTCGACCAGGACGTTTTGGATCCACTCCTGGTTTGTTGGTGGGTATTGGATTCTGAAAATGTAATTAATGAACTTTATTCATGTTACCATGTACTTCAGTGAAGTTATTACCACTTACAGTGCTCTCTGAAAGAATTACCAGTAAAGTGCAAAGTCATTCAAGATATAGCTGATTTTTACAAATGTCATAAACATGACCAATGCCTCTGGCACATCACAGAGAGTAACTGGACTATTTTTATTAAGTGTCTAGAGGACCTCTACTGATGAATAGTTAAGTATGAAATCCAGAAATTTCTTCATTGTCATCTGCAATTATTTGGGGGGGGGGGATTTAAAATGGCTAGCCAGTACATTCCTATTTTTGACCCTGCTCTAGTCCAACCATAGCCCATAGGACTATTATTTGAATAAATTTAAATAACTACACATTTTATTAATTATCAATCTCTTTTCTCAGAAGGGGCATTGACCTTTGTTTGACAGAATTGAATCCCTCTGACCATGGGCCTATCGGTGTTTTAAAGAAGTAATTATTCAACAGACAACAAACACTTTAATGAAAGGAAGAAAACATTCAATCAGAAAGTCTATTTAAGATTTTTGATTGGATAACCTTGAAAGATGCCCACTGACAAGAACTGACTCAAGTTATTGCATACATGTTTCAATTATCTCTCGAGTGTGAAAAATAACATACTGGTAAGGGAGCCATTTTGCCATTGACACGAACACAGATGCTGGGTGGGAAGTGGTCATCTTGTTCACAGCTGGTTTCCAAGAGACAAAATCTGTAGCGAACAAATTTTTCAGTGAAACAGTCATCATCTAGTCATTTCTTTCAATTAACATGCTTATTCATCTTTACATAATAAATAAGTAATACATGTAAATGCAATTTTTTTATGGTATTAATGGAACAGTCACGTAGATTGTATTCATTTCTTTCAATTAACATGCTTATTCATCTTTTATATAATAAATGAGTAATACATGTAAATGAGTAATACATGTAAATGCACACAAACTATTAAATAATAATTAAGTTCAAACCTTGAAAAGGTTTTAGAGCTAAATGTACTACAAGCCTGACTTTTAGAAAAAAAATTGTTATGCGAGTTGACATTCTTGGTAAGCTGTTTTTAGGGTTTTACATATTTGCGGATTATAAAAAAAGCATAAACTGACCCAAACCAGATTATACTCGCTAATTTGGCCAAGAATTAGAGTTCAAGAAAAACCTGACTTTTAGCATAAAAAGAAACTGCAAGACAGTTGAAAACAAATGATGACCTGTCTGCCAAATATAGATAACCCTAATTAACCTTAAACAGAATGAAATTTCTATTTCATGTCTATGTGATTAAACCATGGACCAAGTAAAAATTTGCCAAATCGGTGATCATCTTCTATGTAAAACCACACATAACTTTTTCCTATATTTAATTTTATTATTAACCATGCCTAATGGTGCATTATTGATCTCATTGTGAATGATGATATTATATAACCATATATATTATTTAGTTAGCCATCCTCACAACATCAGGGGTCCCTTTTTCAACTATTTCCACTAATGGTAGTGGACTCTGGAGCCGTGAGGCCTGATGTTAAGAGGATTCCAGTAAGATGTTGTCATTACTGCCAAACCATTGGTAAACCTTAACATTACTGTTTATACAATGTACATATTCACATTCTTTATAATGTCGAAATCACATACCTTAGCTGAATCTGGGTTGTGTATTCACATCTAGCACCTGGTCTGAAATCTCTGAAAATAAAAATATAATCAAACTGAGAAATTAAAATAAATTATACTTTCAAATGTTAATGCCTCACAGTTGTTTTCTTAAAGAAACTCATAATTAACTGCTTACCTCTCTAGAATTTCTTGTATGTCAATACAAAGCAATGATTACAATGACCTAATGTAACATATCAATGCTAAACTGTTTGATTAGATTAAAAAGTAACTTCAAATTTCAAGTGATAAAAGATGAAAATAAGCATCAAATGGTCATCACACATTTTGTATTTCACTGTATTGCAAATCACTTTGGCCAGTTAAGATTCACTTTTTAAACAAGAGGCCCACGGGCCTTATAGGTCACCTGAGTATTGTGCAACAACTTTCAAACAATTAAATTTGGTTCATGTTATAAACCAGAGGCCATGGAATTCGCAATTCACAATTTTGAAAGAGGTACCATTGCTTATAATAATTTAAACTTAGCATGCTAACTCTATTTACTTAATACCCAGAGGTAGATAAGAGTAACATTAAGAGAAAATGCACTTCCACTTTATAACCAGTTGTACACCTCATCCCAAAGGAACCACTGATCCTGGGGCCACATATTTCAAAATTTTGCAAATTTTATCATAAAATGATTGATTAACACCAAAGAGCAAATTTCAAAGCATTAATTTATTTTCAGACTTTGTACCCCCCCCCTCACCCCGACCCAGGGAAGGGGCGGGGGCATAAAAAATAACCATTTTGCTAGGTGCACCTTTCTTCATCATGAATATATATATTTGGATCATAGGCATAAACACAGGAGCAAAGGAAAGAATTTCAAAGATTAAATGCATTTTCACTATATAACCAATAGAGCCCCGCCCTAACACCAGAACCCCTGACCCTGGGGTCATAAAATTCACAATTTTGAAAAAGGCACTCTTGATCAACATAACTATTTAATTACATAGTTTATTTAATACCCAGAAGCAGAGAAGAAGACTTTCAAAGAATTTATGCATTTTCACTATATGATCAATAGAGCCCCGCCCTAACACCAAAACCCCTGACCCTGGGGTCACAAAATTCACAATTTTGAAAGAGGCACTCTTGCTCATCATAACTATGTGCTTGGTTAGTTTATTTAATACCCAGGAGCAGAGAAAAAGATTTCCAAAGAATAAATGCATTTTCACTATATAATCAATAGGGCCCCACCCTAACACCAGAACCCCTGACCCTGGGGCCACAAAATTCACAATTTTGGAAGAGGCACTCTTGCTCATCATAACTAAGTACTTAGTTAGTTTATTTAATACCCAGAAGTAGAGAAGAAGATTTTCAAAGAATAAAATGCACTTTCACTATATAACCAATAGAGCCCCGCCCTAACACCAGAACCCCTGACCCTGGGGTCATAAAATTCACAATTTTGAAATAGGCACTCTTGCTCATCATAACTATGTGCTTAGTTAGTTTATTTAATACCCAGAAGTAGAGAAGAAGATTTTCAAAGAATTTATGCATTTTCACTATATAACCAATAGAGCCCCGCCCTAACACCAGAACCCCTGACCCTGGGGTCACAAAATTCACAATTTTGGAAGAGGCACTCTTGCTCATCATAACTATGTGCTTGGTTAGTTTATTTAATACCTAGGAGCAGAGAAGAAAATTTTCAAAGAAATCATGCATTTTCACTATATAATCTATATAGCCCCGCCCTAGCACTAGAACCCCTGACCCTGGGGCCATGAATTTCACAATTTAAGTAGAGGACTCAATGCTCATTACATTCATAACAACAGTTTGCCTGCTTGATGTCCAGGAGTAAAGAAGAAGATTTTTAAAGATTGCAATAATTTAAGTGGATTTTGGCCCACCCCCCAGGCCCCAGGGGGGCAGGGACCATGAAATTCACAATTTTTGTTCCCCTTCACCCATAGATGCTGTATACCAAAGAACGAGTGCACTTATGGGCCCCGGTAAAATGTGAAAAAATAAACAATCAAATTAAGCAAAATTTTTCATCTCAAATAATTAATTGGTATCTAAACCATGCGATTCAACAAATATAACCGCTGAAATCCACGAATATACAAAGAACAAATCTATACAATGTAGTAGGGGTCAGCCGACATTTGTGATTTTCTATAGTAAATTGAGAACGGTCATGCATTTCAAAGCTTTTGTTAACTATGAGCCTAACGTTGTGCAAACTTGTGCGAATGACAAAAGTCGCATAATACATTTATAAAACTTGTGTGAAAGTATGAAATTTGCACACGATTAGGCTGGTACTTAAAATATTAAAAATGTATAAAAAATACAATGTGTTTCCTATAGCTAGTGAGAGCTATTTACCTGTATGACCCATGTTGAACTCATGTGTGGAATAAATTATTTAAAATACTGATAATCACGTGAGTTATACCCAGGTAAACATTCCTCAAATGTGCTCACTGTAAAACATAGGTAGCTTCTGTATCAGTAAGTCAAAGTTGTGCCGCTTAGAGATATTTGTATGTATTTGTTTTTAAGAACACCGGAGGGTAAAGAGAGTTTAGTGTCGTTCATGAAAGTGTCAAACATTTTTAACCTTCGTGCAAGACAATGAAACAGGTATTGAAAGCCAACTAAACACTCCTTTTTAATTTCAAATTCAATGAAACTGTTATTGTAATTTTTCAAATGCAAGAGTATCAATTTCTTAGTTTAATCATTATAGTTACAGGCAACTACACAACTTCATTCAATATTTTTAAAAACAGGTGTGGTGCAAGAAGTTACATTCCACAAACGCGCCCGACTTACGGACTATGATCCACCATCAGATTGTTCAATATTGATTTAAATATCTATACCCCTTGATTTACATAAACGAAACTAAAAAAAGATTCGGTACGACTTTTCCGGATTTAGGGTATCCATAAGGCATTCAAAAATATTCAATTGTTTCAAATCCATGCTGATTTAAGTGAGACTTAATATGTTTTTTAATCAGAATTATCCACTAGTATCAAACTATTACCAATAGAGAACGATCAAGTAATATATTCTAAAGTAAAATGGCACATAAAAAGGGCCCATTAAGTATTGCTTAAGTGCACTTGTCCTTTGGTTGAAATTGGTTAAGTGGTTTCAGAGAAGAAGCTGAAAATGTTCAAATGTAAACACACGACGCACGACGACGGACGAAAACGGATAGCAATAGGTCACCTGAGTTACTCAGGTGACCTAAAAAAAACAACAAAAAGTCGGTGTGCCATTATTTTTCATAAATACAACACAAGGAAAAGATAAGTGATTGGCTGACTGATATTCATTCTAATAAGGTAGATACCGGTAACCCCTGCAAGAGCATTTATAATACTTTGCATCTCAATCACCCCAAGCATCTCATTCATTATAAATATCTGCCAATGTGATCTGAATACCCACTGAGATAAGATATTATAAAGCCAAACATGCATAGACATGCTGATGAATGGAGTGGCAGTTATTCCTGTAATCCTCCCTCCTCTCCCCTTTCACAAGTTATGTTTCAAGGGTATAAATATTTAACAACATGTAGGAAAAGTTCCACTCTAACCTGGACATGGCAATATCTTGTGCTTGTTGTGGAGTCAGATGAAAGCTGTAATGGCTCTCCTGAAACTTTGTTGGTCCTTTTGGAACTAAATGAAAGATGTACAAGTTTTCAAACTATAGCAAGAAACCAAACTATAGTACATGAAACAACAAAATAAACATGACCAAAGCAGAAATGGTATATATGCAGCTTTTATATAATAAAATGAAGTCTTTAATGAGAGACAGTTCAAAATTTTTTTTTTTTCTGAAAGATTAAAATTCAGAATTTAAGCTACCTTTAGATGCATCCTCCCACCAGCCTAATAAAATATATATACATGTAGTTTATTTACCTAAACTTGTGGGTTTCATGAGCTCTGTGACACAATCATAGAAAGGTAGAAGCTTAAGTCGGACATCTGGATGGACTGGCAACATGCCAAGACTACTAGAATGAGGTGCAGGGTCATGGTTCATCATCCGATTGGAATAATCCATTGGACCTTCAAAAAGCAAAAATTTCTTCTCAGTATGATCCAAGTCTGCTAAATAAAGAGGGTGACCCGCATAATAAGGCAATCCAGTGTGCAAACGATACCAAGTCATAACTTTGATGCCAAAAATTAAAACTGTGATTGGTAGTTACATCACTGCCAATGATTGACAAAGAATAAATATATATTGCCTCTATCTAAACATGCAAGCAATACAAAAGAAACTTCAAAATCTCAAACTCTGATAGCCTGAATATCATGGATATCCTAAGGTGATTCGAAAGTCCTAATCAACATTGTCCTCTAACTTCTACATCTTGAAGTTAAATTCCCTCAGTTTTGTGGAGATTGAGGTTTGACTGTACATGTACTTTGTAAATTAAAGCACATTTCATCAGTGATAACATTGAGCTTATAACTACATTAAAACAGTATCAAATTTGCATAAAATTATGCTAAACAATTGCTCATACTTTTTACAAGTACTCAGGGGAAAAAAATGCAAATTAATCATTCGGACAATATGTACTTGTGAAACAAATGGCCGGTTGCGTATCTCGGATTTAAACTTACGATCAATGATTCCGGGTTTAAATCCAAGTTTTCGCGTTGCACGCATGTAAGGATTGGCTGAGTACGGCTCAGAATTATGGTAAATTCTGAACCAGGTGTAGGGGTGGTTTAAACCCAGCTTAATAATGTTTCCATGGATTTTGGGGTAGAATATTTCGATATTTTGAAATATTTCGATGTTGCAGAAATGTTTTATGGTAATGATGATTGCATTGATAGATTTTGCAGTATTAAAAAAAGCTATTCTACAAGAAAATTTTTATGGTCATATTGCACAACTCATCAACAGCTGTTCAATGAGCTGTTTTAACACTGATGCAGCTGTAGTATAAAGTTTTGGAAGATACTTTTAAAATACATAAATGTACATAAACAGGAATTTTATAGAAACTTTCTAATATACCGAATTTAAATCAAATTAAGAATTTTACACTTTGTAACAGCTGATGATACACATTCCAATAATTTCTAATAATGCCGAATTTCATGGAGATAAAAAATCTTGTAGTTATCTGATTAATCGGGCTATCCACATGGCCATAAGAACCCAGCCGGTGGGGGGAGGGCATGTCCGTCCCCTTAATTTTGTCGCTGTATAAAATTCTCCATAAAACATAGCTAATATGTGTTTTTTTCAAAATTGTCTTACAAGTTTTTTTCACTTGATTTTAAACTAAAAATCTAAATTTACACATTGTTCCTTTATTATTTATATTACCTATATCTTGTGTTTTGGTATTGTTTCTAAATTACTTATTTCAAAGACCCCCGTCACTGTTTTCTTCTCATCAATCTTTTGCAAAAGCTTTATCCTGTTTGCGATTTTATATTTTCTTATGGGGTGAGTTTCAATGAAAGATGCCTTGATTTGAATTAAATTGTATTGCATTTTTTCGGCATTTTTAATTTACAATTTAACATCAATATATATATCTTTGTTTTTAAATATATCCTTTTAATTTTCAACCAGTTAGTATGTTAAAACATGTTTTGAAGTGCTTAATATTAGAAAATCTATTATCCTTCAACATTTTATATGAGTAAGTCGAGATTAGGTAAACCTTACTCAGTTTTATAGCGTGCAACAGAAAGGGGACTCGGGTAAACCCGACTCAACTGGGGTTTAAACCCGGCTTACGTGATCCACGGATCAACCACTGAGCTGTACTTATCTGAGACATAGATACGCAACCGGCCAAAAATGACCCTCATTCTTGTTTGGATTTTTATTTGACCTTAACCTCTAAGAATGGTCTTTACCTGTCCAGGCTGAATATCTTACATCACAAGGAATATAATAATATACTGGTAACATTTTCAACAGCTTGTTGGATACCTAAGTAGAGTATACAATTTTGGTCTAACAAGTATCACAATAGGATTGAATCTAAGTCACAAGGTTACTCAGGTGTATCATTAGAATTTACAGGTAAATGTGAGTTGATGTCAATGGTGTATGAAGCCACATGTATGTGTTAATGTGCTCTTCTCTAAATGAATGCATTTTCTTAGTATTTTGTAGCTTTATTTAGCTATTACAGTTTTTCACAAAAATGTTTTTTGCTATATCGGCAAATAAACAAAAAGTTGCATGTATTTGACTCTTCATATATGTACTTTTATGAGCTATCAAAAAAAAATAAATAAATAACCTAAATCAAAAATCCCTCTAACATGGCAGCTTTTGAATACTTTTCAGCAAAACAAGAATTTCTATTGTTAGAGTAACTGTTCACTCCCCTTTGTGTTGAGGCATGGATAAGTATGATTGCTTCCAATTGTACTGAATTATCACCAATCTCTTATTTAATATGATTAAAGTTCTGTCTAAGAATCTAGTACAAGTATAACTCAAGTTTATTTCAGGGACACTCTCACTGAACACTTCATCTGAATTTGCATAAAAAATTCTCTACATTTTACCAAATATGTCCAATGAATTTTGAATGAACTGGATATCTTAATTAATTATGAATTACCCCCTCCCCCCTTCTTCTTTCTGGCAGGAAGTTTTTTTAAATTAACATAACTTTGCCATACATGGTAAACAAATAATTAATCTGAAAACTATCAAGAACAGATGACAGGTTTAAAAGAGGGGGGGATTACAAAGGGTCCACTGTTGGAAACTCACAGGTGATCTCGTTTTGACTCGTCATTCTTGGCCAAACAGGTCAAAACATTTTATGTTATTAATATGCAAGGGTCATTTGATTGGCTGATGACCAGAGTCACCATGGCAAATCAATGTTCATGTTATATATGTATGTTTGGCAATGCCAAAAACTATTCCATAGTAAAGGTATCCTAAGTAACACATCAATTTCCAATAAATCCACTTACTGGTGCATTTTGCAGTTTAAAAAGGGTACTCCTATATAATTTTTGACTGGTATTGAATGTCAGTGACCTGAACAAATTGACTTTAATCGTTTTACAAATAAACTTAGAACATTTTAATGAGAGTCATTTTAATTACCATAAAAAGCAAACCAATAAACCTATTTTTAAAATTGAAGAGTTCCAAACATTCTGAATAGTTGTCTTTAATCAATAAATTAGCATATTTTACAGTGATATTTCAGAGGGTTTGCATGCCCATGGGTGAAAAGTAAAAACTAGATCACCCGTGGGTATCCGAAGAGGCAAAGGGTCAAAAAGACAAACAACAGAATTAAAATAAAAATTCCTCCCCCTTTAATTTTCTTTATCAAGTTTCAAGACTATACTCTTCTGGAGGAAAGATTTTTTTTTCAGCTCCTTAATATTGCAAAGTCTAACGATTGCTGCAACAAACATTTTAACGAATGTCTAAAAAAATTTCCTAAAAGGTACGTGATGTGTAAATTTACCTTAACATTATCATTAAATTTAGGAAGATACAAATACAACAGCAACGGACATTTTTACTCCATATACAACTTTTACTTTTCATAGCATTGTCTATTTCCTGTGTGCATAAATGAAAAATCTGTATGCATGCAACATTCAAAACTATACAACTGACAGATTTATATATAACTAAATTTTACTTTTGATATTTTCAATGGTGCTAAGGGGAGACTATTTCTAGCTATTTCTGACATGTTTAAAGACGCTCTAAACACTGCACACTAAAGAGCCCTATTTATTGGGTAGTTTTATGCAGTTAGAGTGATCTGCCCTTAGATGTAAGATTAAAGAAATTGTTATTATGCCGTTAATTACATAATTTATAATAGATTAAAATAATTTTAGCATTATATAAGACCAAGAGTAAGAAATTCATTTAATTATTTTCATTAATTTTCCCAATGTAAGTAAACAACAGTGATTTCTGCTCACAAATAGTCCATTGTCTTTGAACATTTTTCCTGCATAAGTAAGGCATGTACCCTATGTTCTAAATGAATGAAATAGTCTCAATATGCATATCTTTGTATGATATATTTTTCTCTGAGTCCAAAAAAACAGTTTCTATTAGTGTTTAGAGCTTCCTTAAAGCCAAAACCATTTCCATGCTAACAAACTGCACAGGTGCACTTTTCTGTTGATTTACATTTTTAAATATATAGTTAAATCTTGCTCATTATTGTAATTTGTAACTAATGCATCTGAGTCCAAGAGTGACCATATGAAGGTTGGAGTGAGATGTTATAAGATGTTAGGTATGATAAAAACTTTATACATCTTAAATTTTCTGACAGTCTACAGGGTTTCATATAAAAGTTTAATAGTCACCTGAAAACCATGGTCCTTCAGATTTAACTGAAAAAATGCAAAAATAAAACAACATTAACATAAACACAAATTCATTGCCTTTCAAAAAAAAAATAATTGTGACACAGCTTTTGAATCAATGTCCATGCAAATTAAAAGAAAAAAAAATGAAATTTAAATGTTTGCAAAACTTTTTTTATTCACAAGAGATCGATTCTTGTGGAGACATTTTTAAAACGTCAAACATGAAGATGAATGCTTGATAAAATGCCTAGGCCATAATAAATACAATCCTAGATTCTTATCCCCACCCACCCTGATTTTTTTTACCCCAACCTTAATTTTTTTTAAAATTTATGTTTTTCTTCATCTTAATTCTGATCGGGATCGGTATTCAACTACCACTCAAATTTCATTTTAAATCCTGCTAATGTTGGCATGATTTTGACAGCTGAAAAGATGGTAATTGCTGTAATATATACTAAATAAGGGTCATTGGTTGTGAAAGATTGGTGTTGATGTAAAGTAAGAGACCTCAACTATGACTTTTAATTTTATTTGATAAATAAATCTGCACCGATTGACCAGGACAATAAAAAAATCTGCAAAATGGAAAAAAAAAAAATTACATAAAATAAAAGCCCCCTGCCTGCCACGATTTCTCAAAAAATTTGGATGAGAATCTAGAAATTTTTGTATTATGGCCTAATCAACATAACATCATATAGATTATGATGAACACATTTGTCTCTGAAGCTTACAATAAAATAATAATATGCAAAATGATTAAACATGCTAAAAATATTTCAATACCCCTACCCATCAGAAAATTGAGAAGCATAACAAATACTTGTTTGACAATCAAGATGAAAACTACAGATAAAGCTGATCAAAAAAATTCAAAGAACATATTAAGGACCATGGAAACCTGACTATTAAACCATATACCAGAGAAAAAAAATTGTATATGAATGAATTGTCTTGATTCAACTTGAAAACAAAAAAGATTACGTTACTTCAGTAAATGAAAACCAAATACCATGAATAATGAGTAGGCAATGATATACGTCATCATGCCAAGTCAAACTGTGAATTCAAACTGTAACAAACATGTCTGTTGAACCCCAAAGAATCACCTTAAGGTGAAAATACCACCTTAAGGTCAACGAGACATGAAATAAAAAAAACCACAGAACTGGGGTTGCTCTAGTCTCTTTTTGGTCTTTATATATATACAAAGGCATTAATTAAAAAAAATCAAACCGTAAAAATCAAAATGTTTTAAACAAATCAAAAGTATAAAAGCAAATACACTGTAAATGTATTATATTTATCATGTATATTAATTGTTTGAAATTGATTTTTTCAACATTTGCATACATCTAATCTAAGTGCAATTCTGAAAATGACAGGAATAAATATCAATATACAAGGTTTTGAGCAATATACACTTGATTTAAAGGAGGCTGTTTTTCAACAAAAGCACTAAATAGAGTACATAGCAAAATATAATACATTTTATGGTATAACATGTGCAAAAACTATGACTAAACCCAAACCTCAGATTTAACCTAGTTAGAGAAATATGGTCAAGGCTCAATTGTTCAAAGACAAATGCATATGAAAGAATGAATAAATGATTTTGATTAATGGAATGTTAAAATCTAAACACTTACAATTTGAGGAACCATCTTCTCCTGGCTTGAGTGCTGGCTTGCGCCTGTTTGAACCAAAAATTTGACTGCAATAATTAATAATTGTTAATTAAAATATCAATAAATACCCCACTGGAATCAGTTTAATATGAAAAATGAGTTCAAGTGGAATACCTGCAAAATGATATTAAATAAAAATGAAAATATTTTAATGATTGAAAATATTGTCTATGAGATGTATGTACATGTATCTTGACTTCAATAAACTTGATCATACACAATTTAAAATCCATAATATCTGCTATTTACTTTAATTGAACATTAACTATTAAAAGAAACACTAATTATCAATAATGGAAATAAGTTGAGTGATCTGTTGATTGATGAACTAACTTCTAATCGTGTGATTGACCTTGACTGCATACATAATATCAAGGAGGACTTTTGGATGAAGATATGCAGATTGAAAACATCAGACTTACAAACTACCCGGTACAATATGCTTTACAAAATGGAAAATAATAATGTCATATATGAATGATTATAAAATAAAATATAAAGGTTTTTTTTTTTTGTATTGATACAGTTTTCTTTTTTCATTTAAACTTTGTCTGAATCTTACTTGTATAATTCTCTGATTTTAATCTGTATGGGAACTGAGCATCCCTTCTGTAGTAGTTGCAGAGCTCGTGACAAAAGTTCTGTTTTTCTACCTGTTTTATTTCTTCCTGCATATCCTAATAATACCTGTAACTCCGACACCCGAAAACTCATTACCATATGCTGAAAAATCAATATTGATGTTACAGGGAGTGAAAAATACAACAGTAACAAGATTATTTGATAATAATATTTTTATTTCATTTAATCAAAGCTTCTTGATACAAATGATCTTTATTTTTAAATATATTCATGTATGTGGTTATGTTTAAGACTTTTTTTAATAGCAATTATCATATTCATCGTTCTTTGCAACTAAACAAGAAAGTTTAAAAATATTGAAATATATAACTAATTCTCTTTGAAAAAAACATAAATCTCCTCTCCAAATGTTCTAAATGTTGCGAGAACAAGTATATCAAATAAATGAAACCTTGACCTAGATTAGAAAAGGGAGGTAAGAATTCCATTTTTATAATTGTACGAGTTGTCTCCCGCAGAAAAAGAATTAAGACCTTCCTGATAGGATTTCCAGGAAAAATACCAAACATTTGACCACCAAACAGTAATACAAACGACTCTATACAGCTGTCCCTAATATAAAGCCCTAAAGAAAGCATGAACTGAATACGAAAGTCGAAATCTTCTGTCCACTTCAACAAAAACATCTGTATCCCTCTTTCAAATTAGACAATTTAGATAATAAGCCACTGAATTCATAAGAATGGAGAAGTTTGAACAGGATCTGACACCTTAGAAACGCGAAAGTACTTTTTTATGAGTTTATACAGATACTACACCGTTAAGTCTTTTGTTTTTCCCTCTCAACTTACCTTCAACTCCGCCAAGTCCGCCATTGCAATGTGTGTATGTCGCGCATGCGTGAAAGGAGAAAATGGCGACCAGGACGGGTAGGTGACATCTCTCTGTTCTGAAAATACTTTGTATCTTGCATTCTCTTTAAAAAACGGTTACATCCAAATCTTTATGGGATGCATTAGATTTAATGTGCTCTACAATTTCACCAGAAAGAGAACGTCAGTATATTTTAAATTTCCTCAAACTCGCCTGACCTTTACCATACTTCAGACTTTGTTATGAAATTGATCTGTGCATTTTGAATAATTATTTAATGTAGTTACGATTGTTACAATTTTAACTCTCTTGTTAAAAGCTTCAAAATTAGTTATTGATTACAGGAACCTTTTTTTGTTTTATTTTTACAAGCAGAAACAACATTGTTTTTGTCAATATTATTGATTTAAATAAATTTATGTAACACTCCAAATATATGTCAGAGTTAGATCTGTAAACAGTGGTAAACACATGGTAACTCTGAGCTTATTTTTTTAAAGTACATATGTATGGTGCATTTATTTAACATTTGAGAATTCAAACAGACAATAGCAAAATTCCAACTAATTTGCGAATCTCTCTTATTTATGTCTCTGTTTGCACTGATAGATAGAAAGTTCTATCATTAAATAATATTGTCCGACAGACCCGGTTCAATGATAGAATTCATTCTGTGTATTTGCAATGTAGTGAAACAACCGCTAGTGATAATTCGTACCAAGTGCATTTGCTATGAACAATCCTAACGGGAGTTCTATTGTCAGGTAAATATCATTTTGGAGTGGATCCGCTCTGATTTGCTATATTGCAAGTATATGGGACATATTCTAACTCTGATGAGGGCTTTTCCGAGACACACTTAGATTATTCTAACTAACGTCTCTTCAGAATCTCTGACAAGTGCCACAGAGAGTGTTCTGGGAAATCTTGCCTAAGTTATGACCACTTATTATGATCAATATAGCTTTAATTGATTCCTTACTGCTTCAACATGTTTAACCTTTTGCTTTGGACATCCTTTTAATTTTCCTTAGGCCTATCACTATGAAACAATATAGTTTCTTACCTTTAAAAGTTTAAATCCAACCATAAATTAATAAGATTATTTTTTTCATAGCTATGAGTTATAACATATTTGTTTAAAAATTCATTTCATCTTTCAAATGTTTCATACTATGGTTGGTTTCTATACAAATTCATAGTAGAACGAAGTATTTTGAAGCCAACTTATTGTGACCTTGATAATGACTGAAGTCTGTGGAATCAGGGGTATAAGCAAATATTACAAAGCTTGATTTTTGGCACTTGGATTTAAACTTAATGTAAACCATGTAAGAGTAAGAATGTAAAAAAAAAAACACTAGATAATTTCAAACAATTATTGACAATATCACACATTACTTCCATAGGATAAAGCAAGATATTCCAACAAAAATATTCAGGAATTATTAAAGTGAAAGTTAAACAATGGCACCACCAAGCAGAGCACTCCCCTGCAAGAGAAATATGTCACTTCCATGAAGTACAAAGGACAAACTACTTGCACACATACAAGCACATTATATCCCCCTAACTCTATTGCCAGAGAATAAATAAACCCTGGATAATTTTCTGTTCATTATATACCTCAGTTAATATTAACTTTATCTTTTTTCCTTTCAGTTCTCAGATTTTCGGGGTCTTTTAATCACCTTTTGGGACCACTTCTGAGTCGTCGCAGCCCAGCTCTAACATGTTCTGTAAACCTGAAGACAAAAGCATATGAAAAAGAAAATGAGAAACAAACAAGGTTATTAATTGATTGTAATTGCAATACAGCATCCTCTAGTAAAATTTGAATTTTCACTCCATCTTACTTTGTTGGAAAATATTATTTCAAGACAAGATTTAAATTTTCAGTCTGGTGCCCTACAGAAGTCAAGGTACTGATGCCAGAGCACAAGTTGTACAGCCAGGGCCCCGGGATCCCTACTCCCCTCACCAGCACCCAGAGAGCAACATGGACTTTGTCATGGCCAGAGCTGATGATCTTTTGAATTGGGGAAGAAGGGTACAAAATAATATTTGATCTCATTTAGATTTTGCATTTTGTGATGACATCTAATCAAACATATGTCTCGCACTGAAGTGCTGTACACTTAATTTTCGCAGCACTTTATTTTGGAGAGAGAGTTATTAACTCTTCATAAGAGTCTCAGAGATAAAATTTTCATGAATCTATATAGGGTCATTGCTCTATATACCTTAAACCTTAGAAAAACATATATCTGAGAATGAGATTTTTGCAAGCACATTATCTTGCTTAATGATGCAAAAATAAAGTTATCACAAATAAAAAGTGATTTTACAGTAAATCTTTTTAAGTTTTCAGTTTCAAATTCTAAGCTACAATGTATTCTTTGGTTGGGTATTGGATGGGCTGGGGGGTCATCTGTTTCTGAAATTTCAAGGCAACACAGAATATTACGCTTTCTTTTTCTATTGATATTACAGCTGTTATTATCAGTTTCAGATTAGTACAGTGTATTTTCAGAAATATTATTTTATTTACAGACTTCTCTTTGGCCCATGACCTTTGGTTTGGCATGCTGTGCTGTCGAAATGATGCATTTTGCAGCTCCCCGATATGACATGGATCGATTTGGAGTTGTATTTAGAGCTAGTCCACGCCATGCTGATGTTATGATTGTAGCTGGGACTTTAACAAACAAAATGGCACCTGCTCTTAGGAGGGTAAGATATAAACTACATATATAAGAAATAAGATATAATATTATTTAGCTCGCCTGAGCCAAAGGCTCCAATTAGCTATTCTAATATATTATATACTATGGGATTCGGGGGACATGCCCGTCGGGAAATTTTACTTAACAGTAATTATCAAATTGATTACTGTCATAGAAAATCACAGACTCGGAAATTCATTAATGTTTTCAATACACACTGGATAACTAGACAGATTTAATATTTATTGCTATGAATAATTCATTCTAAAAGAACCTAGAGAAATATATTTTAGCTTTAAAATGAAACAAAGGACTTTATATTTAGCAGTAGCCAATATTTGCCCTAAAATCAAACTTTGACAGAGTAATATTTAATTATGTTCTAAAACAGGGGGATGCATGCTGACTTCAAAGCACTGAATATTTTCGTTAGCAATGACGTCATATGTTTGAAATGACGTCTGGAAAATGACGTAAATTTAGAATTTTCATGATTTCTACAGAAAAATGAGAAAATTGCGTCTATATTTTGAGTAAAAATCACCGAGCACAGGTCTGCTCAGCTCAATATTTTGATATAATGTGTAGAATGACAATATCAATGAAATATGCAAATATTGTTCCTGAGCAGACCTGCGCTCTATAAATTCTATAGTTAAAATTGTTGAAATTTTGTCCATTTTGTCCTTTTTCTAAAAAATAATGCAAAATCCGACTAGTTTGTGACGTCATAAAAACAAAAATTGTCAATAACGTACTTTGAATCTATAATATGTTTTGTTAATTTATATTTTTCATAGTTTATACAATACAACACATTTTAAGAATTTTTCAAGATTTGATTTTTGTGGGGGCAAAGATATGCAATATACCGAATATAGTTCTTTATTTCTGTTGAAACAAAAAAAAAATGAAAAATTCAAAGTGCTGAAAAAAATGATTTGGTAGGGGTGATTTTGATGGGTACATCAAACAAATGATATTTTATTGTTGACCTTGTAAAAGTGCCTGTTTTAGGTACATGTATAGTTACATATAAATGTTTAAAAAATTCATTATTTTTGAGGGGAAAACACTTACGGGGGACATTGTATATTGGTATTTTTATGAGTTCCATGCTTGAGTTAACCTGTATGTTGCTACTGTAGGTGTACGATCAGATGCCTGATCCTCGGTGGGTCATCTCTATGGGTAGCTGTGCCAATGGAGGAGGATACTATCATTACTCTTACTCAGTGGTCAGGGGCTGCGACAGAATTGTTCCTGTAGATATTTATGTACCAGGTAAGCTCCCTCTTCACAAAGAACTTCAGATGATCATAAGCTAGTCTCAGCTTGAATTTAAAGAGAACTCTAGCTGACATGAGCCAGGGGCTAATAGCAATGAATCAAAATTTATGCACTTGGTTTTCTGGCCTAAATATATAAAACAATAGAAAATAAAATGTGTCTAAATATAGACAATTGTAACATATGAAAATCCACCATCATTGTTCAATATTTCAGGTTGTCCTCCCACGGCTGAGGCCCTTTTGTATGCAACACTACAGCTACAGAAAAAGATCAAGAGGATGAAGATGGTACAAACCTGGTACCGCCGCAATTACTTCAACCCAAAGAAGAGGGGCGTGTTAGAACACCCACCGGAAGTACCCTTCCAAAAGTTATTCAACTTAGTGAAAACCAAGACACAGCCACAACCACTGAAATGAACTCCTGAAATATTTCTTTGATGTATTATATTTCTTGGATCTGCAGAAAGACTTGTGCTGCATATGTCATACATACTATGTGTGTGACAATGTTCACTTTGTTATTGCACATTGAGATGTGCTTTAAGATATTAAATTGTTTTAGAATTCGATTTTTTTTTCTTAATTTTGAGGTGTTTCTAATCATATACAGAGAAAAATTTTGGACAGGATATCGATCCCTTTCTCATGTTGTGTGTGGGTTATAACGAACTTGATATAACATACCAAAATTTTGTACCATGAATTTCTATTGTCGAATCCAGCTGGCATCCTTTTAAACAACATTTTAAATACCTTTTTAAAAATATTGCCTGCAGAGCAGAGTGACACTTTTTGATCACTTTACCTGTGTCTGTCACCTTATATCTTGAGAACTATGAGAGATATGGATTCGGTATTTTGCATATATATTGCTTTGCACTATGGCATTTGTAAATTGCCTTATAGTTAATGACCTTGTGACCTTTACCCTACTTTACAAATTACTAGGGATGGGTATCGCCAAAAATTTTTTATCGCGATATATCACGATTTCCCCCCAAAATATCACGATAATATCATGATATTTTTACAATCAATTTTTTCCAATGATTTTTAATGAATTGTCATTACTTTTCTTAGAAATATGCTAGAAAAACAAAATTTCACTTTTTAAAATTTTTTATGTACATAAAATTAATTATGTTTGGAAGGTAAGATGCTGTTCTTTTCACCTTTTACAACATTTTTTAGACTTTCTATAGCTGTAATTTGAAAGATTGAACAAATAAATGAATAATTTCTGGACTTGATATTATGTACCTAAATACCGGTATTTAGGTCTCCGTATCACGATACATATCACGCAAGAAAAATCGTGATATACCGGTATACCGATAAAATCGCACATCCCTACAAATTCATAATTACTGTATGTGTACTTAAAATAGCGGGCTTCATATTTTAGCAGCTTTGGCGCAGACGAGGATACGCTAATTCATGAATATCGCTAAAAATTCATTTATAAATAGAATGTATGGCATGTCATGTAGCATTAACTCATGATTACGCCAACAACTCCATACCCATTCATTGTGCAAAATTTTGAATACGCCAAATTATATACACGTACAGTAGTTCCTATTGCCTAAATAAAGCATTCTTGACATTTAAGGGGTAATTTCATGCTTTTTGGTATGTGCACTGTGTACCATAAAATGTTTACAAGACCTGTGAGCCACAATGCTCACCTGAGTCACTGGCCCTTCTGTTCTGCATCAGATTTTTTCTCCCAAATACATTTATCCTTTTGTATTTACATGTATGATCACCTTTAGTGGCCCAACCCTGTATACACAATTACACGTATGTAGCCAAAGTTACTCACCAGAACCAAAATATGAAGAAAGCTATCGACCACTATTTTTGGCCTTGCTGTTCTGCTTCAGTATATTTTTGATTGCCTTCCAAGGCCATGGTCTAGACAAAACATAGGTAATCAGAGATCACCTCAGTGAATGTTCTCTTTACATAGTGCAAAGTCACACAATTAACCAACATTCTAAAAGTGTACTTCCAAATATGCAAAATTTATGCAATTTTTATCCGATAGGGCTTGCAGTTACTTTGGAATAGACCTATCCAAACACTTCGAACTAGACTCATCAAGAAAATATAATTCAAATCCAGCATCTGAAGCAAATTTGAGAGTTTTCATCCCTTGATGCATCATTTGTGCAAGTTTGGTTAATATAGGCCTTATAGTTTCCGACTGATAGACCTGCACCCACGACTTTTACCTAGTCCATTATCTGGAAAATGTATGTGGAATTCAGCATTCGAAGCAAGTCCATTAGTGTGCATCCTTGGATGAATCATCTATGCAAGTTTGCTCAACATACGGCTTATAGTTACTTGGAAATGAAACCTGCATAAAAATTACTCATCACTTTTCACTCATCTAGAAGGGTTCCAAAGGTTGTCATAGCCGAGGGGTGATATTGGGAAATTGGCTCCTGATACCATTTAAATGCTCCTTAGGGCGTGCGTCTCAAACAGCCTCTGACAACCAAAGTCCAACTCCTACCATCACGTGCGGTTTAGCTTGCTAAACACGGTGGAACCTGTTTCAACTAAACGGAGAAGGGGCGAAGGCGAGTAACTGGCGCCTTAAAACCAGCCGATAGCCTCGGGTAGATGGAACTCGTCAACCAAGGGAGGTAGTCCATCTAGGAGAAGGAAAACTCTGATTCAAAACCTCCACTGCCTTGCGGCTATATCCTACCTGACAGGGAAAGGCTTCAGGAGACAACCTCGAGGAAAATCCAGAACCAGGAATCTGTAAACTTCCTTCCTGTGCTTCCAGGATCAGGACTTTTGTTCAGAAGCTAAGCGCGAGGTAACCCCGACAGAAACCTAGAGTGTTGAAGTCGGCGATGATGGGCTATACAGCACACTCTAACTTACCACATCATCACGCACAAACAGCCACTATGACTCATCTAGAAAATGTAAGTTTGCTCGACATACGGCTTATAGTTACTTGGAAATGAAACCTGCATAAAAATTACTCATCACTTTTCACTCATCTAGAAAATGTACATGTAGGTCAGATTCAGCATCTGAAGCAAGCCTGGTAGTATGCATCCATGCAAGTTTGGTCATAATAGTGCTCATAGTAACTTGGAAATGACTATATATTGACCACCTGATGACATCTGTATTTTTGCAGATTCTGATGTGACTTAATAGTTTAAAAGGATCATGAAAGTAAAAATTCCAATAAAATTATCAGTACATGTATATCTAAATGTTGAGTTGGTCTTATGAAGAAGTCTGAATAACTTCTACTTCGTAGAAATATAAAACCAGTACAATTAAGAGCACAATAAGCATAACATATTGTTGGAAGACCCAAAATACATATTTTCAATAAGATTCAGAAACTCACATATCTTTTGAATATCAACTTCAGATACTTGAATTATCACATCTTGATTAGAGAAAATTACTCATTTTTAATAGAGAAATTTTCTTGATGACCAATTCCACAGACAAGACATAACACCAATGTACATTATTTTTTTTATTTATTAGAGTTTACTTCAGTGGAATAAATCTAGAACTGTGGGTGGCACCAATACCAGGTCTTCCGTGCTTGACTGGCTTGTATGTGATGCTGAATTCCCCCAGGTAATGTCCAATCATTTCAGGCTGAAAAGGAAGAAAAGATACTGTAGATCACTAAATGTTCATGACACCTGTCTTGATTCTTTTACAGTGTTCGAGACAAAATTTTCACGAATTGCACTTACTGCTCAATATAATTATTCTACATAGGAATTTTTCTTTCGCAAGCACAATGTCTTGCATACAAACTAGAACTGTCCAATAGGGACAAATACCCCCCGCTGGGTTTTTCAGAGAAGGTGCCAATTCATAAATACTTTATGGATCTAGAGATGTTCATAATTTACTTTAAAAAATTTGCAGTGAAATATAACTGCTCATCATGTTTCTTAATGAATGAAACGGAGGTGCAACCAAATGAAACATCAATACTAATACTGTAATACATTGTAATTCCATTGTAACATTTTTTTTTCATTTAATTTTTCTTCATTACTGCATTAAAAAAATATATTGCAATTATGTGTTATGTCACTCTGCAAACTGATAAAAAAAAAACATTATACAAAATCAAATTAATCTTGATATATCAATTTGAAATGCATTTTGAAAATAAAGAACTGGTCATCCAGTAATGAAGTGTTTTGACAGACAATAAATTACAATTAAGAGAATAAGAGAAGGGAGATCTTTAATTCTTGTGCCTTATTCCCTGAAGATTTGATAACACACACACACTTGATAAGAGATATGCCTAAACAACTTCCAACACCAAACGCATTAATTTATCTTTAACTGGATGCATGTCCAGTCATTATTCCCAAGAGACAAATGAAATTACATTATCTTCTGTGCAATGTAAAAACTGTTTTTAACACTTGATGTTTCCTTTTTGAAAAAGTTTTTATGAGTAGTTTTAAGCTGTAGTTCACGTTTTTGTACAGATATTCTAGATTCTATGTCTCAAACCTTATACATGAGCCCAAAATGAACAAGTCAATTAAAATTTTAAAAAACCTATAAAATGCAGAAAAATTAACAAAAAGAGTTGAAAATTCCAGGTGCACAACTTCATATGGTGAATAATAATTGTACAAATTTTCAGATTAATCCTTGCGATAGTTTCTGAAAACGGTCCAAACAAAACCCCAAAATAAAAATGAAAAAACACCTGTAAAATTCAAAATAATAATCCAATCAAGATGAAAAATATCAGGTGCACAACTTCATATGGTGAATAATATGTGTACAAATTTTCAGACAAATCCTTCCAATAGTTTCTGAGTAATGGTCCGGACAAATTTTCATGAATTGCAATTGCTCAATACATGTATAATTATTCCACATACGGACATGGTTTCTTTCACAAGCACACTTCGTTTGCGGGGGGTTACACAAAAAGTGTTTTCTGAATAATAGTGATTTACATTATAACCTGGGAGAGAACATCCCAATAGCAAACTTTAACCTCCCACTGATCTACCACTTAATGCATTGAAACCTAACCAATGGAATCCTTGTTGAAAAATGAAAATAATAATATTTGTGGTCAGGAAATATTTTTCACAATAATTAAACAATATATTCTCACACTCTATTTAATCTTGAAACTATTTCAACTCCACTTAAACAAAGATTTTTAAAAAAAACTGTTAATGCAAGGAGAAAATAAGAGAACTTACCACTTCAATATCAATTTAAAGATTCATCAGACATTCACATATGATAAAAAAATTTTTTAGAAATGCACATGGCTTTCACTGTATATTTTATTTTAGTTCTTATAGGGAATGATTTTCATCATTAATACGCTTTAAAAAATTGTGCCAATCAATACTTTTCAGCAGAAAATAAAATTATTCTACAAAATTAGAGAATCTCCGGAGTGGGTTGTCCCCAAGACCCGGAGGTAGGTGAATTTCCTGACCAGTGCCTACAACGACATAATGGCCTTGTTATTTCCCCCTTAGAGAAGAAGCCCAACCCCCTTCCACTTTATAAATGTCAGCAACTTTTTCATCTATTCATATGGACAACCCCAGGGTTTGACACTAACATTTTTAGGCTTTGGTCCGGCCGGACTAGTGCTTCTTTACTTTTACTAGTCTGCACACAATTTTATGAGTTCATAAAAAATACAAATAAATAAATAGAATTATCATTGCAATGTACTTTTTTGAAATAAACAAAGCATTTACACGAAATGTTTTATACCAAGATTTGTTGAAATTGCGCGATCAGGAACTACGATCGTATTCCCGATCTCGATCCTTTTTCTCTGTACATGATTACATCATCCAAACATCCAACATCTTTCTTTATGTGTCATAACTAAATTATGATCACAATTTCATACCAACGAGTCCTAAAATTAAGCGCCGAATTACCTAATTTCCAGCCAAGAAGCTAGAAAGCTAAAAAGGTTTTCCAGTGAAAATTGTCAAGAATGTAACATCAGTAAATTCTTTTTTTCCGCAGAAAACTTTATTAGTCCATTTGGACTAATTAGCCACAAATTTTATTAGTCCGAATGAAAATGTATTAGTTTGAGACTCACGGACTTAATGTCGAACCCTGAACCCTGCTTGAGAAATAATAACAAATAGTACTTTGACATCCTTTAATTACCTTGATTTCCACCTGGTTGAAAGTTTTGCCATTGTAAACTCCAATGATGCTTCCGATCATTTCTGGGACAATGATCATGTTACGCAGGTGAGTTTTCACGACCTACAAACCAAACAGGCATACAAAGTGACTACTAATACAAACAAAAATTTGATGCACGGATTAATATTTATTTTTTGACTGATTATGATTAGAAATGACATAAAGAATAAATCCCTAATAGTTCAGAAACTGTAAGTTTTCTTTGGTGCTTAGATGCATTACTTTGTGTCAATTTCTATTTAAGGAATGAATTAAACAGAAACCCAAGTTATACTGTGTAACCTGGATTAAGGCAGTTTACAATTCATAAACCACAAAGCGGTTTATAAAACCGTAAACTGCTCCAACCAGGTTATACTAGTATATAAACTTGTGTTGCTATTTAATTCATACCTTATACAGTGTAATTTAATTTTTTAATCATTAAATATAGAAAGCAAGACAATTTCTCCCTAAAAAATGATTTCAAATTGTTCATATTTTAAATGTAACGTCAAGCAGAATGATACGTTTTTGTCGCAAGTCATAGTAAACACAATTTAAGTTAATTTTTTCTCCAATCAAATGATGCGTTACAACCAAAATTAAGATGTTTAATTCTATACAAATTTTGCACAACTTTTTTACTTTATGACAAAATCTTACAAAATTTTCCCATTATACTGGGTAACATTCAGGCTACCAATTCAAGTATAAATCTATGAGAAATATTGCTGATTTCTGAAATTTTTTTGTTTATAGTTCATTAATAAATGGCTTTAAAAAACTTTTATAATGTCTATAACATGAGTGCTCATGAACTATTTCTATATTCACATCAGGGTTTTTCCCTTATCATACATTATTTTTTACATAATATTTTTTTTCCAAATTTCTCTGAATGGAAAACTGCAAAACTTTTTTCAAAGTACTATTTAATACATCTATGTGCCTAATGCATTAATTGGCAAAGTATCACTTTTATTACCTCTGGTTTCTCTAGTGGACCTGCTTCTTTCTTGGCCTTGCGGAGACGTTTGATGAGGCCAAGAGGTTTACGCTTCAGACCATGAGAAATCCTGCGTCTGGCTCTGGAGGGGAAGAGCTCCATCAACTGCTCACTAGAAATTAATTAAAATATAACGATATACAATAAGTTCAATGCAAATACAGAGTTTCCGAAAACCAAGTATTTCTATCAGTCATTCGGACTGATGACTTAATGTGTTCTACCAGTCCGAAGCATATTCTATCAGTCCGAATAAATTTTAAAATATAGTGTATATTTCATATCAGATGTAATTCAAAAGAAAATGGCATTGAACATGTAAAAAAAATTGTGGCTCACAAACACTGATTGTGATACCAGGGTTATGCAACTATAATTAATTCAAGCATGGCACCAGCTCACACAGGTTTGTGGCAGCAATAAAGTCACTAGCCCCAAGTAAATGTTGGAGGAAAGAAACAACTAATTATAAAAAAAGTTAATAAATTCTTGAAAAAGAAAACTTCTCAAGGTTTCTAGAATTCTTTTTAAAATTTAAAGTTTAATTCTCACTTGTAAGATTGAATAATATATAAATAGCAGTTATGATTAAAATTCAAAATAATAAAAAAAGAATTTAAATTATTTTTACGTTTTCTCAGTGGGCATTGCACTTCATAACCTATATACTGCATGTGTTTACCGATAACAGAGGAATGGAGGAAATTCGGATTAGGAAAAAACGATCGTTTTTGGAAGTAAATAAGTCAAGTAGAAGTGACTTATGGACAAGATTATGGATATTTACGAAGAATAGGAGCTTGCTGCATTGAAAATTTTCATTTATGAAGATATTGCGATAGATTAGGGTACAATAAATTGATCAGGACAAGCCCTCACCACAATCAGTCACACGGACAAGTACTGTAGCGAATTTCATCGGACATTTCAATTTTCTATCGGTTTTGCTGGTAGGATCGATAGTTTTCGGAAACTCTGCAAATTATCACAAGTTAGTGCTCTATCACAATGCATAAGTGTTTAAAAATCAACAGAATGGGTATACTCTTTTTTGCAAAATAATGTACATCCCAAGTATTTTTATGATATTGCTTCAGACCTTAAACGTTGATTTAAGGTTTAATTACTGTAAAACAAGTTATCTTGGATCCTCAGCTATATGAATTTAATGAATTTCTTATACAGATACAGCGAAGTAATTTCATAGGTCCCAGTGACTTCATTAATGTAACCGAGCTTTAATGTAGTCAATTTCTGATTTATTATTGTAGAACATATAGAAATATCAATAACGAGCCATCAAACATCTCAATAGAGATATATTACGGAAGTGAAATGATTTTTTCATACATACTTGGACATATCCAAGAGCTGGTCAAGATCAACTCCCCTGTAAGCATACTTTCTAAAGGTACGCCTCTTCTTCTTCTCAGCCAATTCTTTCTCGTCTACTTCTGCCTGAAATACATCACTCTTCATTACGAAAAGACTGTGCTTGAATTTATAACAATTTTCATTTTTATGAATTTTCTAGTTGCATTTTAAATTTTTTAGATACAATTAACCATGTGTTCACTTTACAATTAACTAGTTGTTTACTTTATCTTTTCGAGCTGATATGCAAAATGATATTTGCTATTGCTGAAAATTGTGCAAGATATTAGTTTACATTAATGTCTTGTATTCTAAGTGTTATTTCTGTTAAAAATCAAAGCAATCTATGTTTCTAAGAACTTTAATTGGTGTATCATTCATTTGTGTGTATCTAAGAAACAATAAAAAGATTTTGTCTTCATGATAAAAGTAGATTGTGACAGATTTTACAAGGTGTTATAGCTATACCAACCATGTTTACGACGATTTACCGGAAAAGGAAGATGTAGAGATATTGTGAAAACCAAATCGATACGGAACATATTTTCCCGAAATAATAACCTTTGCAATATATCGATATTTCTGAATGCTGCAGCAATGAAAGTAATTGAAAGGACATTTTTGTATGGAGAATTTTACAAAAACTGATTGACTAAAAAATTATCAGTAGTATTACTTTTTCAAAGTGTGTGTGTGTGTGTGGGGGGGGGGGGGGGGGGGGTTAAAAGGGTAACGACCCCAACTTTCAAACTGTCAAACATTTTTAAAACAAAGACATTATTGTCATTTGTGGTAATGAGGATTATCTAACTTTTCAGAATATTTTTTTATCCTGTCTAATACTTGAATTGGACTGTGGTTGACCATGCAGCAAACAAAAGGGGGATGTCAAAATAAATAAAATTACATATAAAAGCTAGCCGCCCACCCCTGTCGCTTACTAAGAAGAATAAAATAATGTACACATTGCTTGTTTACTTGTTTCCTTATATACTTTTTTAGAAATAATTTATGTTTTATTTTAACTATTTAAAAAAAATAATATGATCTAACTAATATATTGTACCTTCGAAGACAAGTCTGTGAATACTTTTTCACATTTAGAAACTTTTATCTACCATCTATCTTTACGTTCAAAATCAGTTCTTTAAATAACCCAGTGTTAAAAAAGTCAAGAGATATATAAAAAAAATCAAATCAAAGAAATAAAAGAAAATGATATATATTTTTAATTAAACTGAGTTCAATCATAGCGTGCCAGGTATTCAGCTGGTATTGCACTGGTACAGAAAGTCTAAAAAGGGTTTACGCTGATTTCTTTTTTTTAAATAATGCATTGAAGTGATCTTTTGTCTTTATGTGTGTTGATGGGCCCCCCTTCTCTCTCTCTCTCTCTCTCTCTCTCTCTCTCTCTCTCTCTCTCCGACAAACTCGTACGCGCTCCCAACAAAAAAATTAAAGCACCGAGTGCTTATTATTAAAGCAGATTAAAATTCTATTGAAATCTTCAGCTCCGGGCTCCGACTTAATCGCCTTGCTGTCGATAGAGAAAGAATCGATTCACACGCGGTCCTTTCTTTACTTATAGCCCTAAAGCCAGAGGATTTAATCAATAGAACACGGTAGTAGAACACATACAAGCATGCGCGCGGTCTGGCTTTGACCTTTTGGATGCCGGTTAATTTCACCTTTCTCAAGATGAAGACGCTTGTAAACATTGCCTTCTTATTCTCTGTTTTTTGTGTGTCGTCTGTCCTTTCTCAAGGTATGTCTCTTGTATTTGAAGATTTGTTTGAATGTTTCTGAAATAACTGTATTGATTTCTCCAGCATGACTTATTAATTCATTATCATTACAAAGTCAAGTTATGGTTCTGTAAGGACACAAGATTTGGGGGGAGTATTTCACATAGAGTGTTCCTTAAGACGCAGTCATTTATGATTAAGGCAGTCAAGCTGGATAAAATGCGCGATACTGAATTAAATTGCCGAAACACTTATCTCGGTATGCATGTGTAATTATACGTTGTATGTCTTTGTCAAGCTTGGAAACAAAGACAACTATATTATATTTGGTTTGTTATGCTCTCTCTCTCTCTCTCTCTCTCTCTCTCTCTCTCTCTCTCTCTTTTGAAGTTAGGTACATGCGTTTAGCTCCTCACATGCTTGGACTTGGATTTTTTTTTTTACTTGAGATGAATATTATATACAGGTATACATAATTATGAATAAATCATTTGAATAAATCATTATTATAGTACAGATGATGCATATCGAAGTCAAACTTTTATTTGAACTTAAAAGAAATGTTAAAAAGTCTTCCTGCTATACTTCACAAGGAAGAATGATCAATTTCGTGGACAGAAAACACTGTTGTTTGCCTATATTGCAAAAACACATGATATATGTATTCACTTAATTATTTGGGTTTACATTACATTATTTATTATAGAGTGTATCCTTCATTTCGTTAATGGCTTACGAGTTTCTTCACCTATTACGAAAGTACGTAATGTTGAGAGAAAAACGCATTTGTAGCAAATATAACGAAATCCCAAATTTGGGAATCTGGCATTGTTAAATGTTTCTTACAATATTGAGTTGCTTGACTAGACCTTTTCGTTATACATATATACAGAAAAGTCCAGACCATCTGTATACTTAAGGTTCGTCGTCTCTTTTCCAGATCGTTTAAAATTATGTGGTTTTTTTATAGAAATTTATCATATATATTATATTATACACAACTTCAGCATTCCTAACAGGGGGAAAATTACAGTAATAGCTTTTAAGCTTGGAGTTTTATTACAAGGGAATAATAAGAGTTATCTCTCTTACCAGGGCTTTAAAGAACCTTAAGTTACATTTCGACGAGGAAAAAATATCGAAAAAGACGTAGTGAAGTATAAAACAGGATATTTACTATTGTAGGAAATGTTTGTAAGTCTAATTCCTGTAAACCATACGTGGAGACTTGCTTCCCCTGGAACAATAATGACGGCTATATCTGCTGCGAGTGGTCGTCCGCTAGAGGGCAGTACATCAAGAAAGTCCGGAACCCACTGACGGGAGAGACAGATTTTCTCAACTGTGGTGAGAAATTATTTTATTTCACAAGACTCTAGCGATGGTAAAGCGTTCATCGTCTCTCCAGCTGTCTTTTTTCCCTTCAAAATGGTATTTCTCGCAATGTTTTTTTTTTAATCTGATCTGGCAAGTAGACTACTGTAAACGAATTACTGTAAACCAACTATTATTCGGACCATCTGATATTCGCGATTCGTCGGTTTAAAATCAAATTTTTTGTGAATGAGGAAACATTCTCTACAAATACTTAGCAAAATGATTGGTTCGCGGCGAATAATATTCGCTGGTAAAAGTAGATCGAAGAACTCGTGAATATTTCTCGCACGCGAATAAAAGTTGGTTTCCAATAACCTATTTTAATTCGCGAATATTAATAGCCGCGAACAAATCATTTATTTTGCTTTGTATATTGTAGAGACATGTATCCTCAGTCGTAATATTAATTGTCGCGGATTGATTTCAAACTGACAAATCGCGAATAATTGTTTGTTTACAGTATTCAATGTACTTAGATGCAGAGAAGATAATTATATGAGGGACCGTTTTTGGTATTTGCTGTCATTAAGTAATAACTTTTCAGACAATCACTATACACTGTAGTTATTATCATTGTACAGTGTATATTACAGGGAAATGGTATTCATATGGTGATATCACCTATTCGAATTGGTGATATCCAGCTTTTTAACTGGTGATATCACCTGTACGAATTAGTGATATCATTTATTAGAACAGGTACTTATTTACTTATCTTCTCCGTGCTCCGGAGGACGCATGAGGCCGTATTTCATTTGTCTAATCCAATATATGTGATATCACTAACTTCTATCAGGAACACAACCATACACAACCTTTTCTACTGGGCAAAACAAGTAGTGTTCCCAGTTTAGGGACCACGGGTCCGTGCTTTCCTAGAAAGACTTCTCGGTAAATCATGCCACTGAAATAACCTTTTGGCCTTCTACTCCTACAAAAACATACCCACTCAACGTTTCTTTTTTCTCTCAACAGATCCATTAAAATGCTACGTCTGTAGCTCTGCGGATACGAAACACGGGGATAAGTGCGGCAGACAGTTTGGGTACACGAAGGAGGAGGCAGAGAAGGCCGGAGTCTTTGTTACCTGTGATGAAATCGGTGTAAAGAATGCGCGCGCATGTGGCAAAATGATCACCAATGCCTACTTTAGAAGTATGTATATTTCAATGTGGGGATTTTTTTTTTTAAACATTTGATAGGAAAAGTAATAATATACGTACATTAGAAAAAGATATTATTCCATTTCTACATAACAATCTCGGACTTGCATGAAGTGAATCAAATTTGACTAAATAATTAGTACGTTTGTCGAATTTCTTATTATGGTAAACCGGTCAAGGATGTAAAAGGTCATTCAGCAGAGAGAGAGAGAGAGAGCATTTGCAATAATGATGTGGACTGGGGATTTGTTTTTTGGAAGACAAAAAAATTAATTGAAGCAAGCTTTATATTTATTTTATAGAGGAAATTGTCACCAGGTATTGCTACAACACCACAAGTCCTACGAAATCCTGGTACCCCAGCGGCTGTGCCGAGTATCTCAGCATGGATACCTGCTACTGCAACAAAGAGGGATGCAACTCCCAAGATGCAGTTCGATCAACTTCCGGTCTAATTTTAGCGGCAGTGCTAGCCACAATTTCTATATATGTATCTTAATGCTAAATAGTTGTATTATTACATGCAGAAATACGATCCTATGCACTGCATTTGTATTTTTGTTATTTCCAATTTTGAAACACTTGCCAAAGCAATTTTATTGCAAAAACCTCTCTGCATTTTAAATAACTTGCTGTTGAGATTTAAATTTTTTATAAAGACGTGTTAAACTGAAATTTGATCACTTTTGATTGATAAGTCATTATAATATTTAATCCGTGGGTCAGATAATTGTGTCTAGTCAATTCTGTAAACCGATGTACCCACCAATAATACATATATATGTACTACTGTTCGTAAGTTGCAATCTTTTTATAACTTAGAATCACGTGACACTTTAGAGTGAATATTAGAAGCAGATCAATCATTATAAATTATATTTAAAGGGGGTTTATTTACCTAAACAGCTGATATTTTGGCAATATATGTAATTACAAAGTAAAGATGCTAATAACCTTCAATACTTGTTTAAAGCATAATACTTAGTAAATCACTTGTTTGCTTTTTTTGAATACTCCATTTATACACATGTTCTTGTTTATATGAAGTATGGAATGCATAACTAATTTATACCTACTCCCGCGGCATCTCAGAGAAAAGAATGTACTTCAACTTAGTCTTTTAAAAAGGGAAAGCTACCATTTATATAGAAATCCAGAGCCTGATGTTAATTTGCTAGATATGGTCAGGAAATCCAGTAATTTGTGTAAATATTGTATGTCCCACCGAAACTCGCTCTTTTAAGACTGAAATTTATTTTTAAGGTCAAGAAAGAATTTTGGATCCAATGCTTTACAAATTTTGTTAATTTCGGACGTTTTATAAGAATACTAGTATTTGTTCCGTAGAGGAGATAGAGTTCATTTCTGATCCTCTATAAGAGAGGAAGAGGGGGTGTTACTTTAGTATTATATGTAGATATTTGACCTGAAAGCTACCTCCTGTTGTTACATAGTTAGGAGATGACATTGATGTGTACTTGTGTATTTTTACTGGTAAGAAATTTCTCTGTGTGTGTATGTGTGTTTTCTGAAATTTAGCAATCTGTAGAAAGTTTACAATGTAGATTAAGATTAACTGACAGCTTGCATGAATAAAATAAAAATTGTTTTTTGAGAATACAATTCAGGATTTTCTTGCTCTTTTTTAAAAAAAAATTACTTATACATTGTATTATGGAAGTAATTATATTAACCATGCATATTCATTTTTTTGTGTCGTTACAGCGAAACTTCTCAGGTTTGTTTGTACAAAAGTAAAGTTAAATCTTTTATAATATGATTTAATTCCACCAATATGTGTATTTTTCATGAAAGCATAATATTGTTTAAAAAGCATATTAGGATATTTTGGTCATTTTTTTGTTATGTATAAAATGTGCATGTTGATATAGATATATTTCATTACTTAAAAAATTGTGTAATGGTAACACCTCTTGGATGGAAATCTCTATTGTGAAACAATTTGAGAAAGTATTGAAAGGTAATTTTTTTTGTTTTGGTTTTTATTAGTATATGGTTTGTATAAAATTCACCAATAAATGTTTTCTACACTCGTTGTTGGTAATCTGTCATGTTTGTTCATGGAAGAACCTACAAATGAAGACTTAGAAATTTACAAATGTTGGCCTTTTGAGCGGCACAAGGATGCAATTTTTACAGCTTTAATGAATGTAGCTGTAGATATGTAGCTCGCTGGTCTAAAATAATGGTATGGACGACCAGAGCGCTACACTGTCACATATTTGATAAAGGTATATTTACTGCGCACAGAAATTGCACAATTTTTCTTTTTATTTCTCCGTTAATTAAAACTGCCATCTCAAAATATTACCAACCCTGTGGGGGGGGGGGGGGACCAAGGCACCGACTACGACATTTTTGGGGGTGGCGTGAGGCGGGGGGACTGTAGCTCTCTCTCTCTCTCTCTCTCTCTCTCTCTCTCTGGTTTCAAAGGTTGTCATAGCCAAGGGGTGGCAATGGGGATAAGCTTCCATTGTCTATAAAACGCTCCTTATGGTATGCGTCTCAAATAGCCTCTGACAACCAAGTCCAGCTCCTAGCCTGCTCGTGTGGCTTTCATCAAGTCCGGCGGAACTGCTACTACTGATAGGAGAAGGGTTTAAGAGTTACCTGGCGCCTGAAAACCAGTGCTTTGGGTCGATGGGGCTCATAAGTCTGGGAAAATACTGTATACAGGGAAATTTTCGCCTTATTTTATTTTCGCCCTGTTCAGCGTTAGGCGAATTAAAACGGTGCGAATTATAAGAGAACATAATTTCTTAAACAGAACCATGGCTGGGCGAATTTAGCACGGGGCAAACTTGTTCGCAAGTGTAAAAGGGCGAAAATAGCACGTACGGGGCGAAAATAACTATACAGTAGCTCATCTATGAAAAGGAAAACTTTAATTCCATACCTCCGCTGTCTTGCAGCCACATCCACTTGTAGGTAAGCATATGTGAAGGAAACACTAATGTAAAACCGAATGGGCAGACTGTGATCAATATCCAGGAAAGAAAATCATATAAAGGAAACTCCAAAATCAAACGACTTTTCCTCGAGGTTACCAGAGGTTTGCTTAGGGTCAACAACCCTGCCTATAAAACATCTAGTTACAAAAGCATCAACGACAAGCCAAAACCAACATAACTATGATGCTGTGCAATGAAAGCCGAAAGGAAACGGCAGAGCTGACTCCTTTTCTGACACCCAGGAAAAAGATCATATTTGCTACTTGGAACATCAGAACAATATATGAAGCAGATTAAGAATACTAGTAGCACAGGTAGCAAAGGAGATGAAGCACTATAACATTTGATTCCTAGGACAGAGTGAGACTAGGTGGCTACGGACAGGAAAGCTGAGGCTGACCACCAGGGAAACATTGTAATTCAGGACACACAGAGGAGGGAGTCCACCACATCAAAGGTGTAGGCCTGATGGAGGCACAACGTCTTCTTATTGGATGGGAACCTGTCAACTCCCGAATAATAACAGCCAAGTTAAACATCAAGAAAAGCAAGATCAAATTGAACATCATCCAATTTTTTGCCCCAACAAAAGACTATCCATGGAGGTACAACGTGGTTACAATGAAGTCACAGGAACACAAGGAATGGGCTACATGAATGAGAACGGGGAGATATTTGCACACCTATGCTCACTTAACCGGCTTGTAATAGGAGGAAGCATTTTTCCTCATATAAGGATTCAGAAGGCCACATGGCTATGGAGATCCCTGACCATGTGGATTATGGATAACCAGATTGATCACGTTTGCATCAACAAGACATTTCGAAGAGCATGGAAAGATGTCAGGGCGATTACAGGAGCAGACATTTCATCAGACCACCATCTGTTGATGACGGCAGTAAGACTAAGCCTCAAGAAATTCAACAGCATGACAAACAGGAGGACAAGGTACAACGTGAGTGTCCTCAAACCAAAGGAAGTGAAGACAGCATTCCATCTCTCCTTGTCAAACAGATTCCAGGATTGGTTCTCGTTTTGCAATTTTCTGCTACATTGCGAATTTATTGGAGGCATTTTGATATGGGACGAGGGCTTGTCCCGAGACACAGATTATTCTAACTATGTGACAAGCCATAGAACAATTTTTTTTAATTGTTTTTTTTTAACCTTGTAAAAATGAGCTAGTTGTTCTGATCGAAGCATGAACGTATCGTTTACTAATTATTGAATTAGTCATGCGCGGATTATTGAAATTTGCAAGGTAATTCATATGCTAAAGCAAGTAAAAAATTACCTTGTGTGTTCATTATCATACCACCCACCCACCCCCCGAAATAGGTTTTTGACGTTCGGGCCAGTCAAGTTTGACGTGCAAGTTACACAGGTCAGTGGCTAACACGTAAAACCCCCTTCATCCCCACTCCCACCCAGAGTAAAAAATTCTGGATCCACCTCAAGGACAGCGTGGCCTATTTTATATTCACCACTTCATGTTAACTGAAATAAGCTCATATCTTTATATTAGGCATAGACAATATAAGCCTATTTATGTAGATAATTTATTATCTAAACTAGAAAGAAACATGAGAAAGAAGCAGATATAAGAAAGACGGATTAAAGCATAGTATTAAGATGGGTTTAAACAGTATCGTGATATCCTTCGTTTCTGCTTTCTTCAAAACTCATTATTTAGTCCAGTAATTATATGAACAGTCCAATAATATGTTAGGAATGTACTCTGTTTTTTATGCGCCTGGATCGAAAGATCTGAGGCGTATGTCATGTTGTAAATTTTGTATTTACTGCCACCCGGTAAATTCAAAACTTTTAAATATATATTTTTGTTATTGATTTTAAATATTTTTAATTAATTCATTCATTTAATTTAAATACTGAAATTCACTTACAAGTTTATTATTTTTATAAATATCCACAACTTTATTAAAGTATAAATGATATTATTTTGAATTAAGGAGATATTGCAATAGTCATGATTATTTAAATGACATTTCCTATTTTTGTTTAGACACCTTTTTACTTGGATTTTTGCAAGTAAATTCCGAAACAGAAATAATCCCTTGATAAAACATTGTTCCTGACCATTCCTTTGTAATTTTGTAGCTTAGGCAAATAGGGTTAATTGATAACAAGGAAGATTCTGACACTTCTCAGGTAGATAAAGGGTGACACTTATATTTTACACAATCTTGGTTTTAGTCTTTGATCTATTAAGTTAGCTAACACTTATCAGATAATTAGGTGATAACTTTGAAACCATTTAGCCTTGTGATAATCCTTTACGTAATAATTAAATAGAGCTTTCGGATGTAAATTAGTTTTTCTATCACATGACCAAAATGTAGTTTTTTGATTGGATACCTGCTGGTCAGTCGGAATTTGGTATATGCGCTCGCGTCCTTTTTGTGGTCATTCCATTGCGAGCTCTGATTTACAATATACGTATCGACAAGCCTTATTCTGACTTTGTTTTATTATTTGCAGGTATGATACAATTTTTATATTATTTTTTCAAGTTACTTTGAAAAGATATTTGTTTTTATTGGTAATGATCTGAGTTTCATAATTCTTTTATTTACAATAATTTTTGCCATTTGAGAAATACTCTTATTGAACCTCTCAGGGATAATTTTATTGTTTTGTAAATAGAAAATGGTGTAGTAAACTTCTTAATAGTTTATGTTATGGTTGTTTGGGGAATTGGTACTCAAGATGGGGAATTAGCCGTTCCAATGGCTTTGCTTTGAAGGTGCAAGGGACACTAGTGGTCTTAGTGCACAAGTTGCAAATGCTGCAAATAATAAAACAAAGTCAGAATAAGGCTTGTCGATACGTATATTGTAAATCAGAGCTCGCAATGGAATGACAACATGTTAATATCAAACATATGACATGATATGACAAATCTTTACAATGAGACAATAATCATAAAAGGATTAACATAGCAGTTTCTGTGTCTCAATAGAAAAACAACATGTTCAATTAATTATTTAAAATTACATAACATATGTTTTAGTTTTCATCAGAATGTCATAATTGTCCAACTTTAACCAAAAATACTTTATCGGAAACCTTCTTTTTTATTGAACAGAACATATTTACAGACAATCGAACTACATCTAAAATTAGAACTGAACACAATCAGTAAACAAGTTTCTTCGACAGAGTGATAAACAATTATCTTTAAAGTGAACAGAATTATGGTAAATCGATTACAAATATAAACTTTTACCTTAAATACCATTTATTGTTAACAAATTCCATGATTTTGTACTCTCCCGAAAACATGTGCATAAAATGAAAATAGATCTTAACTTTTGTAACTTCCGGTACTAAAGAGTTCTATGGTAAATTTAGAAACAGCGCGAAATTCAAATACAGTAGTCTAACAAGAATTCAGTTTTGTCGAGAATATGATATAAAAACATCAGAATGCAATTGAAATAAAAAATGTGAATATAGAGGTGAAATAAACCATAAAAATTGACACCATTTTCTATTTACAAAACAATAAAATTATCCCTGAGAGGTTCAATAAGAGTATTTCTCAAATGGCAAAAATTATTGTAAATAAAAGAATTATGAAACTCAGATCATTACCAATAAAAACAAATATCTTTTCAAAGTAACTTGAAAAAATAATATAAAAATTGTATCATACCTGCAAATAATAAAACAAAGTCAGAATAAGGCTTGTCGATACGTATATTGTAAATCAGAGCTCGCAATGGAATGACCACAAAAAGGACGCGAGCGCATATACCAAATTCCGACTGACCAGCAGGTATCCAATCAAAAAACTACATTTTGGTCATGTGATAGAAAAACTAATTTACGATCTGTCCGAAAGCTCTATTTAATTATTACGTAAAGGATTATAGAAAAAGGAGGGCCGAATCACTCAAGGCTAAATGGTTTCAAAGTTATCACCTAATTATCTGATAAGTAAACTGTGAAAGAGCTAACTTAATAGATCAAAGACCATAAAATTGCCAAGATTGAGTAAAATATAAGTGTCACCCTTTGTCTACCTGGGAAGTGTCAGAATCTTCCTTGTTATCAATTAACCCTATTTGCCTAAGCTACAAAAAGGACAAAGGAATGGTCAAGAACAATGTTTTATCAAGGGATTATTTCCGTTTCAGAATTTGCTTGCAAAAATCCAAGTAAAAAGGTGTCTAAACAAAAATAGGAAATGTCATTTAAATAATCATGACTATTGCAATATCTCTTCTTAATTCAAAATAATATCATTTATACTTTAATAAAGTTGGTGTTAATTAGATATTTATAAAAATAATAAATGTCTTGTAAGTGAATTTGCAGTATTTAAATTAAATGAATGAATTAATTAAAAATATTTAAAATCAATAACAAAAATATATATTTAAAAGTTTTGAATTTACCGGGTGGCAGTAAATACAAAATTTACAACATGACAACTCCACCCTTCTCTGAATGGCTTTAGACCCTAAAGCCTATTTTGAAAAAAAAAGAAAAATATTATACACTGTAACATAAAGGAAAAAGTCTATTTCTATGGAAAATAAAAAGGTATATATATATACACATATATTTACAGAAAGTCAGGCATCAAAAGTATGCCATGAAAATGAATCAGTCCAGGTATTCTTAGATTGTAAAACATTCCAATACAAATTTCTGAACATACCTGGAAAAAGGAAAATAATGTCATGAAACATAGTAATGTGAAAAATTTGACATACACACAGACATAACACTCTCACAAATAAGCCATATGTTTCAAATCAGTAAGTTAGACTGCACAAAACATGGGAGAATGTGGCTAAAAGGTACACTGGGCCAATAAAAGTTGTTAAGAAATTTATGGGTCAATTTCTTGAGATGGATTTAGAGGTTTGAACATGCGTTGATGACCAATTAATACATATGCACAAAATGGTTGGTTTATGATGCGTTTGAGTGCATAATACTCTAAGTAAGAAATGCTAAATGAATCTTTAACTTTGATTGTTCTAGCATTGAGTTTGCTGGTAATTTGAAAATTTTCCCATTGTACAAACATTTTACATGATGGAAAAGATGAAACAGTTACATCCTCTACATTAACTCTAGAGATGTTCCAATAGGAGGGACACAAAGGCAAACGAACAATAGGGATCGTGACACAGTCACCTCCAGATGTAATTTCCAAATACAGAGTTGTACCTTTTTGACGTTTTCGAAGACAAATCAATAAAATAAGAATGATAATTAAAACAACAAAAACAATAATGCCTATGGCAACAGATGCTTGAATCCAACCAAATTCAGAGAAAAATGTGTTTTGTATTTCTGTATCAGTTTCAATTTTCTTGTCAAGATTTTCATAAATAAATGATGGTAATTCTGATTTCAGTGATTTTACAGAAACAACTCTTTGTAAAACAATTAATGCAGCTGCCAATTGCCTTAGCTTAATAATAAGTATGACACAAATAATAATAGATACAACTGTACCAGTTACTGTGACATATAACAATATTGACTTGGTATCAAAATAGTCTGAGTCTAGAAAAATTTGACCATCTAACAGTGGTTCTTCTAATGATTTGAATGCCACACTATCTTGTTTAGCAGCTTTTGCAATTTTCTTTAGACTTAAATGAAAAGTTCTATCATCAACCAAAACTTCAGAAAATGAATGGTTATAAATTTTCATCTGAGGTACAATTGAGTCAATTGGGTCAGGAAAAGTGGTGTCACCAAAGACTGATGCTAATTTAGAATTGTTGAAAAATTCCTGTAACAAAGCTAAATTGACAGGGTACAATATAGAAACATTTGTAAGTTGCTTTTGACAGTCTACCAATCTTGGTGTAAAAATCATTGATTCAGTTGAAATTGAACATTGACATGGGAGATCAAAAATACAAAATGTACACCCCTGTGACACTTTTTGGTAATTTGGACAGTCAACGTTTATATTTTTGACATTGTACAACAAAACTGAGGTAGGCGTCAATTCAATAAGGTTTGACTCTAACAGATTTGGAATAAATCTAAAATTGCACAGATTCTTAATCTGTTTCTTGTTGTTAAAGAACAGTGCTGTTATGCAGTTTGGGACAGTGGTAGGGATTAGTGGAATGTTAAAGTTGCACATAAGAGCTGCATGAGTTTTAGCACATTTTGAAAGTTGTTTCTGGTTAATAATGGCAAACTGATCATGACGACCAGACATTGCTAAATAGTCAGGCATATCTAGTAGTTGGGAGGCATGGTTAGAAGTGCTGTTAATGGGAACAGGGAGGGAAAGGATTTGGTAGAGTGTTAAGGGATTTGCATGCGAAGAAATTGGAAATCGAACAGTAAGGTAAAGTGATGACCCATGTCGTGCATATATAAAGTCAGCTTCCTTGTAGAATTGAGCTGGATGATTGAGAATAAGATAGAATTTGTTGTATTGCTTTGCAAGTTTGTGTTCAATTTGCCGAATGGTATGTTCTAAAATGGATTCTGGTAATAAAAATGGACTAAGTCTTCCTTGCACAAGATTTTCAATTGCATTTTGAAAATTAGCAAGTTGTCATGTTGTAAATTTTGTATTTACTGCCACCCGGTAAATTCAAAATTTACAACATGACACGTATATTGTTTTTGTCGTGTCTGTTTATCTGTTTGTCTGCAAACTTTAACCTTCGTCATAACTTTTAAACCATGAACGAAGGAGACTTTGGTATGCATACTCCACTAAATAAAGTCTTTCAAAAGACACCATGGTCAATGACCTTGTGACCTTGACTGTGATCTATATGCTAAAAATATTTTTTTCTGCAAAATTTAACCTTCGTCATAACTTTTGAACCAGAAAAGATAGAGACTTTATATTTGATATGCACACTACTGATAAAGCTCTTTTAAATGACACCAAGGTCAATGACCTTGTGACCTTGGCTGTGACCTATACGCTAATTATAGCTTTTTTGTCGGCAAACTTTAACCTTTGCCATAACTTTTGAACGAAGAAAGATAGAGACTTAATATTTGGCATAAATTAATTTCATAAGGTCAATGGCCTATCGACTGTGTCCTATATGCTAGAAATAGCTTTTTTGAACCTTCACCATAACTTTTGAACCATGAGAGATAGAGACTTCCTTTTTCGTATGCATACTTCACTAATCAAGTTCTTTCAAACGACAATGACCTTTTGACCTTGACTGTGACCTATATGCTAAAAATATGTTTATAACTTTGTTGCCGCCGGGCGCATAGTGTTTCACAAACACATCTTATTATTATTATTTAGTTATCAGATTATGCTAGGTAACTTTTGAATTGACTTAAGATTATTTGCCACGTATGTTCGATATCAAAAAAAAATTGTCAGGTTGTTTCAAGTTCATTTTATTTTTTCGTAGATATCTGACTCAGTATTGATATGGCAGCATGTTTGTGTAAATAAATGCATAACAGCCTTGGCAAATACAGGTCTGTTTCAAAATGATTTTTGAGCAGAATAAATGTCACAGATGCTTCGTGAAAATGCAAATTTCAATATTACTGAACACCAGGAGATATGTTCTCTTGTTTTATTTTCGTCCCTTTCGCCCTCGTTGCAAAAGGCTGCGAATTCAAAGCAGCCAGCAATAGACACTGAAAGACAAATAGAAAGATAGAGACAGACGGAGACTGACAGACATAAAGACAGACATTGACAGCCGGAAAGAGAAATAGATGGATGACAGAAAAGTAGGGATTGACAAACACACAGAGACAGAGGGGCTTGGACAACAATGATCCCAGTGATGGACAAACAAACAGACAAAGATATACACTACAAGGAGACAGACAATGACAATCAGAAAGACACAAAAACTAAGAGAGTCAAACATTGCCGGCGAAAAAGAAACATTTGTACACTTGTACATACTGATAGATATAGAGAACTGTCTGCCTTGATTTGAGATTCTGCGAGAGTGCTTCAAATACGTGAGTTACTACGTAAGCTGGTAAGCATTATATATTCATTCTTTTTTGAGTTATAATTGTGGATGATTCTGGTATGTCCTGTTCTTACATGGGCGTGCATTGTTTTGACTTATTGAGTTGGTGATGTATACTGGTTTTGGTGTACTTTATGGTTATTATTTTTTTTCCAGTTCACACAAGCAGTGTCAACTTGGTCAAAATTGTCAACATACCAACTGATCACGATTGGAGGCACATCCTTCTTTCTGTTTGTTATTGTATCATCTGGTCAGTCGTACACGCTTTCGATCTATCGTATATTGCCAGCAATATATACAGATATAGATAACAAAACCCGTCTAAGGTCCCCCACTCATACTGTCTGCCTGTGTCTGCATCTGTCAAGGATATTATTACCGACATGGAGCAATTTCCACAACCAATACGTAAACCTGAAATTAAATTTACGAAGGTAAGTATATTTTCTGGATTTTTAAAACTGTTCTTCAAACTGAAAAAAAAAATAATTCTATGACTCCATAGCGAATCTATGTTTAGACCACAATTTATTACTTCAGTTGTATAACTGTATGTTTACTTCACTGTAGAACCCGGCAGAGTCACGTTTAAATAGGTCAAAAAATAGAAATCGGCAAATTTTCACAGTTAATGAAGAAACGATAGATAAGTTCTTTAATAAAGAGATGTGCTGTACACATATCTTATTCTGCACACATGCATATATAAAATTAAATTTTAAATTATTTTAAAAAGAAACAAGCTTATGATCAATATATACCGGTATATTGAAATGCAATAATATAGAATTACAGATCTCTATCTTCTCTAAAATAAATAAAAATAAAATAATTACACAGAATGATACAAAAGAAAAAAAAAGACAGAAAAAATGCAAAGCGATCCCTCAAAATTAGCAGAACCAATAAAATGGTCTAACTTGGATGATATTTATGTCCCCGTAATCGAAAATTCGGGGGTATATAGTTTTTTGTCGTGTCCGTCCGTCTGTCTGTTTGTCTGTCTTTACAGTATTTCTATCTGTATGTCTGTTTGTCCGCAAAAATTAACCTCGGGCATAACTTTTTGATTTAGTAGAGTTATGAATTTTATATTTTGACTTTGACCTTGGAGTTTGACACACTTTTGCACACAAAAAATCCATAAAATTACTTTGGTCATAACTATTGAACGGTAGATACTAGGACTTTAATACTTAATTTCAACAATATTTTATTCAATGATGTTAATGTGAATAGGATTGGGCAGCAGATTCAGCGTATTCTAGCCCTCTCCCTATAATTAATACTTTAATACTTCATACATATGTCCTTTGTTACAGGACCTTTCATTGGATACCAACAACTTTTGACCTTGACCTCGGAGATTTACGTACTTTAAAAAACTTTAACCTCGGCCATAATCTCGGCTTCACATATTTATCCTTGTGAGATGACCTTTCACTGCATGCCTAGAACTTTGACCCTTTGACCATCTTTTTAAAAACAATCCTTGACCATAACTTTTGAAGGATTAGGGCTTCATACTTCAGAAACATACTTGAGAAAAGACCTTTCATTGGATACCAACAACTTTTACCTACCTTTAAAAAAAACTTTGGCCATAACTTTTGAGCGAGTAGGTTAGCGCTTTCATATTTCACATATGTAATTATTGTGATAAGACCTTTCTTTAGAAAACAACAGCGTTGACCATCTGACCTTGACCCTGGCGTTTGACTTACCTTTCAAAAACTTATCAATGGCCATAACGTTTGATCAGGTGGTGCTAGGGATTTCCTATTTCACAATTGCACTTCTTGTGAGAATACCTTCCTTTGGATACCAACACATTTAATTTACATTTAACAAAAGTTTAATCTTCGCTATGTTGCCATGCATACGGAGGCCTCAGTGTTTCAGAAACACATCTTGTTCTACTCATTACAAAAGAAAGAAAAAAACATATATATACAAAAATATTCTATATAATAAAGGTGTATTTTTATGGTTTCAGCTGTTCATCAATAACGAGTTTGTAGATTCTGTTAGCGGAAAGACATTCTCTACCATCAACCCGGTCAACGGAGAGAAAATCTGTGACGTCACCGAGGGCGACAAGGTAATATCTCAAGGCCACATAGAGATACTCTTTAACGTGAAATGTGAAGACATGATAAACAGTAATCACGATTTAAAAACTACAATGAAAAGGTACAATAATACCAATGATGCTTGTTTTTAAAATATTCATAATGGAAAAGTTAAGGTTTTTTGTCAATGGAGGGGGATGTCTTTATATCATCTTTGATTTAAGGTTATTTATACCATTTTCTAATGCTTTGAGGCAAAGTTTTCTTCAATGTCTGCCTTTGTATAGCAACCGGACCTAATTAGGATCATTTTTATTTTGTTACTCGAGATCTTGAAGGAAAAATCTAGAATAACATATATTTGTATTTTACATTTGATAAAAAAATAATGTGAAAGCCAAGTCTGTTGCTACCAAGACTTTTCTGTCTGCCATATACCGGGTACGCCGTCTTTGCAAGCCAAGCCTTTTTGCTTTGCAGAAAGCTCAGGGTAGGTACCAAAAAGTCATGGTTTGCAAAGATGAAAACAGACGTACAGTTGAAAATTTTCTTGTTCATCAACTTTCCCGTCGTTTTTAGGCAGATGTAGACAAAGCGGTCGAGGCTGCAAAAGTAGCTTTCAAACTTGGATCAGCATGGCGGCGTATGGATGCAAGCAAAAGAGGTGCTCTGATCTACAAAATCGCACAGCTCATGGAGAGAGATGCACAGTATTTGGGAGTAGGCTTTTATTATTATACCCACTATAGAGGAAACCTTCATTCCTTAAAAAATATGCATTTGCTATATATAGGCGTATATTTGAAGTCCGTTTTTGCTTACAGAGTCTTGAGACGTATGATAACGGAAAACCCTATATGAACGCTTACGGCGAGATGCTATTCTCAGCAAACATATTGAAATATTTTGCCGGTTGCGCCGATAAAGTTGGAGGGAAGACAATACCTGTTGGTATGGATGCTCATCAGTTATTCATATTTTTGCTCACATATGAAAAAATAGATTTCTGCTTTGACATTAAAAATTGGCCGATGAATAGAGGGAACCGGTTCTCAGAGTAACGGTTTGGAGAAGTATCACTGTATATTGATCAGAATCCAAAAAGTCAAGAATATTTTTTCCAAGTATGGTTACCTTTATTTTTACAGATGGAGATTTTATGTGTTACACAAGACATGAACCTGTAGGCATCTGTGGAGCAGTTATTCCGGTATGAAACCGTGCTTTAGAGTAATCATTTACAGTACAACCATTGCATTTCTTCAAGCTTATCTTATAGATGGCCCAACAACAAAGTCACAGTAAAATGATTACAAAGAAGTACTTACTGATAAAACATCTAAGAAACAATTCACTTACAGTGGAACTACCCGGTGGCCATGTTTGCCCTGAAGCTGGCCCCTGCCTTGGCCTGTGGCAACGTGATCGTGTTCAAACCGGCAGAGCAAACGCCACTAACGGCTCTCTACATGGCCTCCCTCTGTAAAGAGGTAAGGCTGAATATATAGTGTACATTAAAAAACAAACTCTAATTCTTTTTTATCAGAAACAAAGACATACTAGTAAATTGATAGATTTTATCTTTGATTTCCATAGTGTATGAAGCTCACCTGAAATGCTTAAACTGAAAGGGGGGTGGCATAGAATACTAGTATCTTTTGGAGATATGTGATATGTTTTTGGTAGGCTGGAGTTCCTCCTGGCGTTGTTAATGTTGTCAATGGTTACGGTCCTACTGCTGGTGCCGCTATCACTGGACACCCAGAGGTGGACAAGATCGCCTTCACTGGATCAACAGAGGTGGGGCAGTCCGATATTTCTATATTTCATCATTTCATTTGGAAATTTGTGTGTTTTGCACAACAAAGGATTTTAACACTGTCGTACATGTATGGAACAAGGGAAACTAAAGACATCTTTGAATTTTTATATTGAGGTTAAAATACATAAAGAAAAATGTTTCGAATTTTCAACTCACTTCGGCATATCAATAGTTATTGAGATATTCATGCTCAAGATACTGAAATCAACTGTATGTAGTTTTAACGCTTTTAGTAAAGTTTTTTCCCGTCTGTCAGGTTGGGCAGATTATACTGCAGGCATCAGGCGCCACGAATATCAAACGCACAACATTGGAACTTGGAGGGAAAAGTCCAAACGTCATCATGGACGATGCTGATCGTTCGTACACATTCTTTTTTAAAATAAAATAACAATAATGACTTCATTAACCGTATGAAAACATATGCTTCTTGGTAATGTCTCCTGAAATGATTAACCTGACTTTATTTTTTTTCATCAATAAAAAAATTGAAGCGTGTATACTATTTTTAAATAATATTGTGCCATGGAATTTTATTTAATCCAAATACTATAGGAACTCATTCTTCATGTTCTTAGCAAATAAAATAACTCAGTAATTGGCAATCATTTATTTTCTCCCTTTCCTAGTTGAGTCGGCCGTAGCATGGTCCCATGAAGCCGTGATGACCAACATGGGTCAGTGCTGCGTTGCCGGAAGCAGAACCTTCGTCCATGAGAAAATTTACGATCAGTTTGTGGCTAAAAGCAAAGAAATGGCAGAGAAGAGGACATACGGAGATCCTTTTGAGTTTTCTACAAAAAATGGACCACAGGTACACGGTGCATCATGTCTCTAATTATAACTTCATTAAAGTCACGTGATATGGAACAAAATATGGCAAAAATATACTCATCTCTCCTGATGTAGGTTGATAAAGACCAGTACCAGAAGATTCTAGAGTTGATCGAGTCTGGCAAGAAGGAGGGGGCTAAACTAGAGTGCGGGGGAGAAGCTGCGGGGGGTAAAGGATTCTTCATCAAGCCCACGGTCTTCTCGGGGGTAACGGACAACATGAGGATAGCCAGGGAAGAGGTATACTCATGATTATTGGAGTGCTTTGTTAACAAAATTCATTCGTAAGGAAACAATCTTACAGTATGTATTTTTAAAGACAGATTTTGCAAATTGTAATTCAAAAGTTCGTTCCTTTAGAAGTGAACACTTCAATACATTATCGATCTGAATTTTTAGATTTTTGGACCAGTTCAACAAATCTTTAAGTTCAGTACACTGGATGAAGTAATTGAGCGAGCCAATGACACACATTATGGTCTGGGGGCCGCCATATTTACCAGAAGTATTGATACCGCCATGATGTTTGTACAGGGGGTCAGAGCGGGGACTGTTTGGTATGGACTGTATTCTGTACTGTGAATTACGGAGTATAAAGAGTAGAACCTAGTCTATTACACCTTGGCTGTTGTAATGTATATAAACCTTGTGAAATATAATTGTTAACTTTTTTATTCCGTATCTTAACTATGTTTGCTTTTTACCTATGTTTGCAGGGTAAACTGTTACAATGCCCCAAATTACCACGCTCCATTTGGAGGATTCAAAATGTCTGGCATTGGAAGGGAGATGTGAGTTTGTTCCCAGAGTATTTATTCCCTAAAAAAACTTTTTAAAAATATTTTCATTTCCCAAGGAGCATTATGAATTATCCTTCACGAAGCATTCAAATTAAATAATTCAGAATGATGTTAAATCCAAGTACCACCTTCTTTACTTTCAGGGGTGAATACAACCTAAGCCAATATCAGGAAGTCAAAACGGTAACATTGTACCTCATTTTCTTCATAAATAATGATGTATAATTTTTAAATAGTAATTATATCTCTTTAAAGAAAATCAAATTTCAAAAATTTGTTGGGTATGTGTGAGAATATATCTCATTCAATAGTACCACTGATTGGCTAAAATTTGGACTCTCTTTTCTTTTAGGTCATGATAAAGATTCCCCAGAAGAATTCTTAAAAAAAAGACTTTTCAACTTTATACGCTCAAGTGGCCAGAATCAATATTTTATTTTCATCCAAATATAGAAGTCAATTTGTTTGTTTTCTGTATAATTATGAAATCAATTACAAGAACGATTAACTTTCCTCTGATTATTTTTCAAAATAGTACAAGGAAGTCATGATATAAACATGTATATCAATTGTTTATAATTGAAAGCAGTGGTGTATTTTAAAAAAAATATATATATATATAACGAATTTTTGGGCGATGATCTCTGTTACATATTCCTTATTGTATTTATTTATCATCTTCATATAAACATTAAGGACATACGCAAGGTACCTTACCTACTGATAATTTTTCAAGATATTCCAAATTTAAACTTATCATACTATTACATTTTTTAATACAAAACATAGGTAATCAGAGATTATATAGAGCTCACCTCAACGAATGTTGTCTTTAAGTAAGGCAAAGTCACACAATTACTCAACAAAAAGTGTACATCCAAAAATGCAAAGTTTATGAAATTTTGATCTGATACTTTGGAATAGACCTATATAAAAACTTCAAACTAGTTCTTCATCACAAAAATGTGATCAAAATCCAGAATCTGAAGCAAGTTTAAGAGTTTTCATTCCTTAATTGATGCATCATTTTGGCAAGTTTGGTTTATTTAAGCCTTATAGTTTGTTGGTGATAGACCTGCACCCATAACTTTTACCTGGTCCATTATCTGGAAAATGTATTTCGAATTCAGCATCCGGAGCAAATCCATTAGTATGCATCCTAAGATGTATCATCCATGCGAGTTTGCACAACATAGGGTTAATAGTTACTTAGAAATGAAACCTGCATAAAAATTTAACCTCTTCACTCATCCAGAAAAAAATGTAGGTCAGATTCAGCATCTGAAGCTAGCCTGGTAGAATGCAACCTTAGATGTATCATCCATGCAAGTCTGGTCATTAGAGAGCTCATAGTTACTTGGACATGAATCCTGCATCAAAAACTTTAACCTGTTCACTAATCCAGAAAAGATAGGTCAGATTCAGCGTCCGAAGCAAGTCCTGATAGTATGCATCCTTAGATGAATCATCCATGCAAGTTTGGTCATTATAGGGCTCATTGTATCTTGGAAGTGAACCCTGCACCAAAAACTTTAACCTGTTCACTCAACCAGAAAAAGTAGGTCAGATTCAGCATCTGAAGCAAGTCTGGTAGTGTACATCCTTAGATGTAATCATCCATGTAAGTTTGGTCAACATAGGGCTTATAGTTACTCGGAAATGAGACCTGCACCAAAAACATTAACCTGTTCACTTAACTGGAAAAAGTAGGTCAGATTCAGCATCTGAAGCAAGTCTGGTAGTGTACATCCTTAGATGTAATCATCCATGTAAGTTTCGTCAACATAGTGCTTATAGTTCCTTGGAAATGAGATCTACACCAAAAATGTTAACCTGCTCCAAAAACATTAACCTGGTCATTCCTTTGCTGAAATTGCAGCATCTGAAACTTTGACTTGTGCAATGAAACACATTAGAAGCATCTTCCATGCATGTCTAATCAATATAGGACATAGAAGTACTTAAAAAGAAAACTGCTCCAAAAAACTTAACCTTAACCCGGGACGCCGACACCGACGCCGAGGGTATTACATAAGCTCCCCCAACTTTGTTGAGGTGAGCTAAAAATCAGCATGTGTCCAGGGGTTTTTGAAAAGATATCAAATGAAAATTTTTGCACATTTTAAAGAAAAATGTACAAAAATTACAAGACAATAATTCCAGATTTTTTGTCATCAAAATTTGTTTTAGAAGAGGTGTACTATTCCATATATAGACATTAAAAGTATTGCACACAGGTCCATCATTTAGTGGAACTCTTCAGCTCCAGGGAAGAACCGAATCAAGTTCAAACTACGTTGCGTATGACCTTAATGAGACAAAAAAATGGATTCTCAAATTTCAAACAACCAATTTGCACAGGGTGTTTTCCACTACATTTGATTAAATAATCTTTTAATCTATTTAATGAAGGCTCACTCAAATACAGGGAAGGGGCTAATATTTATAACCGTCTGAGTAAGGCATTGCTTTAAATAGCCCCCCCCCCCCCCCCCCCGATATTTAAATAACTAGATTAAAACTTGTTAATGATATTTGGAAAAGGAATTTATAGATAATAAATAAAGGTCATTGAAAAAGAACTAAGGTTCGAGTGGCGCATATTTTTTAATTATATAATTTATGAATTCATTCAACTTGTACTTTACAAGTGATTCACTTACTAGTATTTTGAATAAATAATGTACGTAGACATTCAACTTGCACTTTACGAAAGAAATAAGAACGAGAAAAAATATGTGTCGTTATACATAAATATGTGGAGCATGGTGTTGCAGATTTCAATAAAACAATTCTTTTAAATGATAGAAAGTTATTTCGCCCTCAATTGAAGGATCATTATGCTGATTTTTAAAATTATTTTAAATGCTTCTCTGGGTATATTCAAAGCAACTTGAAAATTAAGAGTCTAGTTATGTTTTTTTATTGAGAAAAAATTGCAGCCCAGTGAAATAAATCTGAACTGCAATTATTCGTAATGTTTAAGCTTATGTGTTCAAAATAATCTGTCGTTAACCAAGATCAAGCCTCCACCCCACCCCCTTTAATTACGCCAACAAAGACGGCTTGATATTTGTAAAAGACACCCCCCGATTCTCAACCTTTTTTTAATGATCTTTTTTTTTAAAGAAATGGTTAATTAAATAAGTGAATGGAAAAATGATGAGTTTCATAAAAATAATGGTATCACTAAGATCTATTTAGATTTTATCTTAGTAAAGACACCATTCATAATCCGGGTCCTGATAGGGAGCAATATATGAATTTTAAACAAAGTTTTATCTAATTTATCTAAGTTTTAATTGAAGTGAAACTAAGATCAATTCCTTTTACCACGTCGTCGATATATCAATGCCGAGTTGAAGGCCAACAGCAAATGTTTTCTTCTTCTCATAAAGAAGTGTTTAAATAAATTATACTTCATCTGAATACAAAAATAGGTCTGCTAATAACGGGGCACGATGGAAACCCACGGGAATTCAAACGGATTGTTGGAAAGAAGATATGGTCCCGGGATCATGAAACAGACTTAGACTTAAGTCAAAATTTCAATTATCTATAAAATCTTTAAAACTTGTTAAAAGGAACTCATAATTTGCATACAATAGCAGAGTGATGATACAAAATCGGAAGGCATTTTCATTTTGGGCTGCTTGACCTCTAAAAAAAATTCAGCATCTAAGGCATTTTTTGACTTAAGCTTAAGATGCTTCATGATCCCGGGGCATGGTCTCCAAAAACTACATATAGGTATTGACAATCAGCAGAAACTTTTTAATATCAAGTACAGAGTACCTGGGTGTACAGTCAGAATGTTTGTAACATACATTTTCAACGACATTTGAAGGATGTATTTTTGTGGCTTCAGAAAAAAATATATTTAGCATAGAAAAAACTTTTTTTCCTATAAATTATAAAAAAAAAAGATGTTCATACACCTTTAGCTGAAAATGATCAATAGTCTAACTTGAAAATTCTATAATAATTTTTTTAAAATTAGTCAACTATATTTTTTGGCAGGATATATTCGAAATAAAAATTAATCAGACAAATAGCAAAAATGAAAACACAAATCAAACACGAACATACAATCTTCATGCATTCATGTATATATGGTTTCTTTACATTTCTATGTTAAATGTTGTTCACTTCTCAGGTCTATCAAAGTTTACCCAGTCATATTTGATTGATTTTAAATTTTTTGTACAAAAATAGCCCTGCTATGAGGAAACCAGTGTTCAACACGAAAAAACTCACAATCAGAACAAGAGAGTCGATTTCTTTAGAAATAAAGGGAGCTCTCGTAGTTTGTTGTTGGGAAGACGACGTGTTCGATGTGTTTTTCGAAGACGACGAAGATCCTTCCTGGATTTCTGTCGATGAAATACTAGTATTTGACGTGAAGTCTGTTTTTGGAGCAAATCTTTGGGCATCAGAATGGTGTACGCCTTGAAATAATATAATTGGTGGTGAATATAATCTGATATTTACCTGATAAATATCAATATTGACCGAGACGAAGCGAAATAAAGCGAATGCTCTTTGTTTGATAAATTATTCTCAGTGACAAAAATTTAAAGAGTTAAACAATGTTTTTATCATAAAAAAAATATATACTTTGTCTCCAGTGTGAGATCATCCTCTTGTCTTTTACAAATGTAATCAAAAATTTTGAATAATTGTATGACTTTTATTTAGATTGGAAATGAGTACAAGACATTATTTTTCGTATTATTCATAAAAGTAAGTGAGAGAAATACAATGTACATACCCAAAATCATAACATATATTGTAACAGAAATGTATTGTAGTAGGATTCGGTTGTTCCTCGCCATAATAATCCTTGATAAGTTCTAGTTCATTCAATATTTCAGACGCTTCTCAGCATGTTTCCTTCCTTCGTTCAAAGAAAAATTAAGTTAAGACCGTGAAATAAGAGATTCTAATGAAATTTTAACATAATTCAAAGTTTAATTACACGTAAATTTTGATGAAAGGTGCAGTTTCCTGGCTGATTTTAAAGGGCTTCAAATTATTGTCGTGCAGTCTAAATTTAGTTTTTAAATGTAGCAAGTTTATTAAAAAATAAAAAGTGATAATTTCACCCTCTCACACTTAAGTGCGAAAGTGCAAATAAACGTGCAAAAGTGCAAATAAGCGGGTGGCAACTATTATACTTATACACGTCCAACAACATGACTAAACTATGCAGGCGTGTTTTAAAAAAATTGACACTTAGACGACATTTTGAAAAATACAGGTTAAACACTAAATCTGTATTGGGTAAGTGGGAATAGGGTGCAGGCAGAGGACAGAATTAAATTGTATTGTCAAATTTTTAGAATAAATATTTTGAATTTTTTGTGATGTATTTTCTGTTCCATTACGAAGATATTTTTGTTTAAAATAAGTTATTCCAAACAGTAAACCAACTGTAATTCTCGTGCTAAAAATATTCGCGACCTTCTTTTTGCAAATATTTCTCGTCGCGAACATATCAATATATTGAGATTTTATGTATAATGGTTTTTTTTTCTATTCGTGAAAATTGATAGTCGCGGATAAAACGAATTTCAGGCAGAGAATTCGCGATTAAAAGACGGCGAGAATAAAAATTGGTTTACATTCAGTATTCATTTTAATACCTTTTATTTCTGATTTCTGTTTCTGACCTTTTCTAATAGATCTAATCATAATCATTATAGAGCGACACAAAAACACAACGCTCCGTGAAGTATTTCATGAAACCAAACTTAAGAAAATATCAAACAAAACAAATAAAATTTATTAAAATGCGAATAACTTACTTATAATAGTTATATATAGTTTTACCATCTCCGCTTATAATGTTATATACGTCTCGCAGCTGTTACAGAATGGTGCATTTCTGATTTTTATTACGTCATCAGTTTGTTCATTGTGACGACATAAATAAGATGTGAAAAGATGCACATGACTGTAGTCATCAAGTTATAGTGCAACAGATTCAAAACCAAGCAAAGACAGGGTCTTTGATACTATACTCAAAGTAAAAACTCAGGTAAGTACTATACAGTAGTGCTTAGATCACTTTCTAATTGTTATACTTTAAACATATTTTATTGAGTATAATTCAATCAGGATTGGGCAACAGGCAATGCCTATGTACACCCATTTTTAAGGTCAAGATCTTGTAAATTTTTTTGCTAGATACATTGTGACGTCATAATCAATTTCAACTTATTATACGGCTCTTATCAAGTAATATTATTATCTAAGATGAAAAAAACATATTTTATGGAATTCAGTTTGAAATAATTTTGTATCTATTTACAAACCATCTAAATACCTATTTTCGAATGAATAATTTTTTTAAGAGGCTAAAAATATACCGGTATATTAAGTAATGTTTACTGAGAGACTGTATATAGGCAATCTGGATACATTTCCTTTGTCTAATATGAAAAAAAATTCCATATTCATGACTGGTTTTCTTAATATTTCTTTGAACATGACGGGTCCGCGCTGTTTACCTTTCCCTGTACAGTAAAATTCATTTAATGCGAACACGGATAGAGCGAATTCACGAATATAGCAAAGTTTTTCGGGGTTCCCAGCAAAATTCTAAAGAAATCTTTGTTAAATTTTACGGTTATAATGAACTCTACAGCGATCTACAGCTTGTTTGATCAAGCTATGGTTACAACACCTTTAAAGAAATGTATTCTAAAATTTGAAAAAAAAAAATGTCTAAACATTTTATTTACTATAGATTTTGACCTTTCAAGGATACTTTGATAAGAGAGGCTCTATAAAACGATTATTCAAAAAGACCATTTTTCAAATTCTGCCCCGCGCAAGATATGCGGTGTCCTTTTTTAATTATATATATAAACAAGTTCTTTGAAGAAACACATATACATGAAAGAAAAATAATATATGAATGGGCAAAACGTTTTAAGAATATAATACGCACTAAATTAAGACAGTGTTGTGTTCTTAATAAAGCGGAGAAACAAAATATAACCTCTCCCCCAAATTTTCTTTTAGCCAAAATTTAAAGACATGCAAAAATATCAAACCCAAGAATGAAACATATTTAGATGACTAACACCATTCTTTTAGTTAATCAGCAAACTATAATTGGCACTCATCTCTTATTGCTAATTTTAAGAAATGAATAAAATTTTTAACCAAGATTTCTGTAGTGTCCAAAAATTTATTTAAGAATCAGATAAGTTCTAATTTAAAATATTTGCCTTTCAATTCATATTTTGTGTAAAGAATGTGGGGTAAATCAAATTCCTTATTAAATAAAATATTTTCCTTGTTCGGCAAACATCAAAAATAGTGTACTAGTATATGAACATTAGAGAATACATTATAGTATGTGTCTTTAATACATACGTATATCTCATATACACATAACACACACATACATGTGTGACTTGCCTTGACCATCACAACGTATACATTGTGTTTGTACGGGAAGGAATAAATATGTATTAAATTGAAAAAAACGTGTATCCAATCCAAACAAAATATGTTCAAATCAAACCATATGTAACATAAATTTGCGTTTTGAATCTTTTTTTTAAATTATACATCAAATTTAAATATTTTATGAAAGTAAAACGTACTGCATGATCTTAAAAAGGGTGTTTTAGTGATTCAATATAATTTTTCAGTATGTGTCACTTAAGTAAAAAATTCATAAATATTAACCTATTGACCTAACTTTGGTTTCTTCGTGGTAGAAAATTCGTATCAATTCATGAAAAACGTGATTCTAAAAAGATCGAATTCCGGGTACCTGATATTTCTTTTGTAGATTAATGCATTATTATATTTTCACAATGTTTCAGTGTTATTGTCTATCAGCTGAACACACGTTATCAAAATGGATACACCAAAGGAGGAGAAAAGTATCCCAAACTTCAGTGAATTTCAATTTTCCTCCCTAAATTCAGTGAGTGATAAGCCAGTGCAAATATCAAAACCCCAGCCTTTCAATGATATCTATTTACCAGACCATAAGTATGATAAAATTACAGCAGGATCCTTAAATATTAGCGAGGCCCAATTAAATTGCGAACCAGGGTCAGTCATGAATGAAAATTGTTCTTCTTTAAGAACGTTTACAGGCAAGCCAGCGTCTGAGATCATCCCCTCAAATTGTGAAACCAAATGCAGTAATAACATTTTGAGTTGGGAAATTCTTCCTAATATTGGTTCGATGAAACATACGACCGGAAATCGAAATTCTCAGGAATTGAGTTCAGGCTGCTTTTCAGCAGAAGTCAAGACCGGAAGACCTGATACACCTCTGCAACCGAGACCGTTGAATACTTTGTCTGCCAGTTCAAAGAGACGTAGATCTTCTCCGGACAAGAAGGCAGAAAGTCGTCCAACAGAAGGGATGAACGAAAGAAAATCTAATGAATGTCACACGGTTTCACCTAAAGAAAACTGTAACATCTCGAGGGGTATCAACAGTCAACTGGCAGTTCCCCGCGAAATTTTGGCCGATGAGATACTGTTACATGATCGTCTGTCCAGTGCAGATAATTTCGACCTGAAATCATCAAGTTCCGTGGGCCAAGATTCTTTAAGCAGTCAAGAGAGCATGAGTTCGAGAAAAGGAAACGGCTGGCAGAACAAATGTGCTCACTCAAGAACCAACAAAAGTCCTCTGTGTGGATTATCCACAGCAACAACACTATCGCCCACGATGTACAGTAACATACGAGCATGCCCCTCCACTTTTACGAGTGATCCCCGGTGTGTTAAATCTTGCAGTGATCTGTTCATTAACAGTAATGATTCACAAGAAATCAGTCTCACCGATGATGATTTTGAGAAAGATGAGAATGGAACTTCAGTAAACTTCAACATTCATCAACATAATAACCTGAATCAACACCTGTCCCATCCCATCAAGAAAAATGTCACCAAAATATCATCCACCGATACAAAACCAGTAAAGACGTGTCTTGAAAACACAGAAAAGAATACGACTCACTCTAAAAATTTCGAAGAAGTGCAAATACCCATGGTCAAAGAAATAAAGAGTGGCGAGCAGACTGAGCCTCAACCTAAAAAGAATAATATCCAAGAATACAAAGAAATGAAGAAAATTAAGAAGACAGCCAATTCTAACAACTCACTGGAGCTGCGCAAAGCCTACGATGTAAAACAGAGAGCTGAAATCAAAAACCTTACTGGTCTGAAATTGAAGAAACCCCAAAATAAAATGAATATCAAACGTAAAAGAATCATTTTTAAAAAGTCTTGTGAATATGAAAAGGGCATACAAAGAGAAAATGATAAAATAGTTTTCTCTGGAGAAGTAAGCAAACACAGGAAGAAAAAACAATTTGTAGTCGATTACACGAAAGAGAACCTAGCGATCTATAGCACTCCCGGAAAGACTCTGTTTGTTAAACTAGAATCTGAAATAAATCACCTTCCTATTGATAATACCAAAAGAATGTATGAGTTGGGAAAGATGAGTCAGACAAGAATTATATTACATCAGGAGGAAAATACTGGCCACGAATATGAGGATGATTATGAGAACGACGAGGATGATCCAACTTCCAATCTTGGTGCTGAGCTCTTCGATTTGAGAAATAACATCAGTCTTTTAGATTCTAGGACTACAAATCGGGAAGCATGTCGCATGGTTGAGAACAGAAGCAGCTATGTGGAAATGGATCGTCAATTAAAAGCTTCATTGGGAATTAGAAAAGAAGTTTCCGCTCAGGCTACCGTTTTTAACGATGATCAGACAACTTCCGAACAGTTTCTATGTGCAACAGCAGCAAAAACTTACGCTTATTCCACAAACCCAGGTCAATCGGTATCTTATTCAGGGTATGTGAGTCTTCCACCAATAGAAATGAACAATTTTGTAGTACAAAGAATTCCCAAGCATTCATTCTCACAAAACAAAACCGGAGGTTTGGCGAAAAATGTTCTGTCTTCACGAAATAAAGCAACGGAGACTTCTCGCAGAAATTTGAGTCAGCGCCATTGGTCTGCTCAAAGTGAAACAAAAGGGATTCAAAAATCATCCATATCTTTGCCCAGTGTAAAGAAGCCAGCTCCCAAATACGACATCGATATCCTGGAGACCCGAGCGAAGGCCCCGTCCTTTGATACCCACTTGGATGGGTAACTTCCGGGTCGATTTCAAAATAAATAGTTATTATTTTTAGGAATTATAAAAGTTAATGTTTGAATCAGCACTGTACAAAAACAATTAACGGGGTGGAAAAAAAGTTATTACCATTTAATTGTCATAAAAGACTTGTTTTCACGCAACGTAAGAACTGCCATCAACTACAATTTTCACTCACAATTAAAATGTAAAAATCAGAGAATTTCACATTTTTTAATTATTTCCTTCGTTTCATTACTAACATTATACATTAACTGACTGAGTTTGAAAACAACAAGCCTTTTGTCGGACCCAAGATCTAAACTATTTGCCTGGCGTCGTTTGCGAAGACAAACAGTTGGTGTTAGAAGGGAAGCCAAATTGCATTTTGCCCAAACAAAGTCGACAAATATTGTTATACTTTTCACTTTCCTTACACTGACATATATATTTGCTATATTCGGACAAACACAAAAACCTATATTATATATGCAAAGATGAAGTCACATATATGTATATATTCACGTTCGATATTGTCAAAATTTTACACAATGCACGATATCTAATTTAACCTTTATTAAACAGTTCTAGTAGATGTAATAAGAATATAAAGTCCACCGAGAACCTGTTTTATACGTAACAACTCTCCTCATGCCCCTGAGCTAAAAATAGCAACATGTAATACAACAAATACTAATAAAACAAACGGGACGGGACACTTTGAGAGGGGTGAGAGAGGTCCTAGGGAGTTTCGGTATAAAATTACATTGCAAAAGCTCAAAATCTTCTTGAAATATCGCTCGGAAATGATAGTGTTTCATAAAGACAGAATGTATAAATTTACGACCTTGAACTTTGGTTTATGGATGAAATGTGAAATCATGTAACTTAGCACATCTTAAAGGTGGGTCATTTCGTCATAGCGCAAACCATATTGATGAAATACACTTAGAACATGCCATGAAGGTAAATACATTTGTGGTAATGATTAAAGTATCCACAATGATGAACAAAGAAATGTCTGCATTTTCATTCAAAATTCACAATAAAAAATCACTCCTTTATTTAATTTTATTATGAAAATGAAACACAAAAAACACAGAGATACATGTAAAAAATGACAGGAAAAAACCTTATGACCTACTAGTATCTCTATGCCTCCCTTGCCGCCCAGGAAAAACCATAGATAACTAAGCAGAAAAACTATGGAAACCTGTGTGTCTGCGGCAAATGCAAGGTCAGCGTCAGGAATGGCAGACCCTCATTCTTACAAACCTAACTACATGTATATAAAATTAAATAAAACTGAGGACTTAAAAATGATTAAATTATTACAAGATAAATCCATTTTAGTATATACAAATCAGTAAAATTGGGTCAATCTTAAAAATGTTCTTTAATCATAATTAAAAAAAAAAACCTCATAAACCTTTATGCAAATTTCATAACTTTACATTTGTCTAGTACAAAATTTTGCAAATTGATTCACAAATTGCATATTTTGTTATTTCAAATACTTAAAAAAAACACATCTTAAATATTTTTTATTCATAATAACAAATTTGGACATTTAAAAATCCTATAATTTAAAAAAAAATCATTAATTTACAGTTTAGGACGTATGCAAAAAACAATATACACTTAACACTTTTAAAAGTTAAAAAAAATAAAAGTACAAAAAAAAATTTATATTTCAGTATACAAAGTATATAAAAAAAATCGTACAAATATGCAGTAAAAAAAAGCAAATAAATATTAAGTTTGGTAAGTGTAAGTTTGGTACATATGTCACTTGAAATACCATAAATTCAATTAAGATAATAAACCTTCATGTGCGCGCTTATGAATGAATGCAAGCAACAGGTATTTATATACCCCCACCCCCCCCACACACACACACAAAATTTTAATTAAAATATGGTTAAGAACCACAGGTTTATTGATTTCATGTATAAAGTATATTTACATCATTTTTAGTAGTCTTGTGAAGATTGGTGAAGATGTAAAATTTATTGAAATTCTTCTCATAATAAAAAATACGGTATATAAAATCAGAAGTCTCTCAAGAGCTTTTAGTTCTAATGTTGTATACTTATACTAAAGATTAAATTTACAGTTGTTAATCTTGTGATATTGGACTAATCATGTGGTGTAAAGTTTTAAAATGTTAAACGATTATTTATTTTTAGCATCCATGGTAAAACTATGAGTCATCAAACAAGAGGCCCATGGACCACATCGCTCACCTGATTAACTGTGGTGATGAGTTATAATTTCCCCTTTGTTATACCTATTGTGGTTATGCAACCAAATTTTATATTTATGAAATTACCTCGAGTATGCTATAGGTATAAATTATAGCTTTCCTGGCTTTTTGTAAAAAGGAAAAATTTTTATAACATTTCTATAAACAAATTGTGATTCCCTCATTTTGTTGCCCCGCCAACCATGAATTTAACAATTTGAATAGTATATAAAAAATGTACACAAAATTTAAATTCAGTCATATCAGAACTATAGTATGAACAATTTGATAGAATTTCACAGCAGCTAGTTTATACCATTTTTAGTAGTCGTTCGTATGGTGCAGTAGTTAAAGACGTTGATCCTTACGTCGCGGGTTCGAATCCCACTGAGGGACGTGGAGACCGGTCCTTCGGATGTGACTCCACAAGCCGAAGTCCCGTGTCGCAGTTGGTGCTGGCACAAAAAAGATCCTTCATTGCTCAATGGCCTCGAGTGCCGAGTATAGGTATAAATTTGCAGCCCTCCACCGGCCAAGTGGTGGTGTCTCGATATGAGAAAAAATTTGTTATAGGGATTTTGAACAAATAAACAAATGACAATAATATCACCGTTTGTTGAAAAAAAATAATTAATCGAAGAACATAGTAGAAATTAGAATATCATAAATGATTTGTTTAGAACAACCATCCATTTACTTCACTATTTATTTCGCGTTTTGTATTATCTCCAAAACGGATTAGCATACATACATGTACAAATTTTTATTTAAATTTTTTACATTCATAAAGTAAGCTGTATTGCAAATTTATGGTACTTTGAAAATAAATATGACATTATATACGTTTTGTAATAAAATAGAAGTCACTCCAGTACAAATGCAAGTTTGGTAAAAAAATGCAAAAGTTTGGCTTAAATTAAAAAAATATACGCACACACTTTAAAATAAAATATTCTAATAAATTAAAAAAACAAAGTGCAAGTTTGGTAAGGCAAGTTTGGCTTATATGATTTAAATTGACAACAAAAACAGTACACAAAGTGCAACACTTGGTATATGTTTTACATAAATTTGCTTAATATGTACACACTTTAAAAATAAAAAAAAAAAAAGGCAAAAAAGTGCAAGTTTGGTAATAAAACAACAAGTTTGGCTTAAATTAAAAAAATATGTGCACACTTACAACAATAACAATACTTAAATAAAATTAAATAAAACAACAAAATTGCAAGTTTGGTAAGGCAAAAGTTTGGCTTAATAATGTAAACTTAAGTTTGGTAAGGCATTTAACGACAAAATTTCACTTCAATAAATATGTAAAATAATGAATAAAACAATAAAAGTGCAAGTTTGGTTAGGCAAGTTTGGCTTAAAAGAAACAGATACGTACACACTAATTACAATAACATAATGTGAACTAAATAATAAAACAACAAAGTTGCAAGTTAAATAACAAAGGCACACACTCTATCAATTTGGCTTAAATGAAAAAAAAACAACAGTGCAAGTTTGGTAAGGCAAGTTTGGCTTAAATTAAAAATGATCATCACACACTTACGTCAATAACATGTCTAAATAAAATTAATAAAACAACAAAGTGCAAGTTTGGTAAGGCAAGTTTGGCTTAAATTAAAAATACGCACACACTCTATCAATAACATATGTCTAAATAAAATTAATAAAACAAAAAATTGCAAGTTTGGTGAGGCAAGTTTTGCTTAAATGATAGAGATGCCTACATACTAATTTCAAAAACATGAGTCTAAACAGAATTAATAAAAAACAAAAACACAAGTGCAAGTTTGGTAAGGCAAGTTTGGCTTAAATGAAAAAGATACATACACTCTATTACATTAACATATGTCTAAATGGGATTAATTAAATAACAAAGGCACAAGTTTGGCTTAAATGAAAAAAAAAATGCGTAAACATCCAAAACAATTTTTTAATAAAACAACAGTGCAAGTTTGGTAAGGCAAGTTTGGCTTAAATTAAAAATACGCACACACTCTATCAATAACATATGTCTAAATAAAATAATAAAACAACAGTGCAAGTTTGGTAAGGCAAGTTTGGCTTAAATTACAAATACGCACACACTCTATCAATAACATATGTCTAAATAAAATTAATAAAACAAAACAAAGTGCAAGTTTGGTAAGGCAAGTTTGGCTTAAATTAAAAATGATAATCAAATACTTACTTCAATAACATATGTCTAAATAAAATTAATAAAACAACAAAGTGCAAGTTTGGTAAGGCAAGTTTGGCTTAAATTAAAAATACGCACACACTCTACCAATAACATATGTCTAAATAAAATTAATAAAACAACAGTGCAAGTTTGGTAAGGCAAGTTTGGCTTAAATTAAAAATACGCACGCACTTATAATCAATAACATATGAGTGTCAAAAACAAAAATATAAAATAACAAAAGTGCAAGTTTGGTAAGGCAAGTTTGGCTTAAATGAAGAAGATATGAACTCATTTATGACAATAATATATGTCTAAATGAAATTAATAAAATAACAAAAGTGCAAGTTTGGTAAGGCAAGTTTGGCTTAAATTAAAAATACGCACACACTCTATAAATAACGTATGTCTAAATAAAATTTATAAAACAACAGTGCAAGTTTGGTAAGGCAAGTTTGGCTTAAATTAAAAATACGCACACACTCTACCAATAACATATGTCTAAATAAAATTAATAAAACAACAGTGCAAGTTTGGTAAGGCAAGTTTGGCTTAAATTAAAAATACGCACACACTCTACCAAAAACGTGTATAAAGATAATAAATAAAGTAATAAAACAACAGTGCAAGTTTGGTAAGGCAAGTTTGGCTTAAATTAAAAATACGCACACTTATATACAATAACACACGTCTAAATAAAATAAATAATATAAAACAAAAGTGCAAGTTTGGTAAGGCAAGTTTGGCTTAAATTAAAAATATGATATGAAAAAGTAACGTACACGCTTATAAAAAAACGTATGCCTAAAATAGAATTAATAAAATAGCAAAATTGCAAGTTTGGTAAGGCAAGTTTGGCTTAAATTAAAAAGATATTAATTTCACACTTATCTTAATAACATATATCTAAAAAAAATTAATAAAACAACAAAAATGCAAGTTTGGTAAGGCTAGTTTAGTCTTAATGAAAAAATACGTTCATACTTAATACAATAACAAATGTCTTAGCAGAAATAAAATAACAAAAGTGCAAGTTTGGTAAGGCAAGTTTGGCTTAAATGAAAAATATATGTACATTTATAACAATAACGTATGTCTAAATAGAATTAATAAAATAACAAAAGTGTAAGTTTGGTAAGGACAAGTTTGGCTTAAACTGAAACTGATACTTATGTCAAAAACACACGTCTAAATAGAATTACTAGTAATAAAATAACAAAAGTGCAAGTTTGGTAAGGCAAGTATGGCTTCAATGCAAGTTTGATAAAACAAGTCTGGTGTAAATTAAAACCGATACGCACACACTTATATCAATAACACACGTCTAAATAGAATTAATTAAACAGCAAAACTGCAAGTTTGGTAAGGACAAGTTTGGCTTTAATGAAAAAGATGTACAAATTTTTAACATTATCATGTCTAAATTGAATTAGACATGTGTCCAAATAAATAAACAGAAAAATTGCAAGTTTAGTAAGGCAAGTTTGGCTCAAATGAAAAAATAAACCATTTACACGTATATACTTATAACAACACATGCCTATATAAAATAAAAATACAACAGAAGTGCAAGTTTGGTAAAGTGCAAGTTTGGTAAGGGTAAGTTTGGCTTAAATGATAAAGATACGTACATATAACAAAAGTCTAAATTAAAAGAATAAAACAACAGAATGCAAGTTTGATAAAGGAAAGTTTAACAGTTTAACCTTAGTGAAAAAAATGATTGTACATACACATAACAATAACAAAATAAGGACATAAGTGCAAGTATGGTAATGTCAAGTTTAGTTAATATGCCACATTTATTGAAATACCCTGAACAAAAAATGCAAGTTTGCTTAGGATAGTTTGGTCAATATTCCATAGTTATTAATAACACTATCAAATGTATATGTTTTTATAATTACAATTATTATTATTACTATTAAAAGTAGATTAAACAATTAAAGTGCAAATTCTTGAACAAGAAAACAAATTCTTTGATTAATTAAATTAAAACAGAGGAGCTAGTTTGGCAAGGCCAGGTTAGGTTTACTAGTAACTGCGTAACAATATAAAATGCTTAAATAAGGTAAATAAAACAGCAGAATGCAAGTTTCATAAGAGCTCTTTAAGATGCCACAGGCGTTCATTAATATACTCATACAAATAATTTGTGTGGAAGTTTGTTTAAGATGTCAGGGATTTTATTTAAATACTTTTAACAATAACAAATACTTAACTCATTTCAATAAAGCTACAGAAGCGCAAGTTGTTGAAGATCCAAGGATATTTATTTATTCATAAAAATGTCAAGTACTTGGATAAATTATTTAGATATTTTATAGTTTGTTTATTCTACTCCCTTTTCGAGCATTTGTCACTCATATTGAGACGCCACCACTTGCCGTTGGAGGACTGCAAATTTATGACCTATGCTCGGAAGGTAGGACTATTGAGCAGTGAGGAATCTTTTTCGTGCCAGCACCTACTGCGCCATGGGCCTTCGGTTTATACGGTCTCATCCGAAGGTCTAGACTCCACGTCCCTCAGTGGGATTTGAACTCCCCGACGTAAGTATCAACTCAATTAAAGATTTAATCTTGGATTAAAGAAAAACTAGTGTATTTAGACATTTCAAAAGTAAACGTTTGGTAAGGGAAGTTTGATTCAGATGCCACAGATACAGTATTAATATAATTTTCAAAGCTCAAAGATTAGTGCAAATTTAGTTTTGGGTACATTTAGTTAAAGATATTAAAGGTAAGCGTAAGATCATAAAATAACATACCTGGATCAATGATATAAAAATAGCTTAAGAACCATAAGTGTTAGTTTGGTAAGGGCAGGTCTTATTTAAAGGTCATACGTATTTTTTTTAATCAAACCGAAAACAAATATATGTACTAGAATATAGATGGTTACAAAAACCCGAATCACTTTAAGTTTGTTGAAGATACCGAAGGCATTAACATATTCCTAACAATAAGTGATACGTTCAAGTAAATGAAGTAAAAAAGTTAAGTGTTTGATAAGGACATGTTTGCCACAGGAATTTTCATAATCAGGTATCTCATCAAGATTAGAAATAGTTAAAGAAAGGGAATCTCACAATTACCAAACTTAAGTACAAGCTCGTTTAGAAGCCTGCAGATACAAATAATAATAACCAAACACAACAAACAGTACATATGACAGGTACAAAAACAAAACAAAATTAATAAAAACAACAGAGATAAAAACATAATCTAAACTAAAAACAAATAATACAAGCACATTCAATAAAATTTGAATAGAAATAGCTTAGTTTACATGCTACATGAATAAATGCTCTTAACAATAACAAATATCTAGATACAGTTTTAAATCAATATGGGTTGTAGTCATCAGTACTCTTTTAATCCTTCCTCAATCACGACCGTATGTTTTTAGACATGGGACTGGGGCTTCGTTAACCGTCTGCCTGTTAATAAAAAACATTCATTAAGCTTTTAGCTCAGGTGAGCTCAAATAGGAAAATATACAAGATAAAGAGCCTAAATCTTACCGAATCATCCCAAGTTAGCAGTAGTTGTTAGGGAATCTCCTATTGAATGTTCGTCCACGCCATGCAGCTAAAACTCCCAACCTATGAAAACAAAAAACGTTAAAGTATTAAGTCTCCATTAGTTAAGCAGATGTAGTTTCAACTGAGACAGAGTGAGCAGAGCAACACTATAATCTTCTTACCAGTTTTCGTGCCTCATTTCACTGGACTCTTTTTGGAAAGCAGGCTGCTCTCAGATGGAAAAGGAGACAAGTCTTCTGTTCATCTATAAAACAAAAATCGAATAGAACTAAACAGCAATATAACTCGCAAAGACTTCAACAAATGACAAACAGAACTGAATTCATACAAAAGGGGAGTTTGTGTCTTACTCTCAAATCCGTGTTAGGAATGTTTGTATATGTCCTCTCTGGTTGAGAGTGATCAAGTCGTCATCCATAGGATTGACTCTTCTTGAGCATCTTCTGTTGACTTAAACATAGAATGAAATATTACAAGTGCAACATTAAGACAAGTGAGAAAAAGAAACAATAATCCAAAAGAGAAACAAATGCAGTAAAATTCTTACCACTTTAACTATTATTGGCCTGTTTTCACAGTAGATTCTACGTGCCTGGATCCTTGCAATGGTCACTCTTAGAAGTCTGGCCGGCAACATCTGTCTGTTCTTCCTTCTCCACTGTGTCCTAGTCAATCTTAAAAACTAATATGAGATAAGTTTATTTAAAAAAAATAATTTAAAAGCATGCCCCAAAACCAATTCATCTCACCTATTATATCTGGTTTTAAAACAAAAATCTAACCTTTCCTTGATCTTTGGTTGCTAAGTGACTCTAAGTCTTATTGTTTTCAATGGGCCATTTGGCTCTACATCATATCAATGGAAAGCTTAGAGGTCAAAATGGGTCTAACTCTAGATCTTGTTAAAGCAAATAAAAAGCGTGCCATAAAAGGTGATATAATCTTTACCACATCATTCCAAACTGCCTGTCGTTGATAGTTGCTTTATGCAAGCTGCATCTGCAAAGTGAAAAAAGGGGATTAATCACTGGACTCTTCTTAGGGGAACCGACTGCTCTCAAATAGGTAATAGGACAATACTTCTATCTGTAAATGAAAAACAAGAGACCCATGGGCCTTACAGGTCACCTGAGAATCATGCAACAACTTTCAATTGATATAATTTGGTTCATGTTTTAAGGTAGATGCTATGGCATTCAAACTTTTGAAAGAGGCTGGCACCATTGCTAATCATAACTATGAACTTAGCAATTGCTTAGTTTGGTTACTTAGCTTCCTTAATACCCAAAGGCAGGGTAAGGGAACAAAAAATGCATATCAACTAATCAGTAATATTCAGCAATAATCAGAAGTGCCCCTACCACACATGAACCCCTGACCCTAGGTCCACACATTGCACAATTTTTGAAAAGGCACACTTGCTTATCAAAAATGTTTGATTAATACCAAGGATCAGATTTCAAACAATTCATTTTCACTTTCAGTATATAAATAGTGCCCCCCCCCCATGGTATCCCTGACCCAGGGGCCTGGAAATTCACAATTCTGAAAGAAGAACCCTTGCACATCATAACTATATAGGTAGTTCATCTGCTTATTACCCAGGAGCAGAGAAGAAGATTTTCAAAGAATTTATGTATTTTCACTATATAATCATTATAGAGCCCCACCCTAACACCAGAACCCCTGACCCTGGGGCCATAAAATTCACAATTTTGGTAGAGACATTCTTGCTCATCATAACTATGTACTTAGTTTATTTAATACTCAGGAGCAGAGATGAAGATTTTCAAAGAATTAATGCATTTTCACTTTATAATCAATGGAGCCCCGCCATTACACCAGAACCACTGACCTTGGGGCCATAAAATTCACAATTTAGAAGAGGTACTCTTGCTCATCATGACTATGTGCAGAAGCAGAGAATAAGATTTTCAAAGAATTAATGCATTTTCACTATATAATCAATAGAGCCCCGCACTAACTCCAGAACCCCTGACCCTGAGGCCATAAAATTCACAATTTTAGAAGACACATTCTTGCTCATTATAACTATATACTAAGTTAGTTCATTTGATACTCAGGAGCAAGAAGAAGATTTTCAAAGAAATAATGCATTTTCACTATGTAATCAATAGAGCCCCACCCTAGCACTAGAACCCCTGACCCTGGGGCCATGAATTTCAAAATTTTGGTAGAGGACTGAATGCTGATAACAATCATGCCAAAAGTTTGACTGTTTGATTTCCAGGAGTAAAGAAGAAGATTTTTAAAGATTGCAATAATTTTAGTGGTTTTGGCCACACCCCCAGGCCCCAGGGGGGTAGGGACCATGAAATTAACAATTTTTGTTCCCCTTTACCCATAGATGCTATATGCCAAAATTGGTTGAAATTGGTTCAGTGGTTTCAGAGAAGAAGCTGAAAGTGTTGAAATGTTAACACACGACGGACGACGAACGACAAACGACGAACGAAGACGGACGTAAACAGATAGCAATAGGTCACCTGAGTAAACTCAGTAAAAAATGGAGTCAAGAACAAAAAAGTGCAAATATTTCATAAAATAGCAAAGGGAAATAAAATCTCACATGGTAGAAGTTTACCCCTTACCCTCAATTCCACATTATCGACTGTTGTCCATTCTTACACTCTGTGCTCTGGAACAGAGCGATCAAATCGTACTCCATAGAAAGGCTGATTCCTGCCAAACTGTACATCTGTTACATTAAACATAGAAAGAGGTCAAACTGGTGTACCACTCAGATCAAGTAAGGACAGAAAACAAAAATCAAGTGAGAACAGAAAACAACAAGAGGCCCAAGGGCCTTATAGGTCACCTGAGTATTGTGTAACAACTTTCAAACAAATAACTTTGGTTCGTGTTTTAAACCAGAGGCCATGAAATTCACAATTCACAATTTTGAAAGAGGCACCATTGCTTATCATAATTATAAACTTAGCATGCTTACTCTATTTTTTTAATACCCAGAGGTTAATAAAAGTAACAAAGAGAAAATGCACTTCCACTTTATAACAAGTTTTGCACCTCACCCCAAAGGAACTACTGACCCTGGAGCCACATATTTCAAAATTTTGCAAATTTTATCATAAAATGGTTGATTAATACCGAAGAGCAGATTTCAAAGCATTAATGCTGACTATAAAAGTTTGGAAGAGACCCTCTTGTTTATCATAACTATGTGCTTAGTCAGTTTATTTGATACCCAGAAGCAGAGAAGATTTTCAAAGAATACATGCATTTTCACTATATAATCTATATATCTCCTCTTAGCACTAGAACCCCTAGCCCTGGGGCCATAAAATTCACAATTTTGGAAGAGGCGCTCTTGCTCATCATAACTATGTGCTTAGTTAGTTTATTTATTACCTAGAAGTGTAGAAGAAGAATAAATAATGCAGTTTCACTTTATAATCAATAGAGCCCCGCCCTAACACCAGAACCCCTGACCCTGGGGCCATAAAATTCACAATTTTGGAAGAGGTTCACTTTATAATTAGTTTATTAAATATCCAGAAGGAGAGAAGAAGATGATTTTCAAAGAAATAATGCATTTTCATTATACAATCTATATAGCCCCTCCCTAACACTAGAACCCCTGACCCTGGGGCCATAAAATTCAAAATTTTGGAAGAGGCGCTCTTCCTCATCATAACTATGTGCTTAGTTAGTTTATTTAATACCCAGGAAGAGAGAAGAAGATTTTCAAAGAAATAATGCAGTTTCACTATATAATCTATATAGCTTTGCCCTAGCACTAGAACCCCTGGCCCTGGGGCCATAAAATTCTAAATTTTGGAAGATGCAGTCTTGCTCATCATAACTATGTGCTTAGTTAGTTTATTTATTACCTAGAAGCAGTGAAGAAGATTTTCATAGAAATAATGCATTTTCACTATAAAATCAATAGAACCCCGCCCTAACACCAGAACCCCTGACCCCGGGGCCATAAAATTCACAGTTTTGGAAGAGGCACTCTTGCTCATCATAACTATGTATTTAGTTAGTTTATTAAATACCCAGAAGGAGAGAAGAAGATTTTTAAAGAAATAATGCATTTTCACTATATAATCTATATAGCCCTGCCCTAGCACTAGAACCCCTGACCCTGGGGCCATGAATTTCACAATTTTGGTAGAGGACTCAATGCTCAATACATTCATGCCAACAGTTTGCCTGCTTGATGTCCAGGAGTAAAGAAGGAGATTTTTAAAGATTGCAATACTAATTTCACAATTTATGTTTTGCTTCACCCATAAATGCTGTATACCAAATTTGGTTGAAATTGGTTCAGTGGTTCAAAGAAGAAGCTGAAAATGTTCAAATGTTAACACACAACGGACGGCGGACGACGGACGACGACGGACGAAAACAGATAGCAATAGGTCACCTGAGTTACTCAGTTGACATAAAAATCAAAAAGTGCAACAAATACATTGCGTTTCTTACCATGTTTGCTATTTTTACCTGTTTTCATGGTAGATACTTTGGATCCTTATAATATTTCCTCCTCTTCTTTGCGTGCCCGGCTGCTCTATCCTCCATTCTGTCCCTTTCAAAGATAGAAACTAATACAAGATTAGTTAAATCAAAAAAATTATTGAGAAATGTACCAAAAGAAAAAACAATCAACTCACCTCATGTCTGGTTTCTAAGACAAAAACCAAACCTTCTAGCAATCCGTTGTTGCTTAACGGAAATGTGTCCAGCTGCTTCCGAAGGAACTTGCGGTCATTCAGCCTGTCAATTGAAAATGTATGGACTCAGTATGCCCCAAATGAACACAATCTATTTATATACAACATGTCATAAACAAGAGGCCCATGGGCCTTATAGGTCACCTGAGCATCATGCAACAACTTTCAAATGATTGACTTTGGTTCATGTTTTAAGCTATGGCATTCACAATTTTGAAAGAGGCACCATTGCTAATCATAACTATACACTTAGCAATTGTTTAGTTTGTTTACTTCATACCCATAATCAGGGTAGGGGAACAAAAATGCATGTCAACTAATCAGTAATATTCAGCAATAATCAGGAGTGCCCCTATCACACATGAACCCCTGACCCTAGGTCTACAAATTGCACAATTTTTGAAAAGGCACACTTGCTTATCAAAAATGTTTGATTAATACCAAGGAGCAGATTTTGAAACAATTCATTTTCAGTATATAAGTAGACCCCCCCCCCCTCTCTTTGGGATCCCTGACCCAGGGGCCTTGAAATTCACAATTCTGGAAGAATAGCCCTTGCACATCATAACTATATAAATAGTTTTCCCATGGTAGAGAAAAAGATTTTCATAGATGTAATGTATTATCACTATATAATCATTATAGAGCCACGCCCTCACACCATAACCCCTAACCATGGGGTCATAAAATTCGCAATTTTGGTAGAAGCATTCTTGCTCATCATAACTATGTCCTTAATTAGTTTATTTAATACCTAGAAATAGAGAAGAAGCTTTTCAAAGAATAAATGCCTTTTTACTATATAATCAATATTCAATGGAGCCCCGCCTTAACACCAGAACCCCTGACCCTGGGGACATAAAATTCACAATTTTGGTAGAAGCACTCTTGCTCATCAGAACTATGTACTTAGTTAGTTTACATAATACCTAGGACAAGAGAAGAAGATTTTCAAAGATTTAATGCATTTTCACTATATAGTCAATAGAGCCCCACCCTAATACCAGAATCCCTGACCCTGGGGCCATAAAATTCACAATTTTTGTAAAGACACTCATGCTCATCAGAACTATGTACTTAATTAGTTTATTTAATACTCAGGAACAGAGAAGAAGATTTTCAAAGAAATAATGCAGTTTCACTATATAATCAATACAGCTCCGCCCTAACACCATAATCCCTGACCCTGGGGCCATAAAATTCACAATTTTGGTAGAGGCACTCTTACTCATCAGAACTATGTACTTAATTAGTTTATTTAATACCCAGTATCAGAGAAGAAGGTTTCCATAGAATTTATGTATTTTTACTGTATAATCAATAGAGCCCCGCTCTAAAACCAGAACCCCTGACCCTGGGGCCATGAATTTCATAATTTTGGCAGAAGACTCAATGCTGATTACAATCATACCAACAGTTGGACTGCTTGATGTCCAGGAGTAAAGAAGAAGATTTTTAAAGATTGCACTAATTTTAGTGGTTTTTGCCCCACCCCCCAGGCCTCAGGGAGGCAGAGACTATGAAATTCACAATTTTTGTTCCCCTTCACCCATAGATGCTATATGCCAAATTTGGTTGAAATTGGTCCAGTGGTTTCAAAAGAACAAAATGTTCAAATGTTAAAGCATACAACATGTCATAAAAAATTCCCCACCTTACCACATCATCAAAAGTTTGCAGTTGTTCATTCTGCAGACTGTTATTCATTGTTCCACCAAGCTAGGCAAATCCCCTTCTGCTAAATAAATAGTTCTAATTATCCTTCTGTTTAGCAAATGTAACATACGATCAAAAAGAGTGAACAAAGCAATGAGATATTATTTTTTCTTCTCTAACTTACCTGCAGAATTGATCGAAGTGTATTGGACTCTTCTTTTGATGACTAGATTTCTCTCAAACAGGAGGATGGAGGCAAGTCTTTCTTCATTAAGACAATTAAATGAAAGACAATAAAAGGGGTAAAATGTTAAAAAGTTGTCAAATAACTAAATGAGAAAATTTCACAAGGAGAAATCTGTCTCTTACCCTCAATTCCATGTTAGGAATGTTGTCCATCCTTACTATTGGTGCTCTCATTTAAGAGTAATCCACACGACCTCAACAGCAAGACTGATTTTTGTCAAGCTTTTTGTCTGTAGATAGAAAAAATAGAGATATTAAGCAAATCCATCAATTGGATCAAGTGAGAATAGAAAACAAAACAAAAAACCCCAAATGCAACAAATGCAGTTGTTTCTTACCAAGTTGTCTATTGTTGCCTTGTTGTCATAGTGGTACTCTGTATCTGCATCCTTGCAATGCTCTGCTTTTTGTTGTATAGCCTGCCACTGTTTGTATGTCTGCCACTGTCTGTATTACAATGGGAAAGTACATGTGCTAGTTATGTTTGAAAGAGTTTAACTTAGAAATCGAACTAAAGAAATTATTCAGCTCACCTCATATCTAGTTTTTAATACAAAAACCTTTTTACTTAGTCCTTAGTTGCTAATTGGCTACAGGTTTGGCTGCTTTCGGTGGGACCTTCTATCAAACAGCCTGTCAATTAAACAGTTTAGAGGTCAAATGGGACTCATTCTAGCTCATCTGAACACAATTTATAAAATTAATCAAAATGTCATGGAAAAGAGCCTACATCTTACCGCTTCATCCAAAGATGGTAATTGTTGATTCGGCAAAATCCTTTTAAATGTTGCTCCATGACAGCTTAATCCCATTCTGATAAAAAAAAAAACAGATGTCAAAGATCTAAGTTTCCCTCAGTTGATCAAATGCAACTTAAATCCAGAAAGAGATAAAAGAACAAGGATGTATAACTAAATCTTCTCAGCCTTACCCGTAGAATTGACCGCTGTGTGCTGGGCTCTCCTTTTGATACCAGATTGCTCTTAAACAGGAGGATGGAGGAAAGTCTATTTTTCACAAAAAAAATAATAATAATAAATGAAAGTCAATAAAAGAAGAAAAATATGTCGAGACTTTGTCAAATAACTAAAGGAGATATTTTTACAGAGAAAGTTCATCTCTTACTGTCAATTCCATGTTAGGAATATTGCTCATCATTACTCTTGGGGCTCTCATTGAGGAGTCATCCAGTTGACCCCTGCAGCGGGACTGATTCTTGGCAAGTTTATGTCTGTTGATGAAAAATAGAAGGAGATTAAACAAGTGGACATTTGCTTCAAGTGAGAACAGAAAACAAAAAAGCCAAAATTGCAATGAATGCAGTTGTGTCTTACCAAGTTGACCATTGTTTGCCTGGTGTCATAGCACAAATCCATATTTGGATCCTTGCAATGGTTTTCTCTTCTGGTGGGTCGTACTGTCATATGAGCTCTCAATTAAAAAGTGTAGGGGTCAAATGGAACTCAATCTAGGTCATGCGAACACAATATATAAATAATCAAAATCTCATGGAAAAGAGCCTGCATCTTACCACATCATCCAAAGATGGCAGTTTTGATTCGGTAAACTCCTATTCAATGTTGCTCCATGATAGTCATATCCCCTTCTGATAAAGAAAAAAGAGAAGTCAAATTTCTTAAGAACTGCGAACGATAGTATTGTTCTCCCGCCTACCTCCAAGTAAATTTTTAAAAGTTAACATGTTCGATGAATTGATATTTTTTATAAATAATTATATGGATTTTCATAAAACAATACTTTTTTGGGAAAACAAAGAGAGATGGCTCTAAAATTTTGGCGAAACTTATGGGTTTTTTTACTATAGAAAGCAACAGAAAACGGAAAATATTTTTAAAACATCTTTCCCCCCGTGTTACAAAAATTCCTTTTTACAGGTAATATGGACTGTTATTTCACAAATTCATACCAAGGCTTTTTGTGTGACATGGGGGGGGGGGCATATGTTTATTGACAAAAAACTACAAAAATGCTTATTTTCCACCAAATCCAAAGCGATTTACAACTGAAACATTACATATTTCTTTCCTTCAGTTGATCAAATGTAACATAAATCCAGAAAGAGATAAAAGAGTAAGGAGGCATAACTTATTAGAACCTTTAGAATTGGCCGCTGTGTGCTGGACTCTCCTTTTGATACCAGATTGCTCCCAAATAGGAGGATGGAGTCAAGTCTATTTTTGATTAAAAAATTAAATGAAAGTCAATACAAGGGCTTTTTCAAACTCTAAATGAGAAAATTTCACAGTTTGTCTCTTACTGTCAATTCCATGTTAGGACTGTTGCCCATCATTACTCTTGGTGCTCTCATTGAGGAGTCAGCCTGTTGACCCCCGCAGCGGGACTGATTCTTGGCAAGTTTGTGTCTGTTGATTGAAACATAGGTAATCAGAGATTACAGAGCTCACCTCAACGAATGTTGTCTTTAAATAAGGCAAAGTCACACAATTAACCAACAAAAAATGTACATTCCAAAAATGAAAATATCTAAGCAATTTTGATCTGATACTTTGAAGTAGACCAACATAAAAAATTTAAAGTAGTTCTTCTTCATGAAAATGTAATTCAGCATCTAAAGCAAATTTGAGTTTTCATCTCTTGATGCAACATTTGTGCAAGTTTGGTTTATACAATGTTATAAAAGCCTTAAAGTTTTTTGGTAATAGACCTGCAACCATAACTTTAACCTGGTCTATTATCTGAAAAATATATATGTCGAATTCAGCATCCGAAGCAAGTCCATTAGTGTGCATCCTAAGATGTATCGTCCATGCAAGTTTGCACATTATAAGGCTCATAGTTAATTGGAAATGAAACATACATCAAAAACTAACATTTTCACTCATCCACAAAATGTAGGTCAGATTCAGCATCCGAAGCAAGCCTGGTAGTATGCATCCTAAGATGTATCATCCATGCAAGATTGGTCATTAAAGAACTCATAGTTACTTGGAAATGAAACCTGCACCAAAAACTTTTACTTGTTCACTCAACCGGAAAATGTAGGTCAGATTCAGTATCCGAAGCAAGCCCGGTAGTGTGCATCCTTAGATTTATCATCCATGCAAGTTTGGTCAACATAGGGCTTAAAGTTACTTGCAAATGAAACCTGCTCCAAACACTTTAACCTGTTCACTCAACTGGAAAATGTAGGTCAGATTCAGCATCCGAAGCAAGCCCGGTAGTATGCATCCTTAGATGTATCATCCATGCAAGTTTGGTCAACATAGGGCTTATAGTTACTTGGAAATGAAACCTGCACCAAAAACTTTAACCTGTTCACTCAACCGGAAAATGTAGGTCAGATTCAGCATCCGAAGCAAGCCTGGTAGTATCCATCCTTAGATGTATCATCCATGCAAGTTTGGTCAACATAGGACTTACAGATAGTTGGAAATGAAACCTGCACCAAAAAACTTTAACCTGTTCACTCAACCAGAAAAAGTAGGTCAGATTCAGCATCCGAAGCAAGCCCGGTAGTATGCATCCTTAGATGTATCATCCATGCAAGTTTGGTTAACATAGGGCTTATAGTTACTTGGAAATGAAACCTACACCAAAAACTGCACCAAAAATGTTAACCTGCTCCAAAAACATTAACCTGGTCATTCCTTTGCTAAAATTGCAGCATCTGAAACTTTGACTGGTACAATGAAACACACTAGAACCATCTTCCATGCATGTCTAATCAATATAGGACATAGAAGTACTTAAAAAGAAAACTGCTCCAAAAAACTTAACCTTAACCCGGGACGCCGACGCCGACACCGACGCCGACACCGACACCGACACCGACGCCGACGCCGAGGGTATTACATAAGCTCCCCCAACTTCGTTGAGGTGAGCTAAAAATAGAAAGAGATCATATAAGTGAACATTAGGAATCAGGTGAGAATAGAGAACAAAAAAAAAAAAAAAATTGCAACGATGCAGTTGTGTCTTACCAAGTTGATTATTGTTGGCCTGTTGCCATAGTGAATACTCTGTATCCAGATTCTTGCAATGCTCTCCTATTTGTTGTGCTATTGGCCACTGTCTGTCTGTCTGTCTGTCTTATACTCCTCTACGCCCATCTCAAAAGACAGAAACTGATACAAGATTATTCAAGTCCTAAAGGATTTTTAAATACAAAACGGAATAATAATTTATTTAAAATACATATCAACAAAGAGAGACAATTACAGAGGAAAAGTGCATGTGTTAGTAAGGTTAGAAAGAAGATAGGTCTTGGAAATACAAGCTAAAGAAACCATTCAACTCACCTCATGTCAGGTTTTTAATACAAAAACAAAACCTTTTCTGTGGTCCTTGGTTGCTTAATTATTGGCTACATGTGTTGCTACCTCGGGGGGGGGGGGCTGCTCTCATTCATCCTGTCAATTAATGAGTTTAGGGATCAAATGGGAAACGGTCTAGCTCAAGTGAACTTAATCTATGAATAATAAAAATGTCACGTAAAAAAGCCTGCTTCTTACCGCATCATCCAAAGTTGGCAGTTGTTGGTTTGGCAAACTCCTATTCAATATTGCTCCATGATAACTAAATCCTCTTCTTATAAAGAAAAAAAAACAGATGTCAAAGAGCAATGTTTCCTTCAGTTGATCAAATGTAACATAAATCCCCACAGAGATAGAAGAGCAAGGAGGTTTTAATTTATCTTTTCAATTTTACCTGTGATTTGTCCGCAGTGTACTGGACTCTTCATATGATGACTAGATTGGCATCTTAACTCTTCAACCTCTCATTGAAGAGTCATCAAGACGGCACTAGGACTGATTCTTGCCAAGCATTTCATCTGTTGAATGAAAAATAGAAAGAGAATAAACAATTACACAATTGGGATCAAGTGAGAATAGAAAACAAAAAATTCCAAAGTTACAACAAATGCAGTTATAATTTCTTACCAAGTTGGTTATCAGTGGCCCGTTGTCATAGTGGACACTCTGTATCTTGATCCTTGCAATGCTCTCCTATTTGATGTACGACCGACCACTGTCCATCTGTCTGTCTGTCCTATACTCTTCTCCGACTTTCTCAAAGACAGAAACTGATACAAGATTATTCAAGTCCAAGAAGATTTTTAAAAAACAAGACAGAATACTGATTTATTCAAAACACATAAGATGAAGGTACTAAGACAAAACCATAAGAAAGGGAATGTGCACGTGTTATTAATGATAGAAAGAAGTAGGGCTTAGAAACACAAGTTAAAGAAACAATTCAGCTCACCTCATGTCTGGTTTTTAATACAAAATCCAAACCTTTTCTGGGGTCTTTGGTTTGCTTCTTGCTGCTTCCAGCCTGCCAATTGAAAGTTAGAGGTCAACTTGGGATTCTGTCTAGCTTGTGTGAACACAATTGATAACAAAAATTTGAAGAAAAACAGATTTAAAAAACGAATCTTTCTGTATTCTACAACATTTGCAGTGGTTGATCGGACAAACTCAGTCTTGCTTACTTTTGGTGCTCTGGTTGATAGGTCATTGAGTCAACCTACACAGAGGGGCTGATTCTTAATTTTCGTCTATTGAATGAAACATGAAAAGAAATCAGACAAGTGAATGATTTGGATCAAATGAGTTCAGAAATCAAAATTCCACAATAACAACAAATGCAGGTTCTTACCACATTAGACTTTTGTTTGCCTGAAGTAATAATGTGTTCAGATTCTTGTTATGTCCTCCTCTTTGATGTTCATCCGGACACTGTATGTCTGTCTGTCTACATTTCTTCCAGCCCTTGTCAAAGATAGAAACTGACAGACGATTAGTAAAGTCAAAAAGAATTACATACAGCAAGCAAAACAAAACAAAAAAAAGCACACATATGAAAAAAAGCATACAAAAAAATTGTTAGATAGAGAGACAAGAAAAAAAAAGACATGAAAAGATGCATACAAAAAATATTTTGTTAGAAAGAGAGACAATTACAAAGAGAAAGTGCAAATATTAGTCATAAAAATGGGGAAGGGGGAGTATTTTGCATAGAGATCAAAGAAACATTTCAACTCACCTGATGTTTGGCTTTTATTTAAGACTGAAACCAAACCTTTCCCTTGGTCGATCCTGGCTGCTAAGTGGCTACATATCCTGCTGCTCTTCCTCCTCTCAGTGGAAAGACTAAAGGTAAAACTTGGATTTAGGCTAGATCTTGTGAAAACAATTATAAATTTTTTGCCAAATTTTCAAGAATGAGACCTACTTTAATAATACCATGTTTTAGTTATTTCTAACCTTTGTTTGAAATCAAAGGGCAAAAGAAATTCTGGCATAAATTCAACGAGTTGTTTTAAAATTTGCCGGTTTTCGCTAGAGTATTTGTTAAGTTGCTGAAGTGTCCTATTTTGCATAGCAATGAAACCTTTGGTACTTTCAAAAATTCTTGGGTATTAACTTTCCTTATACACTCATTGCTAGATTTTTTCCACGTTGGGTTACAGTAGATTTTCATTAACAAGAGGCCCACGGGCCTTATAGGTCACCTGAGCATTATGCAACAACTTTCCAGTTACAGTGTATTGAATTTGATTCATGTTTTAAGCCAGATGCTATATGGCATTCACAATTTTGAAAGGGCACCATTGATCATCATAACAATAAACTTAGCAGTTGCTTAGCTTGGTTACTGAATACCCATACCCAGGGTAGGGGAACAAAAATGCACTCCAACTAATCAGTAATATTCATCAATAATCAGTAGTGCCCCTAACACTCTGACATAAACCCCTGACCCTAGGTTGCACAAAATTTTAAAAGGCACCCTTAAAATTGCCTATCAAAAAGTAAATAAATGTTTTATAAATACAAAGGACCAGATTTCAAACAATTAATTCATTTTCAGTATATAAGTAGAGTGACCCTGGGGCCTTGAAATTCACAATTCTGCAAGATTAGGGCCCTTGCTCATCATAACTATATAGGTAGTTCATCTGCTTCATACCCAGAGACAGAGAAGAAAATTTTCAAAGATTTAATGTATTTTCACTATATAATCAATAGAGCCCCACCCTAACACCAGAACCCACCCTGGGGCAATGAAATTCATAATTTTAGAAGAGGCATTCTTGCTCATCATAACTATGCACTTACTTAGTTTATTTAATACCTAGGAGCAGAGAAGAAGATTTTCAAAGAATTCATGTATTTTCACTTTATAAACAATAAAGTCCCCCCCCCCCCCACCAGAACCATTGACGCTGGGGCCATAAAATTCACAATTTTTGTAGAGGCACTCTTGCTCATCATAACTATGCACTTAGTTAGTTTATTTAATACCTAAGAGCAGAGAAGAAGATTTTCAAAGAATTCATGTATTTTCACTTTATAAACAATAAAGTCCCCCCCCCACCAGAACCATTGACGCTGGGGCCATAAAATTCACAATTTTTGTAGAGGCACTCTTGCTCATCATAACTATGCACTTAGTTAGTTTATTTAATACCTAAGAGCAGAGAAGAAGATTTTCAAAGAATTCATGTAATTTCACTATATAATCAATAGAGCCCCCCCCCCCCAACACCAGAACCCTTGACCCTGGGGCCATAAAATTCACAATTTTGGTAGAGGCACTCTTGCTCATCATAACTATTTACTTACTTGGTTTATTTAATACCCAGGGGCAGAGAAGAAGATTTTCAAAGAAATCATGTATTTTTACTATATAATCAATAGAGCCCCACCCTAACACCAGAACCCCTGACCCTGGGGCCATAAAATTCACAATTTTGGTAGAGGCACTCTTGCTCATCATAACTATGTACTTAGTTGGTTTATTTAATACCAAGGAGCAGAGAAGAAGATTTTCAAAGAAATAATGCATTTTCACTATATACTTATTTAGCCCCGCCCTAGCACTAGAACCCCTGACCCCAGGGCCATGAATTTCACAATTTTGGTAGAGGACTCAATGCTGATTACAATCATGCAAATAGTTTGACTGCTTGATGTCCAGGAGTAAAGAAGAAGATTTTTAAAGATTGCATTAATTTTAGTGGTTTTGGCCCCACCCCTCAGGCCCCAGGGGGGCAGGGATCATGAAATTCACAATTTTTGTTCCCCTTCACCCATAGATGCTTTGTGCCAAATTTGGTTGAAATTGGTTCAGTGGTTGCAGAGAAGAAGCTGAAAATGTTCAAATGTTAACACACGACACACGACGGACGACGACGGACGAAAACGGATAGCAATAGGTCACCTGAGTTTACTCAGGTGACCTAAAAACGTGTTTTTTAAAAACTTTTATGAGTAGTTCTTATTATATCACATTCTCAACAGAAATCATAATCCAAAATTGCAACAAACGCAGTGTGTTTCTTACCAAGTTGGTTAGTGTTGGCACAGTGTCATAGTGAATACTCTTTGTCCGCGGATCCTTGCAATGCTTTCTGCTTTGTTGTGCAGTCTGCCACTGTCTGTCTGTCTTTTTCGAAAATGGAAACTGATACAAGATTATTAAGTCCAAAATGCTTTTTTTTTAAACAACACAGAATAATATTATATACATGTATTTAAAATACATATAAACAAAGAAAGACAATGACAAAGCGAAAGTGCATGTGTTAGTAATGTTAGAAAAGGATGGGGCTTAAAAATACAACCTGAGAAACAATTCAGCTCACCTCATATCTGATTTTAACGCAAAAACCAAACCTTTTCCATGGTCCTTAGTTGGTAAGTGGCTACATGTCTTGCCCCTTTTGGGGGAAGGGGATATCTGCCATATACTAATAGTCTGTCAAATGAAAGTTAAGGGTCAAATGGGACATTGTCTTTCTCATTTGAAAACAAGTTAGAATTAGCAAAGCGTCAAGAAAAAAACTTAGAACTTACCTTATCATCTTAAGTTGACAGTAGTTGATCCGATTAATTCCTTCTCAATGTTGCTTTCTTTTGGCCCTCTGCTTGATAAGTCATTGAGCTTACTTATAAAGAGTGTAAATTCTTGCTAAACTTTTTGTCTGTAATATGAAACATGGAAAGAGCTCAAACAAGTGAATCATTGGATCAAATAAGTTCAAAAATCAAAAATTCTATAATGGCAACAAATGAAGTTTCTTACCACATTTGACTTTTGTATGGCTGAAGTAATATTGTGTTCAGATCCTTGTTAATATGTACTCCTCTTTGTTGTGTGACCGGCCACTGTCTGTCTGTCTGTCTGTACGTTACTCCTCCCGGCCCTTGTCAAAGAGAGAAACTAATAGACGATAAGTAAAGTCAAAAAGAATTCAAAACAAAATCAAAGAAAACAATGAAATTGCATACAAAAAATAAATGTGTAAGAAACAGAGACAATTACAAAAAGGAAAGTGCAAATGTTAGTTACATGTATAAGAAAAGGAATAAGAGGGTATTTTGCAAAGAAATAAAAATCAAAGAAAAAATTCAGCTCACCTCATGTCTGGATTTAAATACAAAAACCAAACCTTTCCTGGCTGCTAAATGCCCACATATCCTGTTGCTCTTCATCCTATCAATGGAAAGTCTAAAGATAAAACTTTGA